GGTGTGAGCCACCAGTGCCTGGTCACACAGGTTTCTTTGAACCACAGCCATCCACACAAGCCTACCCACTGGCCTCAAGGTCCCAGGCTAGACAGGGCACCCTTCTGGCAGTTTCCCAGATCGCACATGTCTGGGTATGTGGCCTTCATCTGTCCTCCCTTCTCGCCCTTTCCAGACAGACCAGGGGCTCCAAGAGGGTGGATGAGCCAGTGTGTTTTTCTCTCCCAAGCCCAGAATAGCACCTGTTCCATAGATTGCGTCAACTCTATACATAGTCTCAGCGTGAGCAGAGACTCACCCTAGCAGAGTGCGCTTTCCACTCCTCACAATCCCATTCTAGGACATCTCACAGATCCAGAGTAATGATTAGCTTGGAAGTTTGGTTTCCCAAAGGGCAGAGCCTTCAGCAGTGGTAGATGCTGGGTACTCAACCCAGCGCCTGACTCTCACAGGGGGTCCCGCTGCTGGACCCCTGAGTGAATGAGGAACTTAGAAGCTCTCCATAAGATGTTGGGCTCACAGTCTTCCTCTTTGGCTCTCATCTCTTCTCCTCTAACCATGAAGAATTTGCATGCAAGGATTCCAAAGACTCTTTCAGAACTGAGTCCTCATTTATTTACCATACGCTTGCTGCCCTCTGCTGGCCAATTTGGCACAGAACCATTGTGTCCCCAAAGGGCTGAAAGAACTCCAAGCAAAGCAAGGAGGGATGAATGGATTGGTCTCTAAGCAGAACAGGGACTTAAATGCTGTTGCTTGGCCTGGATTAGACTAATATATGATGTATTCCTTCGCACACCTTATCAGCGCAGTCCTCAAAGGGAGGTGGGCTCTGGGAGACCCCAGACGAGCCTTAGAAGGAAAACCCATGCCCAGGCCCCACCTCAGCCCACCATTAAAGCCCCAGGCAACCAGTGCCAGCTGCCACATCGATCCAGAACACTGGACCAATACAATGTTCACAAGCAAGACTTTGAAACTGAGAGGAGGCCAGGTGATAGTGGCTCATGGCTGTAATCCTAGCTACTCAGGAGGCTGAGATCTGAGGCTCATGGTTCAAAGCCAGCCACGGCAGGAAAGTCTGTAAGACTTATCTCTAATCCACAAAAAGCCAAAAAGTGGTAAAGCACCAGCCTTGAGCAGAAAAAGGTAAAGGACAGTGCCCAGGACCTGAGTTCAAGCCCCCCCCCCCCCCACACACACATACACACACACACACACACACACACACACACACACACACACACACACACACACACACACACAAAGCCCATCCAAACAAAGTGAACAAAGACATTGGTTTTATAGTACAGTCTCTGAGCCATCAACTTCAACATAATAATTTCTTTCTTGGACAAAACCTGGGAGTTTATAACGCACAATTTTAGTTAGGAACCAGAGCCATTATCTTTGCCATTGGACAACATCCTCAGATCTAGTTCCTTTTTCTTTCTGAGGAAAACTTCTATATTACCATGTAGGATGCCTGTGTCTCCTCTCCTCCCCCTGTTCTTCCCTTTCCTCCCCCTTCTTCCTTCCTTTTTTCCTTCCTTCCTTCCTTCCTTCCTTCCTTCCTTCTTTACACATTCTTGCATTTGTTAAAGATTCTTATGGTTGCAGATAACAGAATGTCACCAACTTTGGTCACAAGTGAGAACTTTCTGGAAAGATTCTGAAGTGCCTAGCCTCAGGTTACTTGCCAGGAACAGATGGAACTCACCAATACACTAAGAACTAGTCTCTCTGTCCTTTGCCTCTGCTCATCTCATCTGTTTCTTCTTTCTTGGGTCCAACTAGTGTTTTATATTCATTAATCCAAAAGGTAGAGAAGGTGGCCACCAACAGCTCGTGACTTGCCTATGTTCAATCTTTCCCAGACTGGTGACCTTAAGCCAACCAATCACACAGCCTGCGGAACCAACTAGATAATTTGTGAGGACCAGAACGACATGGAAATGTGGGAGCCTTTATTCCAAAAGCAGGAGAGAGTGCCAATAGTGGTGCACATAACACGCTTGTCTCTTTTGACTGTGGCAGTTTTTATTTTTCTAGTTCATGGCATTTTAAGTAAAGACAAATATAAAATTTAAATGATTTGCATGAATTTTCCATACATTTTTATAGCATGCAAAGCCAGTTTTCTATGTAAACTTCAGAGCATTTAAGTCATGTGCAGAATCACTGACATGGCACAATTTGTGTTCGGTGAAGTTGTTGGCCAGAAGAGACAAACTCATACCAAACCCATCAAGATTCAAAGAAGAGAGGGAACCACCAGAGTCCCTGAGGGGTAGTCCTTCGAGCCTGGCTATTCCAGGAGGAGTTCACCATCATGGGAGCCACCAGACTCCACGCCATCACCCCAACAAGGAGGCAGGGTCTAGGGAAGTTGACCGAGGTGTCTCCGCTTCCCACAGCAGATTGGGACTTGGAGGCGCTCCAATCCGTGGGCAATGACTCGCTGTCTCTGCATCATTACAGGCAGGCCTGCCATTACACCATCATCTGACAGCCTGGGGCAGCGATGGCAGACACCATGTCCACCCTAACCGGGAGCCAGGGAGCAAGAGAGAGCAGGTAGTTAAGAATTTAGATAGGAGGCGCCCAAACTCACAGCGCATGCACCCATGTGCCTGTGTCCTTTCCTCCCAAAGCACAGGTCCAGAGAGAAGGTCATCTGGAGTCTCAAGATGGCAGGCAGAGCGTCAGCCCCCAGCACAGGACCCTTCTCCCTCCTCCAGGCCCATCTGGCCTGCCCAGGGTGGAGGTGGACACATGGGACTAAGGAGGAGCCTTCTGAAAGACCATTTCCCACAGTGCATTGGTAAGATCAATCACTGCTCCTCATTACAAGAAAATGCATCCCTTACCCTTCAAAGTCATGATGCGATTAACTATACACACTTTGTGTAATTTGACTCATGAACAAGAATGGCTGTGGCATATCAAATGGCTACTCCCTCATAAATGAGTTGAAATATTCCCTGGAGTCTCTTAAGACTGTTACCAGAAATCCAGTTCCCCTGAACTCACTAGCAACTTACAAATTATGGGATCAGGGTTTGGGAAGAAAGGAGATAAAGTTTTGTTAATTTTGCCAGGCAAAATGAGGCCTATTCAAGCGATTGTCTCAGAAAGAAACACTCGTGTGTGTGTGTGTGTGTGTGTGTGTGTGTGTGTGTGTGTGTGTGTGTGTGTGTGTGTGTTGGAAGAGAACATGGGTTTCTAGATGTTCAAGCTGAGGCATGGCTTCCAGATGCATGGTGGCCTTGGGTCTGCTTATTTTCCAGTATGCTGGGGTTATTCTCCAAAATTGTGTACCTTGCTGAACCATGGTCATTAAGATAAGGAGTATGATATGACCTTACCTGAGCTGTTAAGACATTCTTTCCCTCACACTGGGAATGGGAGGCAGGGGAAGGGGAAGAACAAGAGAGAAGAAAGAAAGGAAGAGAGAGAGAGAAAGAGAAAGCAAGAAAGAAAGAAAAGAAAGAGAAAGGGAGGAAGGAAGGGAAGAAAGGAAGGAGGAAGGAAGGGAAGAAAGGAAGGAAGAAGGGAGGAAGGAAGGGAAGAAAGGGAGGTAGAAGGGAGGGAGGGAGGGGAAAAGGAAATAAAACCATCTTTCAAATGTCGACTTTGGTGAGGTGCTGAGCTCCAGCTGGGAGCAGTTAGGTGTCCACTGCTGTCGTACCCCTTCTCCCATCTCCTGACTTGCCCTACATTTTGAATGGGTTTTCTTAAAGATGGTGGCTGGTGTAGGTCCCAGGTGTGGGAAGGATGTCTCAGAGGGCTGCTTCCTGAACTCCAGGTAGCAGGAGGCAGGACGGAAGAAAGCCACTCCCAGCATTGGGTTTGGTTTTTTTTTTTCTGGAATCATCTAATTGAAAATTGTCACCTGCCAAACAGAAAATCCATCCACTTCTGCTAGATGCTAGGAGTCTTTAGGGGACCTTCCCTTAAGCCCAGCAGGGCAGCGTCTAGGCTTCCTGTGACTTCCACCTGACCTCTCCCAACCCCGGACACCCACATCCTGTTCACTGCTCATGCCAATAGGTGTGAGGTAAGAGAGCCTGGAGGGACAAAAAATCACTCCAGTGGGAGTCACCAGGTAATGTCAGGGTTCTTCAACACCATAAACCACCCCCAATCTAATCAAGGCTACCTTTTCTCAACGTGTGTGTAAAAAATGGATCCTGGTTGTTTTGTTATGTGTTTTTCATCATGAGAACGTGCTCATTCCTTTGACAGCTTTGCTAGGAAGACATCTTTGTCTTTATCCTGAGTCTTTGGCAGTTTGGTTCTATCTGATCCTTTACCGCTTCTCCTCTTTGCTATGTCACCATTTGACTCTTAACTTTATTAAGCACCAATTCCTGCCCGCGTGACAGATGAGCACCGGTGTTCCTACTTAAGAGATGAGAACCAATGCTGCCCTGATTTACTGCGAGGATTGAACATGGACCACATCCTCAATGTGGCTGGCTAGGCACCAGGAGCTCATACCTAACCTCCTAGATATTCAGGAAACTGAGATCTGAGGATTACAGTGTGAGGTCAGCCTGGGCAGGAAGGTCTATGAGACTTTTATTTCCAATTAACCAGCCAAAAAACCAGAAGTGGAGCTGTGGCTCAAGTGGCAGAGCACTAGCCTTGAGCAAAAGAGCTAAGAGACAGTACCTAGGCTCTGAGTTCAAGGCTCCCCCCCGCCCCCAAGCTTTTAACTAATCAACGGGGCTGCCACAGTAGTTTCTTCTATGTTACACTCATGGGCTCACAAGTCCTCAGCTGCTCCTGCTCAGTAACACAAAGCAGGAAATTCAGCACAACAGAATGTGTGAGATGCTAATCTGCTGCCATCTGGGGGAAATCTACTTCATCTTGTGGAGTTTTCACGGAAATGTTTACTAACGTCAGAGCAGGAGTCTAAAGCTCATGAAAAAGATCAAGTGCCCTGCAGTTCTGCCTAACTCCACCTCCTCCCTCATCCCAACTTGCCTCAGCCGGACCCTGACTACTGCAGCCTGCAGGAAGGCCTACCCTACCTGGACATGGTGATTGCAGAGACCCTAAGGATGTACCCACCGGCTTTCAGGTACACCCAGAACCCTACCTCTCATTTTGTTTCTAGCCTCTTTGTATATTAGGAGCTCTGAACAGGGAAATCAGATGAGGACATTTATAGGACTCAGTCCGGGCTCCAGAAGTTAAAGGTCTTTCATAAGGGGGAACTGATTGAAAGGAAGCAGAGTCTGGACATACTGCTTTAGACTGGAGACTCCAAGGAGGCAAGACTCTTGAGAGCTCTTTACAGCCAGTAAGCAATGGACTGCTCCCATGAGAAAGCTGTTTGTCCAGATAAATTAGTTTTTTTATTACCTAAAGCAGACAGCGGGGTAGTTCTTGGCATAGGGAATTCACTTCCTGGGAAAGAATTTTCAAGGAGAGGCAGGAAGTCACTTTGACCCACATGAGCTCCATGCTTCGCCCCCAGAGTGGAAGTGGGTGGCTGCAGAATTGGCAGGGTATTATTCTCCAGGAGATTGCTGGTCCATACCCCTGGGGCAAAGCTGAACATGGCCACGATGGACTTTGAAATGGCAAGCAACTGAGTGTCTATGTGTTCCACAGCAATGGGTGTTTATTGTTGGAAGTGTAGGAGGATGGTCATTAGAACCTTCCAGAAACTAAGATTGGCCATCCCAGACAGGCCCAGAGAGAACACCTGAGCTCTGGAGCTACCCGAGGTCTCACACCCTCCCGCCCCCAACTACCCAACAGGGACCACTAGCCCTGGGCTCAGCCCTCGGTGTAGCTTGGCCAGGCAGGCCCTGCCCCCTGACTGCTGGGGGGTGCGGGGTGGGGGGCATAGCATCCCAACACCGGTCCTAAGTTATCTGTCATGAAGGGCTCCCTGTCTTCCCAGCATCGGCCCTACTCATGGCTTCATTTCAGTGGCAGAGAAGCCCAAGGAAGGTGCAGACTGCCCCATATCCTTGGTGAGAGTGGGGAGGGGTCTGTCATGAAAAGGAGGGACACAGGGCCGGACCACCGTGAGGTGGAGGGAAGAGAAGCAAGAGAGTGAACAAAGGCAATCAACAAAAGCCGACTGAATCCACTTGGAAGACTAGAAGCATAACCCTCAAAACCTCCCCCAGAAACCAGCTCCCGGGAGGCTTTCACCCCATTATCAGGTTCACAGAAGGAATCTCTGTGCCTGGCTGCTGCTGAATAGATGAATGAGTGAATGAATGAATGAGAGGAGGGATGAGGGTATTTTCTCCAAGGGCCCAAGAGCCTTGAGGCTCTTAGAGGTGGGGCGTGGCTTATTCTGGAAGAGAGCCCAGTTCCCTGGCCTCAGCCACACTCCACGCTGCATCTCCTGACCCAGCTCCATCTCTGTCCCCCACAGGTTCACTCGAGAGGCTGCGCAGGACTGCGAGGTGCTGGGCCAGCGCATACCCGCAGGAGCCGTGCTGGAGATGGCTGTGGGTGCTCTGCACCGCGACCCCGAATACTGGCCACACCCTGAGGTCTTCAACCCTGAAAGGTGAGTGCTGTCCCGTCCAGGAGACCCCCAGGAGTGCATGAGGTGGTGATTTTGTGGTGGAGGCAGCAGCAAGAGGGCATGGGCAGGGGTGGCCTCAAACAAATGATGCAGCACTACAGCCAGATGCTCATAAAGCATCATTTCTGGAGGCCACTAACTAAAGGCAGAGATTTAGCATTTCACCAGCAGTGCATGTGAGCGATGTCCTCTGCTCCCTCCAGTCAGGGCTGGATGTATTTCAAGTGTGCGTTGGGAAGTAACGAGCCCATCATTTCCATACAGTACAGTTGTATCAGCAAAATTTCTCCACAAATCTAAGTTCATGACATCCACAGACCTGGATCCTCCCTTGTCTGCTGACAGGGATTTGGCCCATTGTCCGGGACTTTGAGATGAAAAATGTCTGAGTCTCCACACCCCATTCTTGTCACGCTCAGCACAGCCCCCTCCTTTGGGATCTGCCAGGGGAAGCTGCCGTTGTATCTCCACTTTTAATGGCTCCTGAGGAACCCCGCCTGACTCTATAGCTCAGTCGTGGGAATACAGGGGCCTTGGGACCCGGATTAAAAATCTCCCACTGTCTAGCAGTTCCTGGAAATATGGTAAAGATCAAAAAATTAGAAACAAGCTGAACGCTGGGTCACTGACATCCATAATCCTAGCTACTCTGAATATGGAGATCCAGAGGATGGCAGTTTGAGACCAGCCCAGGCAGATGAATCTACTAGACTCCACCGACAAAATAATCAGCAAAAAAATAGGACTGGAGGCATCACTCAAGTGGTAGAGCACCAGTTAAGCAAACTGAGCAAATTCAAGGTCCTGTGTGGGGGAGACAGCAGGATGCCTAGGGAGGTCTAGTGTGGTCACCAGGGACTTTACTAAGATGTCTGAGGCCGATGATGGGGAAGTGAAGAAGCCACAGCCGGTTCAGGGCTGTGGCAAACAGCCCTGGAGTCACCAATGGCAGCGGACTTCATGTAGACTCTGGCCAGTGGCTCTCACCTGTAATCCTAGGTACTCAGGTGGCAAAGAAAAGAGAAAGATAGGAAAGGAGGGAGGGAGCGAGGGAGGGGAAAGAAAGAGAGAGGAAGGGAAATAGAGAAGAAAGGGGGAGGGAGGGAGAGGAAGGAAGAAAGGAAAAGAGGGAGCAAAGGGCACTGCTTACATCCCAACTGGCTCTCTGCACCCGTCAGTGCCCTGAGGGCTAGCCAGAACAAAGAGGGACGGAAGCTCAGGAATTAGCCACCATTCCCTCAGGGACCATCCCAGGGGTGTTTAGGATCGGGCTGACCCGCACAGGTTATACTGTGCTGGGAGGAAAGAGGTCTAAGTGGAAGGAGACCTCAGATGGATGGAAACAGATGTTCAGGGGTCACGCATGACCTTCCCTCCACTCTCAGGTTCAGCACAGAGGCCCGCCAGCAGCAGCAGCCCTTCACATACCTGCCCTTTGGAGCTGGCCCCCGGAGCTGCCTTGGAGTGTGGCTGGGACTGATGGTGACCAAGCTAACACTGTTCCACATCCTGTGCCGCTTCCGCTTCGAAGCCTGCCCTGAAACTCAGGTGAGGGCACAGCTCCAGGTGGGCATCACTCTAGCTTGTCTGGAAGCCATCGTGTGTGTATTTGTGTGTGTTTGTGTGTGTGTGTGTGTGTGCTGAAACCAGTTCGTTGATCTTCCTGGGCCTCAGTTTCTCCACCTGTCAGAGGGGGCAATGAACACACTACTCTTCCTGTCCTGTAAGGGTAAATGAGTTAATTCTGGGCTGGGACCTGCACTGGCCTGTCATAACACGCATGCGCCCCCACTAGGGCTGCTGTCTGAGCACAGGGTTGGCTCTCGGCTCGGTGTAGCTTGTTCTCTTCAGTGAACAGGAGCCCAGTGCATGTGGTTGTGACCCATGCTAGGCTTTGGGGTGTGTGGTTTGACCTACAGAGCCTGGAGATCATCCCCAGCTCCTCCTGACTCCTAAGGTAATGTATGCTTGAGGAAAGCAGAGGGGTGCTGGCTCCTTGGTGTCTGGGAACGGCCTCTCTCCTTGGGTAATGCCCCAAGCTGCCACATCCTTGCCTTCCCTCCCAAGATTTGTGTTCCCCAATATATACATTCATTCCTAAGGCCCCAGGGAGGTGGCAGACTCTGCCCTCAGCCACCAGAATCTCGTAAAGTGTCCCGACTGTGCCAGCCCTGTCATACCACGCACTCCAGGTCCAGAGCTAGGAAGGTTTTATTGTTCCGTTCTTTCTTCAGATGAGGAACTAAAGCTCAGCGAGGTGGATGTCACACAGTGGTGCAGCCCATGCAACACTCCAGTCTCTGCAAGGGCAGGGAACAGCTGTGTGCCTGCTGACTCCCCCAGCATGCAGCTCGGTGTTGTGCATGGAGAGACAGGCACTCGCTTCTTCCGGAACAAACGGCTGATCAGCCACCAGGGCCAGAGGCTGCGGTTCACACCTAGGTCCTGCTCACAGCATCCCCTCCCTCCTGACGGGCCCACTCCCCTCAGCAGTGCACACTGTCCCCAGCCGTCTAAGCACAGCCCTCTCTGCGCCTCTATGTCCCCTGGAGGCCCAAGACATACCAGAACAGGCAAGGGTGAGATAACAAAGAGGGACAATTCTAGATTCCGGGACTGGCAGTGCCTCTGACAAAGGAGAGCTAGGACAGGAAGCAACTGCAAGGGAAAGCTTCCACAAAGGTGATAGGGCAGGAATGGAGAAGCCACAGCAGGAAAGGACAGAGAAATGGTGAAGGACACAGAGAGCAACAAGGCCTCTGACCACTTCATTAGTCTAGGGGAAAGTACTTCTTTTGAGGACTTCTCAGATGCAAAGGTCCAGTCCAATGTTCAAAAGATGCTGCTAGTTATGCACTGGTCTGTAATCCTTGCTACTCAGGAGGCTGAGAACTGAGGGTCCCCATTGAAAGCCAAGCTGAGCAGGAAAGTCTATAAGACTTTCATCTCCAATTAACCATCAAAAAGCCAGAAACGGAGCCGTAGCTCAAATGGTAGAGTGCTAGTATTGAGCAAAAAAACAGAGACAGTGCCCAAAGAAAAAGAAAAGCTGCTATGCCTGGCATTCCTTGCCTAATAACCAGCCATGAGTCCCAGACCTGCTGGAACCAGGGAGAACTCATTTTGAACTCAAGATGGAGCTGAGCCCACCTTGCATTCCAGTTTCACCTCCTCTTGTTTGCTCAGACTGCTGCTCCTACTTGCAATGTCAGCTCCCTCTTCCCGAACTCAGGCCTCTCCCAACTCCACCCTCTAAAAAGTTCCTTCACGTAACTTCAGTCGCACCTACTCTCCAATAGGACACTTGCTCCAGGAATCTCTGCCTGGTTTTGTCAGCCCTACCCACCACTCCTTTGTCCGAACTATTTCAATTTCATCCAGACTCCTTAGGCTGTGTAGCTGCATGTTACTATATTTTAATTATAATCCTATTAAATCAAAACATCCAGGGCTGGAAAGTTGGCTTAGTGTAGAGTGTTTGCCTTGCATGCGTGAGGCCCTTGGTTCGATTCCTCAGCACCATATAAGCAGGAAAAGCTGGAAGCAGGGCTGAGGCTCAAGTGGTAGAGTGCTAGTCGACAGCTGAAGAGCTGAGGGACAGTGCCCAGGCCCAGAGTTCAGGCCCCATGACCGACCCACCCCCCTCTCCCCCCCAAAAAAATCCATCAGGTAGTAACCGGGAGGCTGAGGTAGGAGGATGGGCAATTCAAGGCCCAACTGAGTTGCATAGTGAGACTTGGTCTCAAACAAATCAAAACAAATGAACAAAATGCTCAATGTCCTGGTCAGACCATCTTGTTCCTTGCCTCCCATCTGACATAACCCATGAAGGCCTCCAAAAAGCCTCCTGAGGCCCGTGTGGAAGCCCATTTTCTGTCCTTGCTCCAAAGGTTCACAGGGGCCCGACTGCCTCATTTTTCACATACTGTAAGGGGAAGCTGGCTTCCTGAGTAAACTTGTGACTTCCCTTCCAAGTCCCCAGACCAGCATGGTCTCCGCCTCTAAAGTGAGACCTAAGGAAGCTTTTGGAATGTCTGAGAGGCTAGATAGACCACACATGGATAAGCTTGGAACAGCCTAAAGAAAGGGCAGTGAGCTTGGAGGGAAAGGCAAGGATGGCTGCTTCCTCGTCCTGTGACTTTGGCCTCCCGAACCTGTTTCTTCAAGTGAGATGATACTCTTGGAGCAGATAAATGCCAGGCATGCTTGTCACCATATTCATTCTGTCCACTACATGCTACCAGGGATCAGGTCATCTCACAAGATGTGCTTCTCAGGAACCGGTCCAGCTGAGACATGATTTCGCCCACCAACCTCTCAACGCATAACCAGGTTCCCTCACTTACTTCAGGCCCGGCTCCGAGGCAGTTTTCCTACAGATATGGTTAACTAGGACCAATTCTTTTCACTTCCTCTGTTTTAGGTGCCACTGCAGCTAGAATCCAAATCTGCCCTCAGTCCAAAAAATGGAGTCTTCATCAAGATTGTGTCCCGCTGATGTGAGTCATCTTGGAGAAGGGAGTGTCACTTAATGATACCTGCAAGTTGGAGTTATGAGGGCTCCCCTACATTTTAAGAAAACCTTCCTGTAGAAACACCAATGTTTAAAGAAACATCACTGGGGTGGTTGAGAGGGTGCCTGGCATGTAAGCATAGCGAGGTTACTTACCTGATCCTCCATTTTTAATAAATGTTGGCTGCACTTGGCTTCCACATTGTCAATGGGGTTCCAACCACTATCTGAGTAAAAGACTGTGAAATAAGCAAAAATGTCGTTTCGACAAAATGACTGAGAGCATGTTGTTTTGTGCTGGTCTGTCCTTCAATTCAGAGCCCTGGATGCTGTCCTAAGCTTTTCTTTTTCTGCTACCACTTTTTCTTTCTTCCACTAAAGAAAGCTACAGCTCCAATTCCAGCTTTTTAATGATTGGAGATAAGAGGCTCACAGACTTTCCTGCCCAGGGCTGGCTTTGAATTTGGCGGTGAATTATCATTCTCAGATCTCAGCCTCCTGAGTAGCTAGGATTACAGATATGAGCATCCAGTGAGAACATGGTTTGTTTTTTTTTTTTAGTTTTTTAATTATGTGGTACAAAGGAACTTTGGGTCTCATGCATGCTAGGCAACCACTGTACCACTAAGCCTCATTTCTAGCCTGAGAACATGATGTTTTAAAGGAAGTCCTGTCTTTCTAAAGCATGGGGACACACCCACATGGAGTGAGGTGTCCTGATGGCAGCAGTGAAGGGCCAGTTCATCTTCTCATCACATTCCATCAATGAAGTGGCTCACTGTGCTTTGATTGTCCCTGCAGGGATCAGAAAGCCATTTTGGAGTAAGTTAATGGTACAAATAGAAATGTCCTTTCTGTGGTTAATCTTTTCTTCATTCTTACCAAGAAAATCAAATTATAGAGGTGAGTTTTCGTACAGGTAACAATTGTGTTGCCAAGGTCATATCTAAGAAAGCACTTGCTGACTAGAGCAGAGGTCTGCCCCTGCAGCTGTATTGTCTTTGCTGCTAGTCTTTTCATCACTCTGGGCCTCAGTTTCCTCACTTGTAAAACAGGAAGCTGACCAAGCACAAAATTCCCTTCCTCTATTTGACATCTGAGCAGCTTCAAGGCACAGAATGCCACTAAGAAAAACTGGAGAGGCATCCCTCATGTAACACCTCGGTGCTCACAACTCCACTACTTTCCATTTTTAGAAAGCCCAGGTCATTTTCAGGGGAACTCTTGGGATAGCATGTTGGACATGCTGCCTCCACTGCTTGATCCTCTTCTAACCCCTTCAGCCCAGAGCAAGTCACTCTGCTCCCCAAAGCTCCCTGTAGCTCACCATGGCCTCCCTAGAGTGGTGGGGGAGGGGAGTGCAACACCACTATCCACATTTTCTCTCCCTGTCAGCCACGACTATTCAACCGCTCGAGCTCTCACAGTTCACCCAAGGGCTACAAGACAGCCCTTGCTGCTGTCATGTTTTCTAAAACCTTTTGTTCTGGGGAAGTATCAGGGTTTGAACTCAGAGCTTTGTACTTGCCAAGCAGGTGCTCTACTGCTTGAACCATATCACCAGCCCTGTTGACTATCTTGATGCCTGGCTTAAGTCTTAGGGCTGTGCTTCGGGGAAAACCAGACATTTCAAGGATGTGTCTCCTTTACTGCTTTGCCTGTCCCCCCAAGACCCTGACCATCCTGCAAAACCTCAGCCAGAAGATGGAACCAGCTGAGCACTCAAGTCCCCTATTAAGAGCACTCCTCCACCACCAGCTACCAAGTGACCACTGGCTGGTCTAGCCCCTCAGTACCATCAAACCTCCCTTGTCTTCTGTGAACAGGTGGTAATATCTTCACAGATAGTGAATGTGCAGAATTGTTCATCTCCTAGCCTTCTACTTAAAACCTCATTGTTCACACTGCAATGCCAACAATCCCAGGACAGGAAATGGCAGGAACTATAATAGTGGGATCTTTCACAAAGTCTACCCCTCTCTCCCAGAAGGGTCCTCATGAACACTTCTCGCCAGCAACATCCACACACACCTCTGTCCTAGGCCCCACATCTTTGCACCAGACATCCTGGGAACTATGGCAGTCTGGCTCCTTCATCAAATGCCCCTCTTCAACCTGCAGGAAGAGTGACCTAGCCAACTGCCCATATGTATCCAGACCCTCTCCAGTGTTGCCAGTCCAACCAGTTGCTCTTCCTAACTAGCTTTCTGATCTCCAAATCCAATTGCTGCTGCAGTCTTTATAGCACACTTGGCTTTCCTGCAACATATGGCCAGCTCCTACCCTTTCATCTGGCTATAGACATATATTCTGCAAATTATACAAAGCCCAAGGTCACATGACTATAATAGGAGGACCCTTTCCTTCCAACCCACAATGAGCATCCTGCTTCTCACTGCTCCCTCAGCCAGAAAGTGGAAGAGTGAAAGAGCTGCACATCTGTACGGAAGTTTTCCAGCAAGCACTTACTCTAATGGGCCTCCCAGGCCCCTCCCTACCATTGTAGAAAGACCTATGATTCAATAAAAAGCCTAGAAAGAACTTGCAGGTTAATAGGCTGTGAGGAACTACATCCCATGCATAGATACAGATGTAAGGCCCCGCTGGTTGTGCTGTTTGTTTTTCTGATCATTTAACTTGGCCTTCTTCTGGTGTGATCAATTACACTGCCCTGTTATAAGGTTTCAGCTTCCTCCTAAACTAGAAGATTCTAGTGAAACTTCCTTAGACCTGAACACCATAGGATGAACTAAGGACACATTCCTTTAGGAGGAAAACAGCCTCTCTGCCAACTAGACCAGAACCAGCCAGCTCCAAGGCAGAAGATACTAAACCATGATATGTGTATAAAATCCAGCACACTGTCCATGTTCACATCCAATGGTGAATCTGAATTTCGCAGGTCTGAAACTTTATTGGGAGAAGGGAAAGGAAAGAATACAAACATGTATTCTGCAAAATATACCAAAACCCAAGATCATGTGACTATATTGTGAGGACCCCTCCTAGGACCTTGCAGGAGACCCAGCAAGTGAGAGGCCAAAACCTTTCAATTCACACAGTCTTCCTAAGGCTAGTGACATTAACTGTTACATCCCTGCTATAGTCTGAATGTTTTTCCCACAAATTCATGTTAAATCCTCACCCCTATGGTGATGTCATTAGGAAGTGATTAGGTTCTGCAGCCCTCATGAATGTGATTAGTGCCTTTATAAAGGCTTCACAGATACCCTTCTACCATGAAGTAATAATGAAAAGATAGCCCTTTGTGAGAAATGAACCTCACTAGACACCAAATCTGCAGACACCTTGATATTGGACTTCCCAGCCTCCATGAGAATAAACTTCTGCTAGTCATAAGCCACAACTCTCAAAAAGGTGCCTTACACCTAGCAAGTGCTCAGTAAATAGATACTAAAAAATGAGCTCCACTCTATCCACTTCAGATAATATTCTTTTATTTCCATACTCTTGGCATGACATTGCAGCACAGGTATTTGATGTTATACAGACATAAAACCTACAATCTGAGGGAGTTCAGAAGCTTAAATGATGTTAGTATGTGCACCCACAGGCAAGCCAGGAGCTGCTAGGGGCACACAACCACGTCTCTTGTCAGAGGGGCGGGGGGAGAGGGCAGGCTATGCTTCCTCTGCATGGCTGCTTATGCTCACCAGAACAGGAGAAAAACAGCAGAAACTTGATGATACCAGGGTAGCCTCTTGTTCTGACAGCATGACACAGATCAATCAACACCAGAACCAAGGAGAAGCCACCAAGAGCAGCCTAGGTTAGTGCCAAAGGAGGCAAAAAGTGGAGGTATGTCCCTAGGCCTGCTCTGGGGTCTCTTCCCCTGGTAGCTACTGTGCCACTCTGACAAAAAGCAAAACAGTGGGCATGAAACCCTCCCAAAATGGAAATCACACTGTAGAGACAAACTCTTAATTAAAATCCATAAAATAATGTCTAGAAACTTTGTGCCTGGTGCCAATAATACACAAAGTCAACAAAGTAAAAATTACAATGCTAAAACATTAAAAAGCAAACATAGGCTCATCTACAATCACTACTGGTGAAACTACTAACAAGCCCAAAAGTTACTTAAAAGCTAAAAGGATTACCAACAAGGGATTAAGAATGTAACTTCATTGAAAACCCTATATTAAACAACAGTTCATTAAAAGTTTTGTTAAAAATATAATTTTAAAAAATCCCAAATGGCTCTCCCAAGGCAGATGAGCAGGAAAAGCCCAAGGCATTGGCTACTCACTACCGGCTGCCAAACAAAGAGCCCAAAGCAACCATGATGGAGGAGCTAGTCGGGGGCTTGTAGGAGGTAGAGTACTCGATGAGGTACTCAGGGTAGATCTGGTGCTTCTCAAAGACTACGAAGATAGACGGGTCAGACATGCTATTCACACAGCTGTCATAGAAGGCATTGCTCTGGCCTTCCTTGGCTGGAGGGCGGACGAAGGCAGCATTGCCCCTGACATAGTTGCCCACGAGCACCCGGGCCAGGAACATGGTATAGGTATTTGTGTCCGACTTGCTGTAGTGGTGGGAATAGGCAGAATCTCTGGCAAAGTAGCTCCCTGAAATGACATGCAGGGGCTTTGCTGGTACCAGGAAGACAGTTCAGCAGCCAAAAAGGGGAGAGGTGCCCCAGCAATGGCAATAACTTTGGCTTGTTGTCTGTTTCTCCATCCTCCCACCTCCTCCCAGTTTTCCACCTTTTCCCATTTATAGAGACGTGCATCAGATCATCAATACCTCTCCAAATGGCCTGGCATCAAAGGTATCACCTAGCCTCCCTAACAGTCTCTGAACATGTTACTATTGGATCCTGAGCTTTAGTTTCCTCAGGCGTAAGATAAGGCTGCTCCACCCAACTTCAGAGCTGCTATGGAAAGTGAGTGAGATTCCACTTGTAAAGCTACTGTATGGACACCAACATACAGAATTATGACTCTGTCAAATGGGAGCCTGAATGGGAAGCTGTCACCTCTATATTAGAGTTCATAAACCTGCCAGGTTCGGTCCATCCTAACCCTGCAACCATCAGTGTATCAGACTAAAATTACCTTACAGATGATTGAGGAATTAGGATTACAGATTATAGATTAGAAAATTGGTAGCCATACTTGGGAAGGGTCACTGTATTTGCCACTACATGCAAATGACCCAAACAAATCATCATAAAAATGTGGCCAAATGTTAAAACCAATAAATGTACCTCCAATATACGCAGGAGTAACACATGCAAATGACTCAAAAGAAGTCAATTCTAAAAATGTAGCCAAATGTTTAAAAAAAAAGTGTACTTCTAATTTATACAGGAGTAATACATGCTGTTCTTGCAATTTTCATGTGGGTTTGAAATTGCCCCCAGTTTTAGAAGTTTAAAAATAACTAAGAGGGCTGGGAATGTGGCTAGCTAGAAGTGGTGCTGGGGCTCAAGTGGTAGAGCACTAGCCTTGAGCAAAAGCAGCTCATGGACAGTGCCCAGGTCCTGAGTTCAAGCCCAGGACTCACACACACACACACAAAAAAAAAAAACTAAGGAAAGCATTCATCCAGGTGCCATACATCTATAAACCTAGTAGAGGTTGAGATCTGAGGATCACAGTTCAAAGCCAGCCCGGGCAGGAAAGTCTGTGAGGCTCCTTCCTATCTTCAATAAACTACTCAGAAAAAGCCAGAAAAAGCCAGAAATGGCTCAAGTGGTAGAACACTAGCTTTGAGCACAAAAAGGCTCAGGGACAGCATGCAGGCCCATGGTAAAAGTCTCAGGATCAGAAAAACAAATAAACAAAACCACTCAGATAATTCATAATAGCTCATAATGTTTACAAGAGCTTATCTGAGATTCTCCAGTTTCTGTATCTAAAGACACCACACAGGACAGTCTGAGGACCTTACGGGATTAAGTGTCTTCTCTCTTTTTGTGACTACCACTGTCCCCCAAGGGCGTTCACTCCACTGGAAAACAACGTCCCAGCAATTCAGAGCTGCCCTGTCACCCCGAGTTGAGCTCCTTGCTATACACAGATACTATACACAGCAAGATACTGCTGGAACATCTCCACAGAGGATCACTAGAAGCCTTAGAGGCTACTTCCTTTTGGCTAAACAAGCCTAGCAGCATAAACTATCTCTGCAGCCCTCCTCACTGCCTTCTTCTGTGAGGCTGTTTTCAAATGGTTTGCCAAGCACTGCTGGAGGCTGCCCTTGCCTTACTTACCCTTGCCGTAGGAAGTGCCATGAAGACCACAGACGCGCCAGTCAAAGTTTTGCTGGCAGATGGCGTCCACCAAGTTGGCACTGGTGCCATGAAACAGCTGCCTCTCGTCTATCTCTTTCCCCTCATTTCGCTTCTGCATCTGTCCTTTTTGCCTAGAATGATAGAGGATGCATGCTGAGGGCAGAGGGAGCTGGCCACCAAGTAGAACTGGACTCACAAAAATGCATTTTGCCAAAAAACAGAAGTATTATGTGAGTAAAATATGAGGGTCATGGCCCCAGAAACTCTAGCTACAAGCCAGGGAATGAGAAAGAAGGTGGAGCAGGGCCTAGGAGAAATGCAGATGAGAGAGGTTCCCCTGCACAATCCCAGGCTTGAGAAGAACAACTCTTAGAAATCAAGGACCAAGTCCTAAATGGAGCTGGAGCCTGGGAAGCTGCAAAGTAGAGGAAAAGTCACCAGACTGCTGGTCCATGAAGGCTCAGCCTCTCTCCTTTATTGTGACCAACTATGTCAGTGACAAAAGGACACTTCACAAAAACCATGTAGAAACAGGTCAAGAGTGGGGCTTGCATGGCTACTAGTCATGACAGGAATGAGAGCTAAGCTGGGAAATTTCTTTCTTCTAAATTATTATACCACCACATGATCCAAAGGATGAGGGAGAAGGAGAGGGGAAGGAGATCAGATACACCATCATCACCAGGTGATCAGTGCTGCTGTTTCAAACTGTCCAAGAGGCCCAGGGCACTTCATTAAGTAGCTAACAGGGTAAGGGAGAGAGACACCAGCCCATCAAGAAGCAACCCCAACACACCACTGGTAGACTTCCCACAGGGCCAGGTTCTGAACTCGCTCGATCTTCTGAACAAAGTAGAAAGGTAATGTACGGATGAACAGGTTCCAGACCTTACGATACTCTTCAGAGGAAGAACTGAGGGTGATCCTCTACAAGGAGAAAAATAGTTTTCATATGTCAATGGCAAAGTGCACACTATATTTGAATCTTTTTTCAAGGTGGCTTAGAGCTGCTAGAATTGCAGAAGCAACAAACCCAGAGAACGATGACCACATTTCTTTTCCTTGTCCAACCAGCCCAAAATACAAGTGATGCCTAAGTCAGACATCATGAATGTCCACAGGATGTGTTATTCCTCCCCCCACACCCCCTAGCTGGGGGCCGAACTCAGGGCCTTGTGCTCGCCAGGCAGGTGCTCTTCTGCTGAGCTAAATCCCCAGCCCCAGGATATGTTCTTAACTTCTCTAGCCCTTCACACATGCTACCTGTACTTCTGATAACTATGAGTGTTTTGTACAAGCTCAGTAAGAGAGTCTTCCCACGACAGGGCTCATCATGTTGGAAAAACCTGTCTGTATACTGGTTGGCAGGTGACCAGCTATTAAAGATGAGCTGAAGTGCCCCATATAGGTGAGATAGTACAGGATACTAGTCATGATGATGCTCCACTATGTTCAGCAAAGTTCCCATTAGAGAATAGGCCCCAAATGAGCTGCTGAATTGTCAATTCTCCTGTCTCTGCATCTAATGTTTTCCCCTTACCACATGTAAACCTTCTTTCATTCCTTTTTCTTTCCTTAGTAAAATTGAATTATCTAGATAAGCTTTAGCTCAGAAGCCCCTTATTTCCTCCCTTCCTAGCAATTTTATAGCTCATCCTCCTCTTTTCATACTACATGTTTTTCTTTCAAAGATATAGGCATCTTCTGGGTAATCATGTAGCCTTAAAGTTCCAAAGACCTGCAAAAGCAAAGAGCATCTGTCCACACCTACTCATCTGTCCATACTTTCACATCTCTACAGAGCCTCTCTTTGTCTAGCCCCAGCCAATACTGAGTTTTGTACCTTATAGCCTGGGTCTGGCAGAGCTGAGGGATCCCAATAGTCTGGGATGGACTTCGGGCCTTGAAACTTGACAGTGCTTAAAAAAAGTAAACAAAACCACTTATACATGTTATCTTTAGACATAAAGAAATCTGTCATAGCTGGTCTCTACTAGCTTTCAGAAGTAGTGAGTCTCAGTAAAGCGTATTTTAAAAGCATGTAGAAGGTAAAACGAAGCACACAAATACAATATCCATAATATAAGAATGTTTTATCTTTGCCTATGTAGCCAAACCCTCATTCTGAGAGATTCACTATGCACCCATATCCCACTTCCACAAAGAAGACCTAGAGAGCATGGACAGAACAGCTTCACAGGCCACAGCCTTTACCCACAGTCTTGAAATCCAAAGTGCTCCAAAGAGGATTTTAAAAGCTTCAATCATATGTAATTAACATTATAAAAACATTTTTCAAAAACATAAAATTGACATCAAAACCTTCTTGGCAACATAAATTTGATAAGAGGCTATTGTGGTCTGTATTCATCCTTCTAAAAGGGACAACACCAAATTTTTACAGTAATACTCATGAGCCAAATTACAGGATATTACATAATAAAGACACTGTAAGATTTAAAAATAAAAACAAACCAACAAACAAAAGGTTCTAAAATACAAAGAGTTTAGGAACAGCACTGTGAGACCATAATTCCTAATCATTCCCCTTAAGTTTCAGAATGCCCTGCTGTTCCTACATAGATCTATCTTCTGTTTCTGCTAGCATGAGACATGATGCTCCATTCCAAGCTCAAAGAACTCCCACAAATAACCTTCCTAAGAAAGTGGAGCAGTTTAAAAATAACTGAGGAAGGTCGTACCAGCAAATAATCATCCAGAGCAGATCCACAAAGACAACAACACAGTTAAAATAAGTTATTCCTATGTTTAAAGAAATGAAAAGCAAATAAAAAAACTTTTAAAAAAAGACCTGGACGATCTAAAAAAGAACTTCTAGAAATGTCAAGTCAATTCCTTGATAGTAAAAGCTGAATGGATAAGGTAACTAGCAGATCCATTCATCTGACAATAGAACTGAGCTGAAAGATAAGTGAAATGCAAGTACTCACAAGATGGTTTGTGAGCCTGAAGTGTGGCTCTAGTGATAGAGTACCTGTGTAGCAAGTGTGGGGACCTCCCCCCAGTTCAAACCCTGGTAGTTTGCTCAAAAATAAATAAAACAGAAGATGCCTTGTTTAGAGCAAGACAGACAAAGGACATGATGGGGAAGGAGCTACATAGAAAATACAATGAGAAAGCCTTGCTGGAATCTAGCTGGGACCCACCAAAGGAAGCTCCAGACAGAGAGGAATGAGTAAAACAGGTAGGATACACTAACTTTAGGCAGAATAAATAGAAACACACACCTAGATACATCATAATGAGATGTATAACTCTTAAGACAGAGCCCTTTAAAATTAGCTAGAGGGAAAAAAAGCAATTACTGTGAAAACAATGCCAGTTACATCAATAGCCAATTTCTCAAAAGTAACAATGGAAACCAGAAGACAGTGGAGTGGTCATCTTTAGTGTTCTAAGATAAAGTAATTATAACCTATATCCAGTGAAAATACCTCTCAAGATTATGAAAAAATACAGGCACTAAGACAAACTAAAAATAAGAGTTTCTAACAAATCTTCATATAAGGAAACTTAAAAGGACAAAGAAAGGGGTAAAATATGAGTAATAGTGAAACATTTACAGTAAAAAATAATTAATTGTACTTCTCAAAGCTAAAGTTAAAAATGCCCAGAAGAAGATAAATGGAAGGATATGTATAGGTCCTTCTATTCGTTGTTATGTAGAATAAATGATTGTCTTTTCCCTCCTAAGTAAAAAACACATGTATTTTCTAGTACAGCTTTAAAAAAAAAATAAAGTATGCAACTTCCAAACAAGTAGAGGCCAAAATGAGGCTAAAAAATCCAAAAGAAAGAAAAGGATCAATCCCATGAATACAATATTTTTATTAAGGATAGATGATAAAGCATAAGGTATACAAATGCTGTTCCAAATGCAACATTGAATGATGTTCCTAAAACAATGGAGGTCACTCAGTGGTAAAGTGCTTGCCTATCATGCTCAAAGCCCGAGGTTCAGTGTCTTAGCACTGCAAGAAAAAAAATGTCAGTAGTGTATTGAAACTTCTCAATATGGCCATACTAACTGTTAAATAGGAAAGTGTTCCTGAGGGCTGGGAAGATGGCTCAGTGGTAGAGTGCTTGCCTTGCATGCATGAGGCCCTGGGTTCGATTCCTCAGCACCACATAAGCAAAAAGAAAAAAGCCGGAAGTGGCGCTGTGGTTCAAGCGGTAGAGCACTAGCCTTGAGCTGAAGAGCTGAGGGACAGTGCCCAGGCCCAGAGTTCAGACTCCATGACCGGACCCAAAAAAAAAAAAAAAAGGTGTTCCTGAGTCACCAAAAAGTGCCCATTGGTCATGGAGGCAAAATAGCCTTTCCTGCTGGAGTATACAGCATTAAACCTACAAATGGAGAGGTCCCAAATCAATCATATCTTTGTCTGTATTTGACTGAAATAATCACTGTACTTTTCCTTCCATTCTCTCTTTCTCCCTCCCTCCCTCCTCCTTCCATTCCTCTTTCCCTCACTCCTTGCATCCCTCATGTGCTGATTATCAAACCCAGGATCTTGTTCATGCTAAGTATATATTCAACCACACTAAGCTATATCCTCAGCCCAATCAGTTTTATTTCTGACATTTGGCATCTTCTTGTGTTCTCCTGAGAACTAAGTCAGAATACTGATACAAGAGATCCAGTCTCAGAAAGAACACAGCCAAAAAGACTATTCCAAACTTTACTTGATGTATGCTCTAAATAGGGAAATAATTTTTTATAAGTCTTTGAGCTGGATGAGGGCCAGAAGCAGCCCAAACTCTAACTCAGAAGCAATACAGACTTATCCATCTAACCAAAAAGTTTTAAGCCTCTGTAGGGTAAAATACTTTATAGGCAAAGTCAAAAGGTAAATAAAGCCAAGAGAAAATATTTGAAATGTATAGGACTAACAAGGGACTAATCTCTCTAACAGAAAGAAAGGTTCTTGACATTTTAGAAAAATACCAAAAAGTTGACAGAAAAAATGAAGAAAATCATAAACAGCCCCCAAGGAAGAGGGGAAGGTATGCATATGAATGACCCTTACATGTTAGGAAAAAATACTCAACCTCACTCATGAGTGAAACTAAAGAGCACTGACACACCCTTTCACACTTACCAGAATGACTGAAGCTCAAGAGCCTGACAACTCATTGTCAGCGAGGCAATGAATCCAGGTAGAGTACCAGGTGGTCCAAGCCCATGAAAAGGAACTTGATTTACTTTCTAGGACCTGATCTGACCTGACCATTTACTTCATAAATCTGAAAAGCACATATACCAGATGATTCTTTGTGATATACTTTGTAAAAGCAAAGACTGAAAATAACACAAACATCTACAAAAGCAGACAAATTAAATGAACATGTTACTTGTACAGAAGAGAAAATCACCAAAGCAGAAGCAGATTTAGAAAGTCTACAATGAGCCAGGTGCCTGGGGCTCATGCCTGTAATCCTAGTTACTCAGGAGGCTGAGATCTGAGGATTGAGGTCCCAAAGGCATCCCAGACAGGAAAAATCTGTGAACCTTTTATCTCCAATTAAATACAAAAAAAAAAAAAAAAAAAAGCCACAAGTGGAGCTGTGGCTCAGGTGGTAAAGCAATGACCTTGAGTGGATAAAGCTAAGGGACAGCATCAAGGCCCTGAGTTCAAGCCTCAGGACCAGCTCCACCCTGTCCCCCAACCCCAACAGGCTTCAATGAATTGAAATAATTATCAGGAGCCACTTATTTAGGTATTTTCTTTTTTGGTACTTGGGATCAAACCCAGAGCATTTGCCACAGAGCTACATCCTAGCTTCAGGATCCACTGTTAAGTTTTAAAAAAAAAAAAAAGTAAGGTACAGAACAGTAAATATATAGCAGGTTACTGATGGTAAGTGAGTAGGCAAATATTCTTGCATGTATATATGCATATGTAGTTATTTTTGAGAAAAGAAACACAGAGAAACCAAACACTAATGAAAATAGCTCACTGCTGTAGGCCTCTAGCCTCACCTATGATTAGGACCTCAACTAGAGATTCCTGGCAACCACCCTGTAAGAAAACTTGTACTAAGGATAAAGCTAGCCCTATAAGTGACTACCAATTTGGAGTACATTACCATTCCATGTACATGGTTTTTCTATTAGTATAATTCCATCGTTACTTCATCATTTCAACATTTTAAGAAATTCACATTTGTTAACTCAACTATCACACTGTAGCACTAGTGGCTCACACCTGTAATCCTAGCTACTCAGGGGACTGAGATCTGAGAATGGTGATTCAAAGTCAGCCCCACAGGAAAGTCTGTGAAACTCTTATCTACAATTAAGAACCAAAAAGCCAGAAATAGAGCTGTGGCTCAATTAGTAGAGTGCTAGCCTTGAGTCAAAAAGCTCAGGGACAGTGCCAGGCCTGAGTTCAAGTCCCAATACAAGCACCACAAAAACAAAAAAAAACCCTGTCACACAGCAAACTGATGGGCTGCCTTCAAAGTCAAGCCAGGCTTGCCCATTCCCACAAGCAGACTTGTCATCGTGTGTGATGACACTCCTGCCCACAAGGAGAATTCTTTCTGGCTGGAAGATTTTCCCAACTCATAGGTTGGATGACATTAGAGTGGGAGAGTTACACAAGCCAGTCAGACTGTCATGTTCTATCTACAGAACACATTCCAAATGATACCACATGCCAACCAAGCTTCCCACATTCAACCTACCAGGCTTGCTTTGTCTGCACATCCAGAGGAGACACATATTTGGGTCTGCGGCAAACCTTTCTGATGGTGCCATAGGCCAGGTTTTTCTGAGTGAAAGCTGAAACAATATAGACAATGAAAATACACACATAGAGGGCCGTAACATTTTATAAACATAAATTAAATGGGTTGGAAAAGTAATTCAAATGTAAAGCCCAGAATGAGGCTTAAACAATAAGGCAATTTTGCACATTTCAAATATTTATAAAGAAAACAGGTATCCTTAGGAGGCTGGCTTTAATGAATAGAGAAATGATTAGTAATTGATGTATCAATTATACATGAGTGCTTTTAAATTGTTCCTTCCAATCTTGTTTAAATGATTATTCTTCTTAGTAATTTTTTCCCAGCTTGGATATAAAAAAAGCTTTACACCAACCTGAAAACAAATTACCACAGCTTGAGTTAGAGAGATTTGGAGTTGATATAATAATTTTACTCACAGATATTTTTTAGTGTGATTAAACTGGCTCTATAGCAGTATTCATGAACCTTTAAAACCTACATCATCTTTAATAAAGAAAATTATTGCTGCTTAACCCTCTACCTCATATTCATTCTGATAAGGGAGTTTGGACACCACCTCTTAAGTTAAAAATGATGAACACCTAGAAGATTGTATGTATCTCACCAGGAAAATCTTGTCAAGTCCTACTTTGCACACTAAAGAGTACAAAATAATTTTGTTTTCATTATAAGGACATTTTAAGATTAAATAATGTAGATGCCTGGAATTTTACCTTACTGTATTTGAGTATAAAGTGTCTAACTCCCTGAGCATATAATCTCCACACTGCAACCAGCCAGTCTCATCCAGAGCCCACAATCACACACAGATTACATGACCATTCTGTCACCCACCACTCACCCTTCCACTGACAGTTGGCTCAACAGCAGACTTCAAAGTTTTTATTGACTTGTTAATCACAGATAATAAATATTAAATGAGCTTCCACTTGTGAAATTGAAAGTTATTCAGGCTATCTGGACTGGCTAACTGTAGTTGGGTCACTTCTCTACTCTGCCACAGACAAAGTGAGGCCCCTTACCTAGTGTGCCCTTGCAAGTTTCCTAATTTACCATCTGCAGCCAGAGCAGGATGTCAGAACTCTGTCTGGAAGATTGGCTTTTGCCTTGAGTGAATCTTTGGTAACAAGAGTCCCTAGAAGGACAAAGCTAAGTTTCCCCAGTCCTACAGAACAAGTCATTCAGGATCTTGTGTAGGTATTTTAAATGTATTTACTTCCTATAAATGTCAAATGTGGTAGAAATTCATTATACACAATAGTGAGATACTGTGAGGGCAAAGCAAACCACCTTAAACTTTTTTGTGTGGATACTATTATCTACCTTTAAATAAGAAAACAAAACAAAAGAACCATGCCCATCCAAATGAGTTTAGGGCAAGCTGCAGCAAACATGCTTTTTCTAACCACCTGTGTGTAATCATCCCCATCCTTTCCCTGAAAGTCCGTTTCTTGGAAAGGAGATCTAAGGTAAGTACACTAAAGGTGCATTTGACATTTTTGCAATATATATTTTTATATATTCAGACATTTAAAAGAATTATTTCAAACTGTGATAAGCAGCAGATGAGTGATAGTTGCATTGGACTGATCTTAAAGGAAATTCTGGGGCTGGGAAGTTGGCTCAGTGGTAGAGTGCTTGCTTCACATTCATGAGGCCCTAGGTTCTATTCCTCAGTACCACATAAGCAGAAAAAAGCCGGAAGTGGTGCTATGGCTCAAGTAGCAGGGTGCTAACCTTGAGCTGAAGAGCTGAGGGACAGCACCCAGACCCAGAGTTCAGGCCCCACGACTGATCAAAAAAAAAAAAAAAAAAAAAAAGGAAATTCTGATTTGTATAATCCACCCCATTCTTCCAGACACCGATAGTCTATTAACTGTAGAGCACGAGCCTTGTCATTTATGTTAGCGTCATTCCCACTGATGAGCTTATTGAAAAGCAGAGATTCTCCCTTAAGCAAAACCTCAAATGCTTTACAAAGTTGCCACTTTGGGGCAACTACTTCATAATTTTTTAATTACTGGCCAAAAGCAAGCAGTGGTTTTTGGATAAGTCACTGAAGACACTCTGCTGTTCTCCATACAGAACCAAGTCCACAAAAATAGCAAAGATAGTAGAAGAATATTGACTCTCTCATAACATGCCAGATACTCAGAAGGACTCCAAGTCTAAAGTATGAAACATAAACAAAGATTAACTGGACAGAGCTAGACTAACATGACCATATAGAAATGGACAAAAAAAATTACAAAGGCCTGGTGCCAGAGACTCACACCTATAACTAGCTATTCAGGAGGCTGAGATCTGAGGATTATAATTCAAAGCTAGCCCAGGCAAAACAGTCCATATGACTCTTATCTCCAACTAACTACAAAAAGCTGGAAGGGGGTCTGTGGCTCAAGTGGTAGAGGACCTACCTTGAGCACAAAAGCTCAGGGACAGTGCCCAGGCCCAGAGTTTAAGTCCCAGGACCAGTGTGCGTGCATGCCCACACACACACATACAAATACAAAGGAGCTCAGAGCACAGCTTAAGTGGTAGAGTGCTTGCCTAGCATGTGCAAGACCAGAAAGAAGAAACAGGGAGGGAGGGAAGAGAAAGAAGGGAGAGAAGAAAAAATGGGGTGGGAGACCTGTGTCTGGCAAAACTAAAACCTAAAATTATTCTCACGAATAGGCTGATGAAGGAACTGTCCAAAGGGTATTGGGTCTACTTTTGTAGGGTACAGTAACTGGGAAAAATTATTTGAGTCCAAGTTTCAGAACACTACTAAGTACAAGACTTTTAGCAGAAGCATGTCCTATAACATGTTTAACCTGGCTAGTGTCACTCTAAGGCCTAAAGAAAAGACAGCAGCAATAACCATGCCAAGGAGAAATGAGGTGGACACTGCACAGTGGAGCCACCTGAGCCTCACCAGACTGAGATTAACTCACAAACACAAAAGGACCTATCCACAACCTTCAGGGCAGTCACCTGGCTCTCACTGACCTTGCTAGTCCCTCTGTGCTTCAGTTCTTCCCAGTTCTCACCATCCCCAATTTCTCCACTGTGCAGACCAACATCATCTTCAATAGATCTATCTGCCAATCTGAATGGACACACCCTTTTTCTACACCTGCTCAGGCTCCAGGTTAATGTGGAAGGGCTGCGCACAAAAGTCAGGTTCTGCTCCAAGGTGGGGTACCTTTGAAGTCTAACTCGTAGTTGTGCTTTCCAGCCTGGAACTTCAAAGTGGCTGCTTGGGCGGCAGACCCTGGGGCACAGAACGCCAGGTAGGCCTTCTCCACGTCACTGCTGCTGATGGTGGTCACAGGGTGGGTTGTGCCCTGTAAGGAAGCCAGGAATTTCATGAAAGCAAGAACCCACACAGATAAGTAGCATCCACACATTCCAGATAGTCCTGATATGGGGAAGAAGGCATCAGGAAGCAGGTAGTCAGGGAGGGAGGAATGCAAAGGAAATAGCACAGTTCACCTGAAACTGCCTTGGTAAATGGAAGATAGTAAGTATGGGTCATATTGAGCAATATATGGTATTGCAAGCAATGGAAAAGAGCATATCCAAGTTCCTCAGAATCACATAGCTATTCAAGTCAGTGAAATATTTTTTGTGAATTCTCTCATACTGCCTGACTAATCAGCAAAGCCAACACTGTCTTCTCTGATTGTTCACATTCCCACCAATCCTCTATGTGGTTTTCTTTTTCTGGTCCCTTGAAGAACACTCCTATTTCGTTCAGCTGTGCACTTCAATCATGCATCTATTCAACAATTACCTACTAGATAGCTAATGTTTGGACTGAATGCTCTGAATTTGAGTTCTGGTCCCACCTATGATTTGGATGTTCTTATCCTAAGGCTTAGTCTCTGGTATGGCAGAACATTTAAGATACTGATGCTAGTCAGTATCTCTCAGGAGTGGGTTATTATGAAGCAAAGCAACTCTACCTTCTTGGCCTATTCTGCACAGGACTACATTCTGCTTATCTATCATTTTGTAACCCAGCAACAAAGCACCAGCAACCAAACATATGGGACCACCTGATCTTGGAGTTTCAGCTTGTGAGCTCAATAAACCACTTTTTTTTTTTTGGATGGTCTTGGGGCTTGAACTGAGGATTGGGTGCTGTCCCTGAGCTCTTTTGCTCAAGGATAGTGCTCACTTTGAGCCACAGCCCCACTTCTGGTTTTCTGATGGTTAATTGGAGACAAGAGTCTCAAGATTTTCCTGCCCTGGTTGGCTTTGAACCATGATCCTCAGATCTCAAGCCCCTGAGTAGCTAAAATTACAGGCGTGAGTCACCAGTGCCCAATACCACTTTATTCTTCTTCATTTTTTTTGCCAGTCCTGGAGCTTGAACTCAGGGTCTGGGCACTGTCCCTGAACTTCTTTTGCTCTAGGCTACCACTCTACCACATGAGCCACAGTGCCACCTCTGGTTTTTTCTGTTTATGTGGTACTGAGGAATCGAACCCAGGGCTTCATGCATGTTAGGCAAACACTCTACCACTAAGCCACATTCCCAGCTACCACTTTTCTTTTATTTTTTTTTTTGTCTGCTGTGAGGCTTGAACTCTGGGCCTGGGTTCTGTCCTTGAGCTTTTCTCCTCAAGGCCAACACTTTACCACTTTGAGCCACAGCACCACTTCCAGTGTTTGGATGTATGATTGGAAATAAGAGTCTCATGGACTTTCAACCCAAGCTGACTTTGAACTGAAATCCTCAAATCTGAGCCTCCTGAGTAGCTAGGATGGGTATGAGCCACCAGGGCCCAGCTACACTTTTCTTTATAAAGTATTCAACCAGTTATTTGATAACAGCAACAGAAAATGGACTAGTATTACACTCCCAAATTTGCTGACTTTATACTGACAAGTTGAAATGCTCTTAAGTCTCAGTTATCAAGTATGTAGGAAGAATAATTATTATACTTAGCACATTCATCCAATATATAACAGAACTGTACCAATATCATAGGATTTAAAAGTAACTAGCCCTTAGCATAGTGCCTGGGGAAAATACTCAATGAATGGTACTATCATCATTTTCATACTTAACAATACATTAATAAATGAAATTAAAATTACTGAACCTAATAAGATTCTCTGTCCTGTCAATTTCCCTACTCCCACTGTTGATGTCATCCTATTTTCCCAAGCTCACAGTTCTTCACTTTATGGACAGAACAATAGATGAAACAAGATCTGCTACAGCTTCTTGAGAGACTCAATATAGCAGGGAAAGAAGAGGAAACAAAAACAGACAAGACAATGCATCATGCTCAAGATCTCCCAAAGATTTGCACAGAATGCTACAAAAGCTGAGGGAACTTATTGCCAAGTGAACTTACTGGGAATGATCAAGAGGTATGGGAACAAATTTCTGGAACAAAAAGATATGTGAGCCCGAGTCTGACTAAGAATGCATTGACCCTATGAAGGATAAAGGGGAAGAGGGTAATAGGTGTAGAAATTTTTGAAATTACTTGTATTTATGCCCTTGCCTAAATTTCTTCTTCTGAACTCTTTGGTCGTTTTTGGTTGTTTTTTTTTTTTTTTTTTTTTGTCAGTTGTGGGGCTTGAACTCTGGGAGTAGGTCTGTCCTTCAGCTCTTGAGCTCTGGGCTAGCACTCTACCACTTGAACCACAGCATCACTTCCAGTTTTCTGGTGATTAACTGGAGTTAAGAGTATCACGGACTTTCCTGCCCTGGCTGGCTTTGAACCATGATCCTCAGATCTCAAGCCCCTTAGTAGCTAGGATTACAGGCATGAGCCACGAGTGCCCGGTACCTGGCTTCTTTGGTCCTTTAAAACGAAACTGCTAATGCTGGAAGTGGAGCTATTAAACCTCTTAAGATTACGAGCATTAAACCTCTTAACCACCATGGCCCTGCTTTCAAGCCTCAGGACTAGCACCAATAAATAAATAAAACCCATTAGATTAGAATAGAGGAGAATGAGAAGGTAGCTTAAAAATTCCTTCTAGACAGCAAGAGGAAAGAAGAGAAATCTGACCCTTTTGGCCTGAAGAAATGAAGCAAGGAGTCAAAAGTAACAGAAAGAGTAGACAGACACATGCATCTTTCCTGACTCAAAACCTTAAGGTCAAAATCCCTTATGAAGCTGGCACCGGTGGCTCATGCTTGTAATGTTCACTACTCAGGAGGCTGAAATCTGAGGATCATGGATCAAAGCCAGCCAGGGCAAGAAAGTCCATGAGACTCTTATCTCCAATAAACCACTCAGAAAACCGGAAATGGCGCTGTGGCTCAAGTGGTAGAGTGCTAGCCTTGAACTGAATAGCTGAGGGACAGAGCCCAGGCCCAGAGTTCAAGCCCCGTGACTGACAAAGGAAAAAAAAAACAAACCCTTATGACAAGTAACCTAAGGGAGACGAGAAGAGTAAATGAAATGATCTGAATCTGAATTCAGTTAAGAACAAGAAACTTTAAAGTTTCAATGGAGCCTCATACAATCCAGGAAGTTCAAGTATCTATCAGGCCCATAGTTCATAGTGGAGACGAGTCCCTGTATAAATAGTACCCTCCTGATACTTGTATTTCTGCAAATGACCAGAAACTCCCTTTTAATCTCAGTTGTCCTTGAACTCTACCCTCATGTAATTAACAGCAGCAGTTATTCAATCTGGGCTGAATCAGTTCTTGATATAAACTGATTTTCTTTTACTTTCTAAAGTGAACTTTAAAGTTACAGAAACAAATAAGAAAGCCTTAAACTTCATATTACAAGCACACAAACATACCTAAATGCCCAGGCACTGGGTCTAGAGTTCTGTTAACAGTAAGAGATGAACTTTGCTATTTTAACAAAAACCAATGAAGAAAGCTGATCTCACTACAAGTTTTATCATTCAATTCTCATGAGTCAAGAGATACCTAGTTGTTCAAAGATGAAAGTATATAGAAATGAACTCCAAATTACCTATCTGTGCTGAAATATACCCCCAAAGTCATCCACAGATCCGAGGATCCTTGGCTTTACCAAAGACAGCCCTTGTAAATACTGTGCTCACTTTTTCAATGGCTCTTCCTTCCTGGGAAAAATATCATCTTTTTTTCAGTTACCTGTTTTCCATACTCTTGCCAAGAATCAAACTCATCATTCCAGTACCAAATCCAGTCTGTAGTGAGGATGAAGTGTGGGGGTTTGGTGACTGAGGAAGCTGTAGAAAGGCGGCGAACCTGGGAAGCACAGAATCTCATGGTGTCGAAGTTCAGATGACCAAAGTGAAAGCCACCAATTGCCTCTGAACACAAGATCCTGCAAAAAAAAATGGAAGACAAGATTGAAAACTCTACTGACTAAACTCAAAGGCTCCTCAGTTTCCACTCATGAATAAGTACACAGCTGGGCAAATATAAATACTAAATATCTCATGTGCATTTAGAAATGTTTCCAGAGAGAGGATAGGATGCTTTGTGAAAGATTAGTTCTATGTGAAAAATAATATAATTTGGACAGCACAGAAGACTAGTTATCATGAAAATTCCTCTCAAAATACTGCTTAAATATTCTTTTTCAAAATTCTTTGGAACTAGGGGCTGGAAAGGTGGCTCAGTGGTAGAGCGCTTGCCTTGCATGCCTGAGGCCCTGGGTTCGATTCCTCAGCACCACATAAGCAAAAAGAAAAAAAAGCCGGAAGTGGCGCTGTGGCTCAAGTGGTAGAGCGCTAGCCTTGAGCTAAAGAGCTAAGGGACAGTGCCCAGGCCCAGAGTTCAGGCCCCACGACCGGAACCAAAAAAAAAAAAAAAAAATTCTTTGGAACTAGAGATGTAACTCAGTGACAGAGCACTTATCTGGCATGCATCAGGCCCTGAATTCAATTCCCAGCAATGCAAAAGTAAAATAAATAAATTCCCAAACTGATTAAAAAAAAACACGAGAAATTCTTAGAAGGTAAAATAGTTAACATACACTGAGTGTTTAATGAGCCAAGCTATATTAAGTGCTTTATGTGTAATAGATTAAGTTTTCCCATCCTATAAGGTAAGGCTTTTATTTCATTGTCTCAGATGGGAAACTGAGACTCAAGAATACAGAAGCCCAGGCAGGCTAAGAAACATACATGTCAAAGCTTAAGGGAAGCAGTCTGACTGCTCAGACAGCATGTGTGGCCACAAGGACAGACTTCCCTTTTGTATGTAAAACTACTCAAAGACCAAAGGGAGGTACAAAGCCAGAGAGAAATACAGAAGCTAAGGCCAGGGCTATGTCACTGAAATAACCAAAGCCTTCTTTACAGCAACCAAAGGGAAGCCAGAAGCAAAAGTTGGGTCTGAGTAAGATAAGAAGTTCAATTTCAAAAGAAATTCTTCAGCAGAAAACCAGGGGCCTGAAATATGTGTAAGCTTAGTAAAGGTATGCTAGGCAAAGCTTAGTAAAGGAGGCTAGTGAGGGAACCTGTGCTGCCAACAAGGAAATTTTCCTGCATTCATGCTAGTTCTGAATGGAAAAGGAAAAACAAAAACAAAAAACTCCCCCCCACACACATATCCAAGGACTTCTGATTAAATCAAGCCTCAAACAAGTTTTAGGGCAATTTATATTTTTGGTACAATTCTCCCAGAGAAGCAAAAACAAATTCTCTGGAGGGATTCACTTTCAATTCGAGTCTCATAAGAATTCCCAAAAAGTTTCATCAAACAAACTCAAAATCACAAAACTTGCGTGAAAATAAGACACCATGAAAAAGTCTAGCTGACAAAAATAACCACTAAAGGGTGCAAACTAGCATTCTCACATACAAACATGCATAAAATACTCTTAAAAAATGACCTAAACATCAAAAGTATAAGCAAGGATTACAAGAACTTAAAAAAATAAAAAATTCCAAAGTAGCAGGGCTTGTGGCTCACTCTTGTAATCTCAGCTACTCAGGAGTCAGAAATTGAGAGAATCATGCTTCCAACCAAGCCTGAGCAAAAAGTTAGGAATTATCACATCTCAACAAATAATCTAGGCATGATGGTACCCTCTAATCTCAGCTATATAGAAGGCACAGATAAGAAGACAATGATCCAAGGCTAGTGCAAGGCAAAAACACAAGACTCTATCTAAAAAATAAATAAATAAAGCAAAAGGGAGAGGAACATGGTACAGTGCCTACAAGCATAAAGCAATGAATTCAAACCCAGTACCAAAAAATAATAAAAACCCACACACTTCGAGTAAGTTTGAAAGAAAAAATACGACATTTAGGAATAAGTAACAGCATTTAAACTCACAAGCAGGACAAACTGCATTTTAGACAAGGTTGAACTAGTAAGCTGGGGGACTGGGAAGACATTCTCCTAAATCCAGCAACAAGAAAGCCAAAGAAGGAATGAAAGAGAAAGCTAGGAAACATAAAAGATCAAGTGTGGAAATCTCAACATACATTGAAATGGAATTCTAGAGAATCAATATTTGAAGAGTTCAAGGTTGAGATATGGATAGTAACAATATGGACATATGGATAGTAACAATGACACAAGCTATTGTTCTCTCCAAACTGACAATGGTCAGTACAATTCCAACTTTAAAATGTAACAATAGCATAAGGAATCCCAGTAGGTTTTTGATCGATAGGGAATTGGGGAAACAGCAAAAGGTTATTATATTAAAATATAATATATGCTTGGTTATTATATTAAAATATAATATATGCTTATCTGAAATACCATGGTAAAATTCCTTGGTACAATTAATACACACTAAAAAAAAGAATGTGTGTGTGTGTGTGTGTGTTTGTGTGTGTTTCATGAAGGCCACCAAAACTAAATACTGGTTAGGCAGGCATAATGGCTCAAGCCTGTTAGTCCTAGCTATTTGGGAGGCTGAGATCAAAGACTGAAGTTCAAAGTCAGTCTTGGGGGGGGAGGAGAGGAGAGGAAGAGGAGGAAGAGGAAAAGGAGGAGGAGGAGGAGGAAGAAGAGGAGGAGGAGGGGGAGGAGGAAGATGAGGAGGGGAAGGGGGGAGAGGGAAAAGGGGCAGGGGGGGAGGAGTGGGGAGGAGGGGGAGGAGGGGCGGGGGGAGGAATTGTTCTCAAGACCATATGTCAAACAACAAAAAAAGCTGGGGACAGTGGACTGCGCATGTCATCCCAACTAGATGGGAAGCACAGATGGAAAGACTGCTGTCCAGGCTTGCCCAGGCTAAAAGCAAGACCCTATTTGAAAAATAAGGAAGGGACAAAGGACAAGAGGCATAGCATAAGTGATAGAGCCTTGACTAGCAAGTTCAAAGCCCTGAGTTCAAAACCCAGAATTGATGGATGGATGGATGAATGGATAGATGGAAACAAAACTAAACACTGTTTACAGTAAACCTCCTATACTGCACACAAGTGATACATTTCTTACCTGTCTTTTCTGGGATTGCTATATGCCTTTTCAATAAGCTCCATTTTGTCCAAATCCTTCCATTTGCCTCCATCGAAGAACTGCCATCGATATGGCAAATGGAAATGCACTCTATAGCACTTATCTAAAATAGAAACATAAAGGAGTAAGGCAATCTTGTAGTACACAGTGTGGCCTGATCCTGTGGCTGTCAATAATAGAGTAGTACTGCCCACTGACCTGAAAATGTTCCGGAAAGTTGTGGGGAAGTCTGTTTTTTCAGTTCAATCATATTGAAATACTGTGTGAAATACAGTATGTATGTGTCTTCTTTTAACAGGACCTTATATTGATTTTTAATATATATATTAGAAGTTTGTATCATTTATGAATTTTATTTTATGATTCATTTTAAAGAAATTATGATAGGATCAATAGTCCCAACTATCAGAAGTGTATGTTCTGTATCTCTATTTATGTGACATGTGGATGGGCAGAAGTCACATCAGAGAAAGCCAGATCAAACTCTACTAGAAACCTATCCCAACTACACCTCCTACCAAAGGTAACTCAGCTGCCTGGTTCAAGCAACCTGAATATCTTTTTTTTTTTTTTTTTTTGTCGGTCATGGGGCTTGAACTCTGGGCCTGGGCGCTGTCCCTCAGCTCTTCAGCTCAAGGTGAGCGCTCTACCACTTGAGCTACAGCACCACTTCCGGTTTTCTGGTGGTTTATTGGAGATAGGAGTCTCACGGTTTCTCCTGCCCGGGCTGGCTTTGAACCACGATCCTCAGATCTCAGCCTCCTGAGTAGCTAGGATTACAGGCGTGAGCCACCAGCGGCCGGCCTGAATATCTTTTGACTCCCAAGAGATTCACCCCTTCCTCAGTACATCACCACAGGTCTTCCTATACTCTACTCTCCATAATCTTCCCCTTTACCTTCCCCATGTTCCTTCTAGGCAGTAACACCCTCACTGCCCTGTTAATCCAATGACTCCCTTTTCTCATGTCAGTTCTGTTACCCAGAACATAGCTCATACCCTTTCTGCTCCACCTGTATGTAGGATGGGCAAACTTTGCAAGGGCCTTTGACGTGGTATTAGCTAGTATGGATGTTTATATTGCAACCAAAAAAGCTCCTAGACTTACTGAATTTCAAGTTCTGTCCTGCAGTGGCCTGAGCAAGGACAGACTAAATGATTTTGAGGGTCTTATACTGCCTACTCAAGCCAGAAATTACTTACACTTGGGCAACAGATGCACTGTGGAGAGGACAGAGAGGGAAAAGGACAGAAACACTGTACTCTGATATGGAGCTATCACCAAGATGTAAGCTATCAGGGAGGAAGATAAACAATTAGGTGAAGAATGCTTTTCTTCTAGGCAGAAAGTAGTGGGGGGGGGGGATGTTCTAATCTAACTACACATACATGCAGATATTACTTCTTACAAAGGAGAACTGAGTACTTGGGGACAAATTATAATGAAAAGTTTCTGTCATTTTTACATGTTTTTAATTTTGGGCCACAAGAATATATTTCCAAAGTTAAACATATGGTCAAATGAAAATAGAAGATCCAAGTATACTAATGCACCTCTGTAAAAATGAAACTGAACAGACATATACACTTCTACTGACAGGAGGGAAGAGGAGGAGAGAAGAGAGGGAGGGAAGAAAAGTGAGGGGGAAGGAAGGAAGAGAAGGGGAGAGAGAGAAGGAAGATGGGACAGGAGAGGGAAGGGGGAAGGAGCAGGGAAGAAAAGGATAGAGGGGAATGAAAGAAGAAAAGGAAAGGGAGAGGGGGGAAGGGAGAGGAGAGAGAATGCATGCATGCAAAAGATGTAGAAGATGACTCATACATAGGAAGGGTCCAGGAGTGTCACAGACTGAGGGTCAATGAAACAAGAAGCAAGAAAGGCCAACATATGAGTATGAAAGGACTCATGGAGTAGAACTCCACCATTCAGACCTGCTTGGGATGTGCAAACTTGCTACTTGCTTCACAGTAGAATAGTAAGTGCGAAGAGAATTGCTGCAGAATTGCTACCTCCCAGACCCTAGTTACAATCCAGTAGCCTCTTCTGCCACCCTCAGAAGGACACAACGCCCTTACCCTATCATTGCTGAGACAAGGCTCAGAATCACTATCAGATCCCAGGTTCAACCAACACAGATGCACACAAAATTTCTCAAGTATGATGTACAGACAGCTGAGAAACGCTCAACATTTGGGGGAAATCAATGAAGCAAAGCAGCAAGCTCCCCCAGAAGAAGCATAATCAAGAAAGTAATTATCAGAATCAATACACAAATGCTAATAGTTAGACTACACACAAAAGCTACACTAACACAATTTCAAGGGAAAAAACAGGAAAATACTTATCTTGAAATAGGCAAGTATTTTTAGGCTACAAAAAAACAAGAAAAAATTTAAGATGGCCCTATGGACTAATAGTAAACATTATTAAAATACCTACTCTTCGGCTAGGATGTAGCTCAGTGGCAAAGTGCTTGCCAAGCAATACAACATCTTAGGTTTGATCCTCAGTACCACAAAGAAAAGACAAAATAAAATAAAATACCTGCTCTTCAGAGGACATCACAAAGGAAATAAAAATGAGTGGAGAAGAGAATGAGGAAGGTTAATTCTGAAAGACACAAATGTATGAAAATAAAGTAAAATAAAATTTTAGAAATGAAACTAGCTGCCCGTGGCTCATACCTGTAATCCTAGCTATTCAGGAAACTAAGATCTAAGGATCGTGCTATGAAGCCTGCCCTGGCAGGAAAATCCGTGAGACTCTTATTTCCAATAAATTACCAGAAAGCTGGAAGTGGAGCTGTGGCTCAAAGGGTAGAACACTAGCCTTGAGCAAAAGAAGCTCATGGATAGTGGCCAGGCCCAGAGTTCAAGCTTCAGAACTGGCGCACGTGCACACACGCACACACCAAAAAAAAAATTTTAATAAAAGACACCATCTGGAAGGATGGATTTTCATCATATATAACATATGAAACTTGTCCAACTCAATAATAAGATCAAATAACTCAAAATGGACAAAGTAGTCATGAAAGACTAATGTTACATAATTCTAATTATTTCTTGCAGTGCTGGAGGTGAAATTCAGGGCCTTAAGCATCCTAGGAAGTTCTCTCCTCCCAGCCCTTGTTTTTTTTTTGTTTTTTGTTTGTGTTGTTGTTGGGGTTTTTTTGGTCATGGGGCTTGAACTCAGGGCCTAAATGCTGTCCTAAACTCCAAGCTCATTTTGCTCAAGGCAAGCAAGCGCTCTACCACTTTGAGCCACAATGCCACTGCTGATTTTCTGGTGGCTAATTGGAAATAAGAGTCTCATGAACTTTTCTGCCTGGGTTGGCCTGGAATCATGGTGCTCAGAACTCAGCCTCCTGAACTAGGATTACAGGTATAAACCATCATCATCTGGCTTAGAATTTTATATATATGAAATATCCAGGTAAATCCAGAAACAGGCGCAAGTCTAGTTGGGTAGGAGCTGTTGGTGGAGAAGAAAAAATAACTACAGATGGTATGATTTCTTTATGGCTGATGAAAATATTCTAACATTGTGATCATGACTGCAAGTTTCTGTGATTATTTTATTAAATCAGTGAATTGGTAGGTGGCAATATCATAATACTGTGATATAAAAATCAGCAAAAGATTTGAACAAATATTTTTATGAAAGATAGAAATGTCTGGTAAACACAAGAAAATGTTAACACCACTGATTATCAGGGGATGCAAATGAGACCCTCAATGAGATACTACTACTCACTTATTAGAATGGCTAAAATTTGAAAGACTGCCAATTCTAAATGTAGCCTATAGGGCAATAACTCTCATGAACTGCTGAAGGGATATATGTGGATGTGGGGTGTAAACTTAAGACAGTTTTGGCAGTGTCTTTTTTTTTTTGGGGGGGGGGGTCCAGTCATGGGGCCTGAACTCTAGGTCTGGGTGCTGTTCCTCAGCTCTTCAGCTCAAGGCTAGCGCTCTACCACTAGAGCCACAGTGCCACTTACGGCTTTTTTTCTTTTTGCTTATGTGGTGCTGAGGAATCGAACCCAGGGCCTCATGCATGCAAGGCAAGCGCTCTGCCACTGAGCCACCTTCCCAGCCCATTTTGGCAGTTTCTTAAATACTATAACAGTCTGTAATTCCACTTCTAGGGATTTACCCAGAGAATTGATAACATGTATCCGCATAAATATTTGTAGAAGTTTTATTCATAAAAGCCAAAAGTGGAAACTGCCAAAATGTATCAGCACATAAATAGATACTCTGTAGTCAATCCATTTAATAGAATACCACCCAGCCATAAAAAATAAACTATTAATATACCACATGTCTGAGTCTCAAAACTACACTGAGCAAAAGACTCCACATGCCTGGGTCTCAAAACCACACTGAGCAAAAGACTCCACATGCCTGAGTCTCAAAACCACACTGAGCAAAAGATTTCACATACATGAAATTCTAGAAAAGGCAAATTTAACCTACAGTAATTTAAAAAGGAACTATCCCACATTATGATATACTTATAAAAAATCAGAACCATATTTTTTTTTTAGATAGGGACCTCCTATATAACACAGACTACCCTGATTTTACTACGTAGCCAAGGCTATTCTCAAATTTGAATCTTCCTGTCTCGGTATCCCAAGTGCTAGAATTACAGGTATATACCATATCACCAACCCAGCCAAAACTGTGGATACATTTTATGATGTATAAATCATGTCTCAATAATATTGACTTTATCCAGGCACCAGTGGATCACGCCTGTAATCCTAGCTACTCAGGAGGCTGAGATCTGAGGATCACGGTTCAAAGCCAGGCCAAGCAGGAAACTCCGTGAGACTCTTATCTCCAATTAACCACCAGAAAACCAGAAGTGGTGCTGTGGCTCAAGTGGTAGAGTGCTAACCTTGAGCTGAAGAGCTCAGGGACAGCACCCAGGCCCAGAGCTCAAGCCCCAGGACCAACAAAAAATAATAATAACAATAACAATAATAATGACTTCAAATATACATGTATATATGGCACACAAGCTCAGATTAAGAACTCTCCTTACAAGACTATGGAATGATTCATACATATTTGTATACTGAATGGAATATCACTAGTTGAATACTGGACAGTTGTTTTAAAAATGAGGTGAACTTACACATACTGACATGGAAAAAAAATCTCCAAAATGTAACATTAAATAAAAGATGGAGGCTGAATAATATATGCTCCCAATCTGTTTTTAAATATCATCATGACCACACAGCAATTTATTTTTACCTTTGGAAAAGGAAATAGTTGCTTTTAAAGGACAGTTATGTAATTTGAGAAAGACTCTTTCTTTAGTTGAAGGCCAAGTTATAAGTTAAGAAGCAACTAAGAACAGGTACTGGTAGCCCATATATGTAATCCTACCTACTAAAGAGGCTGAGATGTGATGGTTCAAAGCTATCCCAGGCAGGGAGGTCTTATCTCCAATCAACTACCAAAAAGCCAAAAGTGGAATTGTAACTGCAGTGGTAAAGTGCTAGCCTCCAGGATAAAAGCTCAGGGACAGCACCCAGGCCCTGAGTTCAAGCCCCAAGACCAGCACCAAAAACAAGTGAGGGAGGGAACAAATGTTTAGTGAGCTGGGTACCCATGCTCATGCCTGTAATCCTAGATACTCAAGAGGCTGAGATTTGAGGATCATGGTTCAAAACCAGACTGGGCAGGAAAGTTTGTTAGACTTTTCTCCAATTAACGACCAGAAAACCAGAAGTGGTGCTGTGGCTCAAGTGGTGGAGTGCTAGCCTTGAGCTGAAGAGCTGAGGGACAACGCCCAGACCCAGAATTCAAGCCCCACAACCGACCAAAAAAAATGTTTAGTGAAATACATACATACAAAATATCTGCTACTTGTATTAAAAGGGAGATAGTAGGGCTCACTGGACCAATACAGAAGAACCTTCAACTTAACTACTTCTCCAGGAGCTAATACATGTGTCTCCTCCTTGATGTGGTTGTTCCCACTTTCTAAGGCTCTCCTAGGATAGTTTTACCATTCAGAAGTGACAGTTACCTTGGATCCCAGTAGACTGAGCTTCTTTGTTTCCTGAAGGTCTGTGACCCCATGACAAGCTAAAGGTAGACACTCGACATATGCTTCCAACCAAAATGGTATGTACACAAAAACTCATCTACAACTTTATTTACAAAAATTCAAAGAATTCCTATCATCCTCAACTCCCCAACAAAATAGCTCAGGACTGGCTAAAGTAGCAGTTACCCCTCAGCTCTTTAGCAGAGCTTACAACAAAGCTGGGGGAAGGAGAAGCAGTTAACTTGTCACACAGGAGCAAAGAAGGCCTCCTTCAACTTACCTTGAAAGCTACAACTTTTTCGAATATGGTACAAACAGATCTGATCACTCTCCTCCTGGCTAGGAGTGTTTGGAGACACTGAACCTGAACTGTCTCTTCTTTCTGCAAAGAAACATCACAATAATGTGTTAGCTTCAAATGAAGCTTTTCATACAGGGTTACAGTAGTTCATGGTACAAATGGGAGAAAAGAACTCATTCATCTCTCTGTATAAGAAAATAAGTGGTCCCAGGCAAGACTGACAGAACCTATCCTGTTAGGAATCAAAGTACCTCAAACACAGATGGACATCCTACTTTTTTAGGAGGAAGACTGGCTTTTTTCTAAACCCAGAATGCAGAAGAGGGGCTTTTATTTTTTTGGTTGGTCGTGGGGCCTGAACTCTGGGCCTAGACACTGTCCCTCAATTCATCAGCTCAAGGCTAGCACTCTACCACTTGAGCCACAGCATCACTTCCAGCTTTTCTGCTTATGTGGTGCTGAGGAATCGAACCCAGGACCTCATGCATGCAAGGCAAGCACTCTACCACTGAGCCACTTTCCCAGTCCGAAGGGGCTCCTTTTTTAAACTTGGACTGTCTACCAAAGCCACCAGAAAGGGCAAACAGAAGGCTAGTTTTTGTAAACTAGATTTGATTCCATGTAACCAGTACTTATTTATTCTTAGAACTCGGTAATAAGAACCAAGAAAAAGGCAACACATGTAGAAATGTTACAATGCCAGATGAAATCTTCATAATTTTGTCACTTTACACTGGGGGTGGGGTACTGGGGTTTGAACTCAGGACCTCACATTCTTACTTGGCATTTTTGCTCAAGGCTAATGCTCTACCACTTGAGCTACATCCCCAACTTCTGGCTTTTCTTCCTGGTTGATTGGAGACAAAGGTCCCATGCACTTGTCTGCACAGGTTGGCTTCACACTACAATCCTCATACCTCAGCCTCTTGACTAGCTAGGATTATAATCAGCTCACTGGCTAGTACTCTACCAACTGAGCCATGCCTCCAACCCCACTGACTCTGGTAATTTTTGAGACAAGGTCTTGCTACATCTTTAGGACCCTGATGATCTTCCTTCTTTCCCTCAGGATGGTAACCTTGGAATTTAACCTCTCTGAACAGATTCTCCCTCACTTACCAAAGATATAACTTACTAGCACTCCTAATCATCTATTTGAAGCAAAACCTGTCTAGCAAACTTCCAGCGGCTTACACCTGTAATCCAAACTAGTCAGGAGGCTGAGATCTGAAGACTGCAGTTCAAGCCCAGCTCAGACATGAAAGTCTATGAGACTCTTCTTTCTAATAAACTACTGAAAAAGCCATAAATGGAGCTGTGGCTCAAGCAATAGAATGCTAGCCTTGGGCAATAAAGCTAAGGGACAGTGCCCAGGCCCTGAGTTCAAGTCCAGGACTGGCACACACGCACACATACACACACACACACAAAACCCACAATCTGGGAACTGGTGGCTCAAGCATGTAATCCAAGCTACTCAGGAGGCTGAGAGGATCAGGGTTCAAAGCCAGCCCAGGCAGGAAAGTCCATGAGACTGTTATCTCCAATAAACCACCAGAAAAACAGAAGTGGCACTGTGGCTCAAGTGGCAGAGCACTCCCCTTGAGTTGACGAGCTGAGGGGAAGCACCTAGGCCCAGGGTTCAAGCCCCATGACTGACAAAACAAACATACAAACAAAAAACCCTGTCTACTGCTGGGCTTCCTAAATTTAAACAGGACTATGAAAATATGTGAAGAGAATGTAAAGAAAAAGACACAGCAAGAACAACTTTTTAATAGCAGCAATCAGATAACATTAGTGTTTGCTGGCATTCTTGGAACTTACCTGATATTGTAGAAAGCAGTATATTAAAAATCATAGCTTTCTCTATATCTAAACAAGATCTGATTATATAACTGAGGGAGAGAGATGTCTCATATTGACAAGTATCACCAGGCCAAAGACACAGCCAACACAAAGTTGCTAAGTAAAAGAACTGAGAATCAGCTAGGCATGGGTGGCTCGTACTTGTTATCCTAGCTACTCAGGAGACTGAGACCTGGAAGATTGAGGTTTGAAGCTAGCATGGACAGAAAAATCTTTGAGACTCCAGGCTAACCATCAAATTGCCAGAGTAGAGATGTGACAATGGTAGAGAACCAGCCATGAGCAAGCAAGCCAAACAAATGAGATTCTAAGGCCTTGAGTTCAGGCCCCCAGTTCTGTCACTGAAAAAAAAAAAAAAAAAACCAGAAAAGAAAAAGAACTAGAATGGCTAGTCAATGGCCTACATACTAACGCCCAAAGGAACCAATGTATCACAAGCTCTCTTGGGAACCACAATATACACTTGCTACACAGAACAGGTCCTGAAGGAATGTTTATTAAATCTGTCCAGGCACTGGAGTTTGCACCTGTAGTCCCAGATACTTGAGTAGTAGAGGTAAAAAGATCACTTGAGCCTAGCTCAGTCAATGTAGTGAGACTCTCATCTCAAAAAAAAAAAATCTGCTTAAAAGTCTCCCATTTACCTATCACTAAGCCTAACGTGTGTGTGTGTGTGTGTGTGTGTGTGTGTGTGTGTGTGTGTGTGTGTGTGTGTTAGAGGAGTTAAGAGAACTATCCTAGCACATTTAATCATTCAACTAATATTGAGGTGCTACTGTGGGACAAGCAGTGTCTAGGTGCTGGGAGAAGCAGAGAACAAAGCAGACAAGTTTACATTAAAGAAAGAATTCATTATTTATGGCAGGAAGAAAGCCAAGAACAAAATTTAAAAGTGCTTCTTGCACTCATCTTGTAAACTCAAAACAGAATACAATGCAAAAGAGAGAGGGGGTAACAATGTTCAACAATGAAAATGTACTTATTACCTTACTTATGCAACTGTAACCCCTCTAACATTATCCTTAAAATAAACTAAAATTTTAAAAAGGGTATACCTAGAATTGTATAGCATGACATCGTAACTCTGAGGTCCCCACTCAAAGGCAGGTTCTCTGTGGGGTAAAGTAAGGGACAGCTACAGAAAGGAAGACACTGAAGCTCCACCATTATAGTGTAAATCAGGCCCCTCCAGAATTTAAAACCAATCAAGAGCAATGCATAATTGTCTAAAATGTCTGGTCTAACCACATCTATGACTTCAACTTATCCTTTTAGCTAGGAAAAGGTCAACTCTCTAAAAGAAGCCCAGACTTGCCCAAAGTCATACAATCAGTTGCTTCCTACTGTAATTCAAGACCTGAGAGTCCACCCCAGGACTGGCAGCACTTCTCACCAGCCTTACCAGAAGGCCCCTGAGGGCCTGCAGGAGCAGGGGGCACTTTGATGGGGACCAAGCCCTTATTCTTGATGTCATGTGCATTTCTGTAAATGGAAGGCAGCTTGCTCACCAGGTCAGAGCTTATGCCCAATTTCTCCAACTTCTCTAGATTCTCAGTGTTAGAGAGATCATGGGATCTCTTACAGCTAGTGCCAAACTTGCACTCTCCCTGTAAGAAGTACTGGCAGACATGGAGTTTGATACACTGCATTTGAAAGGAACAAGAGCCGAAAGGTCCATCTCCTTTGTTGTAATGTAGGCAGATCTGTAGACAGAAAAAAAGATATGAACCCATGAAGGTCTCCTGTTGCTTACCTCCCCACCAACCAGGTCCCAGTAAGAAGGGAATTCATAGCTAAGATGTAATTTCATTGTCCACATGGGCCACAGATATGAGACTCCCTTACCCTCACAATAGCTGTTAGCACCTTTCCTTGGCTAAAATATTCTTTAACAATCCCCTTCCCTAGGAAGATCCAAAGAACTTCAAAGCAACTAGGGCTGCTCCCTTCACATGAAGTAGCTGCTACTGGACCCACATTAATAAAGATCCCCAACTACCCATACTCATCCTCTCACAGCCTCACCAAATCCCCCTTTATCAGGTCCTGATTTCTCTCAACTCTTTTTCCCTACAATTCAAGAGCAGAGAGATTCTGAGGATTACATCATCTCAGAGAAGGTCAAATACCACCCTTTCATTTCTTGAGGGAGCTAGTAGACACAGAGAAGTTCAATGGCCTTCCCCTGTCACACCACTATCCACAATATCTGGAATGTATAGTGTTTGTTGGCAAATTTGCAACCCAAACTTCCAACAACTGTTCCTTCTCTTTTACACTCCAAATCCTGGAGACAGAAACCAGGCCTGACCTACCAAGAGCCCATCCACTCCATTTCTAGGTGTTATATTTCACAAACTGTAAGGAATGCCTGAAAGGGCTGTGGAATCCTAGCTTTAACCAGCAAGGTGCCCACTCTAGGGAAGTAAGTCCCAAGAGGAAAGGCCAGAGCATCAGTTCTGCCCCTTACCAGCTGCATGACCTTTAGGTAAGCCATTTATCAACCTTGGGATTCCATATTTTAATCCCTAAGAATAATGCCACCTATATTACTGAGGTGTTGGGAGGACTAAACAGGAAAAAAGAATATAGCAGACATGTGATGGGTTCCTGATTTATGAGGGCCACCAGCTAGCCATCAGGAAAAGTTCTGTCCAAAAGCCACACTGAGTCTGAGTGAAGGTCTCAAATCTCACATATTGGCAGGGTGTTCTCAGCCAACCTGAACATTTAAACAGTTAATACAGGCCTGCCTGTCTCACCAATGTACGAAGAATAGTATCTTTTCTCTCCTGATCACTAGATCCTCCAGAAAAGTTAGCTGAATTAAATCAACACTCATTTTTGAAAGGTAAAAGTAAAAAGTTAACATCTATATGACAGTCATATGTTAAGCTATCATCTTTCTCAAATGACTTTGACCAGAAAGAATTTTCATTAAAATATGCTAATTTAATATGTTACCTCAAACCAGAAACAATGCCAAAGAATCCTTTGTAACCTGTGCTGCCATAAGAACTCACTACTCTGATGAGCTACAGAAACTTGAGGTCCTACTGCTATCCTCTAGAACTACTGCCTCATTTACATTCCCACCTTGCCCATCACAATAGAACCAACACTGAAACACAAGCCTGATCATTCCAGTAGGTCACAGGATGCCTCCAGCAGCCACTTAAGTGTCAGAACTGCCTCTAGACCTGGTGGAACTTTCCTGAGAACCTACTGAAGCCATTTTCTTCCTATCTAACCCCCTACCTCCCTTGCTCTCCTGCTTTGACTGTCAGACCTGCACATGCCACTCTGCTGTCTAAAGGTTCACAATACCTTCTCTCAATCTCTACCCCAATGAATCTCTCACATTGCTAATCCCTACCCACAAACTGATACAGAACCAATGCAGTGAGCTGTACATGATCTGAGAACTCATGATCATCAGCTTCTGAGTATAAGTGAATGAATAGAGTGAACTAATTATGTAGCTGTCAGTAGCTCTGAGGTGTCTTCACAAACCAATGGGGTCCAATAATACCCAGCTCTATGGTTTCCATTCCTGCTACACATGGATAGGCCCATTGAGGTCAGTTCTGAAAAGAGGAGGTTGAGTCTATGTAACTTCATACAGCCATCCTGATATCTCACTGAGTGGAGGGGGTTTTCCACCCCATCTCTGAAAAGCCTAGAGGTGAGAGAGGCCATTCACTGAATTGCAGATGCCTACCTAGGAGAGCTCTGCTTCAGAGAAAAGTAGATGTCATAGCCTTAGGAAAGGCTCCTGTGCAAGGATTCCTGGCCAGGATGGATCATTGGCTTCTGTTCAGCCATAATATCTCCTTGTCTTCCAATTATCTGGACTCTCCATTAGTACTTGAAGAAAAGGCCCCTCCTGCCTCTAACCCCAATACTCACTTCCGGCAAAAGCCACGGGTCATTTTGAAACAAGAGTTGGCACAGCTCACTATAGCTGAGGTGGTCAATGCCATGAACTTTCAGGACACTAAGGTTGTGATCAGTCTTCAAGTTGTGACCATTCCTACAGTTCTTTCTGCAAAGAAGCAGATAAATGTTACTAATTAAACTGTGTGTAACCTTGTAATCAGGAAGTTATGTAGCATCATAGGGAAAGGCAGAAGAAAGTGCAGCCAACCATGCTCATGTTTACTTTGGAGAGCCATGGAAAAGGAATGTTCAAGAAACTTCCTTCTATAAACAAAGAAGGCAATTGCCCTGGCTCAGGCCTATCATCCTAGCTACTCAGGAGGCTGAGATCTGAGGATCATGGTTCAAAGCCAGCCCGGGAAAATTCTTATTTCCAATTAATCACAGAAAAAGCCAGGAGTGGCACTGTGGCTCAAGTAGTAGAATGCTAGCTTTGGGCCAAAGAGCTCAGGGACAGTGCCCAGAGCCAGAATTCAGGACCCAGGACCAGGAGGGAGGGAGGGAGGGAGGGAAGGAATGACAGGGAGAGAGAGGGAAGGAGGGAGAGAGAGGGAGGGAGAGAGGGAGAGGGAGAGAGGAGAGAGAGAGAGAGAGAGAGAGAGAGAGAGAGAGAGAGAGGGAGAGAGAGGGAGAGAGAGGGAGGGAGAGAGAGAGAAGAGGAGGAAGAGGAGGAGGAGGAGAAGGAGGAGGAGAAGGAGGAGGAGGAGGAGGAGGAGGAAGAGGAGGGTGAAGAACAAAAAAGAAAACACTTAGGTTACCCAAACCCGTTAAGTATCAGAAGGGCAGAATTCCAAAACAAAATTTGATCCCTAAAATTTGCACACTAACCTATTTTGCCAAGTATACGCATTATAAAGATACAGCAACAATCTTCAATATTGGGCCGATCCACTCAGCTACCACAGCTTGTGTGCTTTCCTCTAGCCTCTTTCTCCACTGGAGTGATCTCTCTAGAGCACATTTCCCAAGTTTCCACCTCAGCTTGTTTGCAACTGCAGACTTCTCAGATCAGAACCACCCCTGAAGACATATTATTGTCCACTCAACATCTCCCAAACTAGTTACTAGGGGGTGGAGGGCAGCCTGTCTCTCAAACTTCACACCTGAGTAGAAAATCCTCTCCAGCTCTGTCTAGTAGAAGCAGAAACCAGCAAGTCATTACCTCTCCCTTAGCTTCTCTCTCTTCCTACTGTGTTCCCCAAATGCCTCATGCACACATCCTTTGGAAAGTTCTAATCTGCTATTTCTAGTCTGCTGGTTCTTAGAAACCATATTTACCAGCCCCCCCCCCCCCAAAGATAGGTAGGTAGAGTCATGCCAGTTTCTGGTCATTGGGATATAAGTTAAGAATGTCCATCACCATAAAAATCTCCTATGTGATCTTTTACTATCCATTTTTTCCCATCTACTCCTAGAATGAGATATCTAGAATGTACTCAAAAGCCATATATTGAGGATAGTAAAGTCTAGATGGGTCAGCTTGTACCCCAGAATGATTGCATATATCAAGGCCCCTATCCCTAAGTGGACTATTAGACCTGACATGATACATAATGTCAGGGCTTGGGGCATGGCTCAGGTGAAAGGGCCTGAGTTCAATTCCCAGCACAAGAAAAGAAGAGGGAGGAGGGCTGAGAAGGTGGCTCAGTGGTAGAGCGCTTGCCTTGCATGCCTGAGGCCCTGGGTTCGATTCCCCAGCACCACATAAGCAAAAAGGAAAAAAAGCCGGAAGTGGCGCTATGGCTCAAGTGGTAGAGCGCTAGCCTTGAGCTGAAGAGCTGAGGGAGAGCGCCCAGGCCCAGAGTTCAGGCCCCACGACCGGACCCAAAAAAAAAAAAAAAGAAGAGGGAGGAAAGGAGACAGAGAAGAAAAGAAGAGAGAGTGAGAAGGAGGGAAGGAGAAAGGGAAGAAGGCAGGAGGGAGGTCTATTGTGTTAAGACAAAAGGAAAGAGGAAAGGAGGGAAGAAAAAGAGAGGAAAGAGGGCTGGGAAGGTGGGTCAGTGGTAGAGTGCTTGCCTTACATGCTTGAGGTCCTGGGTTCGATTCCTCAGCACCACATAAGCAGAAAAAAAAGCCGGAAATGGCGCTGTGGCTCAAGTGGTAGAGCGCTAACCTTGAGCAAAAAAGCTCTAAGACAGTAGGGGGCGGGGGGCGGGGGGCGGGAGGGCATGACTTAGAGGGTGTAGACCTGAAGTATTAATGAAGCAAACCAGGAAGTGAAAAGCAGGCATCCTAGGAAGCTTCAGGGCACCAAATGAGTAATACCTCTGGGTGGATAGGGGTGGGGTGGGTGGGCCGGGGGAGGCCGGCTGATACCAGTTCCTTAAGGACTGGGGGTTGATGGGAGGAGCTTTCATGCAGGTAAACCAGCCAGGGGGACGGTGTTCAGTTTCTTTGCAGCCCTTGGGCAGAGAAAAGCCTTGCTGCCTGGCCCTCAAAGCTAATTCTGGAGAACGGAGGGGACAGTGAAGCACCACTTCCTTCCGCCACCCAGGTGTCCCTGCAGCTCCATCTACGCCACTCTGTCCCTGGGGAGGAGGGACGACCTTCCCTGAACCCAAAGTCACTGGAAGCGATGGAAGGGGGCGAGGCCACTGATTGGCCACCTAACCTAGTTGCCTCCCCTGCCCAAAGGGAGGAAGTGAGGCCCCTGGGCCTTGGCCGGCTCCCTCCGTCCCCTCCACCTCCCTCCCCTCGCGTCCCCTCCACCCATTACGTCAGAAGCGTCCGCCCCTCCCACCCCCACCTCCCACCCCCCGACGCCTTACCCGGCTCTCATGAATCTGCAGGAACCAAAAATCATGAACTTGCATAGGTGGAGCTGGCCACACAGCCCCAAGCAGCCGGGCTTGAGCCCTTGGTACGAGCGGCACAGACGCAGCGACGAGGCGGCCAGCACCACGAGTTCGGGGCCCGCCGCCGCCGCTGCCGCCGCGCCGCCCGCGCCCGCCCGCGCCACCACCACGAAGCGCTGGTGTTCCCGCAGCAGCCGCTCCAAGGCGTCGAGGCCCATGCTCGCCCGCAACCGACGCCGCAGCTGGCTCAGCTCCAAACAGCCGCCGGCCGCGCACAGCACCTGGGTCACCTCGCCCACCACGATCGCGGCCTGGGCCATGGCCACCGCACCACGACTCGGGCAGCAGCGGCCGCGCAGGCAGCGGCCGCGGTGGCGGTGGCGGCGGCGACGGCTGAGGCGGCGTCCCCGAGCCGGAGGCCCGGCGGCTGCTCGCGGTGGAAGCGCTGACGGTAAACGAAACCGAAAGCGGACCACGGTCCTCGTCGGGAGAAAAAGCCTCTGGCGGCCTTGCCACGCCCCCCAGGCCCAGCTGAAGGAGCCGCCCGCGGGCTTCAGGGCCGCCAGCTGGGCAGCCCGCGGCCCGAGGGCCAAGGTCAGGGTGAAGCCGCCCGCAGACCCGCCCGGGCCTCGCAGGTCCCCCGGGCGGGGCTTGAAACTGAAATTTTCCAGGGCGTCCCCCAGGGTGAAGGAGGGAGCACGCCGTGGGCACGCGAGGGCGCCCTCCACGTGGCAGGAAAATGCCGGGCTTCGCTCGACGCCACCGCCGAGGGAGGCCGCCGCCGCCGAGGGAGGCCGCGCGTTACCACAGGTGGTCGGCGACGAAGTGCCTGCGAGAGGCCCCACCAACGGATTGGCGGGCCGACCCACACCCACGCATGCGTGGACGCGAGGCCCGACGCGGCCCCCGCCCCCGGCGTGTGGACACTCTCTCCGTGGAATGCCAGGGCCGACAAGAACATTCGGTTGGCTTCGCACCAGTGGCTCTGACATTTCCAATTCGCAGGGGGGGCGGGGAGGCGTGGGGGTCTTGGGAGAAGCCAATGGGAACAAGCATTTCAAGACCGAAAGGGACCCTTAGACACTCCTGTGGGGAGCGGGGGTGGGTAAAGGTCCAGAATGTGATGGAAATGAGCGTGACCTTTGACCCTCCCCTCGCCTATCCTCCTAACGGTCCTGGAGGCTGTGTGCAGCGCACAGCCGCGTTGGGGGAGGGGCGCCGCCCGCGGGCCGGACCGTTACACGAGGAAGCTGAGACCATGACCGACGCCCCAGGATGCGTGCAGTGAGGAAAGATCCGCGTAGAACAGGGCGACCCCTGCTCCGTGTACGCAGTGAAAGGCGAGCGTGGAGGAAGCGGTGGAAGGGCCGGGAACGCCGGCAGTGCGAACTCCGCGTGTATTCATTCTCTCCACATGAACAGAAGATTCTAGCCGAAGAGTGGACGGGAACTCGGCGGCCTGTGGACAGGACACAGCCTGATGGAACTCGGCGCCGTTCCACGGCGGGGGCGGGGCGGGGCGGGGCGGGGCCGGCCCTCTGCCCCCCCCCCCCCCGCGGGCTCATCCACGCATGCGTGGGAGCCGGATGCGATCCCCGCTCCTGAACAGTATGTACTATGTTCATTGTTTTTAATGGAGCTGAGTATAGCTCGGTGGTGCAGTGCAGGAACCGTAGGTTCAGTCCTCTGCACCAGTCAAGTAAGTACATAGTGCAACTCAGACCAAATAATAATGCGGAGGAGAACAAGTTAGGGAACAAATAGGAAGGACAACTTTCGCTTGGACTTTGTGATAAAATTACTGTGTAATGTTTTTAACCAATGCTTTTTTACTTGTGCGTTCTGACATTGTTTTGATAAATATGTACATCGTATATAATTTTTTTAATTTACTTTTGCGAGCCCAGGGCCTTTTTTCACTCATGGCCGGTACTCTACCACTAGAGCCAGGCCTCCACATCCAGCCTTTTGCTTGTTACTTGGATATAAATCTCTCAGATCTGTCTGCCTGGATGTCTTGGAATTATGATTCTCAGATCTCAGCCTACTGAGTAAACTAGGGTTATAGGCTTGAGCCACTGGCCTGCCAGCTTAACTTTCTGCCACTCAACTAACATTTAGTCAAGAAAAACAGCTGAATCTCAGCAAGAGCAGCAAACTTTACAGTATTTTAGCTCACCCTGGTGATTTACCTTGAGAAAAGTTCACCTTCCTAGTACCTATACCAGAAGGATCAGACAGGGCTGCATTGTTTTCCAAGACTAATTCACAAGGAAGTCAATGTGACTTATCTAGTGGTTCCCTGGAAGGCAGTCTGAAAAGGTTAGGTTTATGTAGCCTCATTGTAATTTGCCAAATCCTAATAGTGGAGGATTTTTTTTTTTTGAGAGGGGGACACTGACTTGACTCGCGGTCTTCACCTTGCTAGGCAGGCACTCTAGCACTGGAGTTAGCCCCAGTTGTGCTTGCTTTTCAGTTATTTTTCAGATATGGTGGTGTGTTTTTGCGTAGGGCCACATTGGACTGTGTGCATCTCATATTTATCCTTCCCTCACTGCTGGGACTACAGTGAAGTCCCATCATTCCAGGCTTGTTGGTTGGGCTTCAAGATCTCCATTATATCATAAACTGGTGACAAAATATCAAATGCAATAAAAAGTTTCTTTGTAAAAGAAAACCTCAAAATTAATTTCTTATCAGAAAGCATGCACATTAGAAGGTCCATCCCACTGCTGAAGGGGAAAAGAAAACCAAGAATTCTATATCCAGCAAAACTATCCTTCAAAACATTTATTATAAACTAACTCATTCCCAGTTACAAGCTGAGAGGGTGAGGGTTAATTACAGTAATACAAGAAACACTAAAAGAGCCTTTTGAAAGTAATAAGACACTAAAGAGTAACTCAAATTTTCATGAAGAATGTGTAACTTTTAAATATCACTACCCTAAAATACTGTGAAAATTATGAAATTTATGTAATCATTTAATCTCAATAGAAAAATTATTTTTAAAAATACTCATGAGGAAAGAAAGCACCAGTAAAGGTTGACTAATTATTAGAAGGAAAAAAAAGTATTGATGTAACTCCACCCACATCTGATTTCAAAGCTAGCTGCATAATGCAATAATGAAAAGTAGTTTGAAGTATGTTCTCTGACCATAATGAATGAAATTAGAAATCAGCAACAGAAGGAAATATAGGATATTCACCAACTTGGAAGTTATATTAAAAAAAGTCAAATGAGAAATCATAAATGGGGGCTGGGAAGGTGGCTCAGTGGTAGAGCCCTTGCCTTGCAAGCCTGAGGCCCTGGGTTCAATTCCTCAGCACCACATAAGCAAAAAAGAAAAAAGCCGAAGTGGCGCTGTGGCTCAAGTAGTAGAGCGCTAGCCTTGAGCTGAAGAGCTGAGGGACAGTGCCCAGGCCCAGAGTTCAGGCCCCATGACCAGACCAAAAAAAAAGAGAAATCATAAATGAGATTTCAAAATACTTTGAAATGAATAAAAATGAAAACAAATTTATGAGCTTCCGTGAATGGTATTTAGAGGGAAAGCTGTAGCGAAAGCCTACATTGACATGAAACTGGGAAAGAGTAAACTAAGCCAAAAATGAAACAATACAGATTACAAATAAATAAAATGGGGACCAAAAAAAAAAGAATCAGTAAAACCTAAAGTTGGTTCTTTGACAAGATTTTTTAAAATTATTAATCTTCATCTAGACTGATTTTAATGACTAAAATTATTAATATCAGGAATAAGAGATTATCAATAGGAGAAATTTAAGAAGTGGTTATGGGATATAATATCCACATTTTCTAATTATGTACTTTAGGTGCTCTGACATTTTGTATCCTGGCTGACAATGGATTCCAATTCCTAGGAGAGCAAACAACTCACTCACCAGTGTGACTTTCAAATGCAAACCAACCAATCCAGACTTACCTGTAACTACTTCCTTCTTAGGCTCAAACATCCTAGGCTATTTATTCCCCTTCCCTAATCACCTTAGGCCAAGATCTCAGACAACTTGAAACACCCCCTATATTCCAAGAGGGTGCCAGAATAAGGTTGCTAACTCTTCTCACCAGTTCCTTATCACAGAAGCCACTTGCTCTACCGTCCTGACCGACACTGTGGTACGCCTGTGGACCTGAGTAGCATGCTATGCCTCCTGTTCCTAGAGATCTGTAAGAAGAAAACCTTCACATGTCTATGTCTCTTGTTAAGCCTTGGGCATGCAGACAATAAGGGCATTAAGATAGAATAAAGAGTGAATATATAATACTTTAAGTGGAAATGGCCCATAGACACTTAGCTCTGTCTGGCATTTATAGAGGGTGTTAGTGCTAGAGCTGTGAACAGCTAAGATTTGAACCCACAGGCCCGGATTAGATCACCCTGAAAAGAGGTTTCCAGAAGAGAGGAATATGAAGACCCTGATAAGAGAAAGAGACTGATAAAACTTAAAAAAAAAAAAAAAAAAAAAGGTGAGAAGTCTGTGGGATTAGAGGAAAACAAGAATATAGGATCATCTAAATATTAGAAAAAGATGATCGACACTGACTGCTATCAAGATTACATAAAAGAGGGCAAAAATGTTTTTGTATTGCTGATATCCCCAAATTAACAGCTAAAAGAAGTAACTTGTATTTCCCGATTCTGAGTTGGAAGGGCTTTGCTGGATATTTCCTCTGTTATTGCTAAAGTTGTTCCTGTGGCTGCTTGCAGTTGAGGCTTTATGAGAGCTAAAATATTCACAAATGGCCCTTTCAGTCTCTGTCTGCATGGGTCTCATTATTTAGTAGTATAGCCTGGGCTTCTTTACAGTATGCTTGTGATTCACAACAAGCCCAATGTACAAGCATTTCCCCACCCCTCTTTCCCAACTCTTGGCTCTGCCATGACTCTCTATATATAAAGTAGGTGAACAACCTTCTCAGCCTGCCTCTTACCCAGGATTCAACCAACAAGGCCTTTCACTCTGGAGGGATCTCTACCATTTCTTTACCAATCCACTATCATTGTAAGTTTTCTGAAAACATGCATAATCCTCTTTGAGGTAGATCCATCTACTTTGGCCCATATGTTCTTCTAATATATCCTAATTTCTTAGCTCTGATAGAAGAGCCCCTATCTTGTCCTCTTGACCTTTCCAGGACCTACCAGTTCAGTACACATATTTGGTATGGTAGCAAAATGCCCTTAGGATTCTTAGAAGCCTTTCAGGAGAAGAGTCTACAAATTACCAGCTTAAGTATTTCCTATGTCCAAAGGGTAGCTACCAAATGTAGTTACCAAGCTACATTCTTCACAGATTCATATTTTTTAGAAATTCTTTTTGCAGCTCTAGTTTGAACCCAGAGCCTCACACAACTAAGCAAGTGCTCTACCACTGGAACTGCAACTTTGATTTTGAATCCTTTTTGAATGCTTTTCCCAGCAGGCCCAGCACCAGTCTGTAACAATGGAAAGACATTGCTCTCACTGGGACACTGTAAAGAATTAAAAAAAAAAAAAAACTTGTACACAGTGAATACTCAAATAGAGGAAGATAAAGATGGGGGCTTGTGATCCAAACCATCTGCAGCAAAGCCCCTGGCTCTTCCCAATGAACTGAGAGGAGGGTAACACCAATAGCCCACAAGGATTTGTTTCCTAGTCCCACAAATCAGACCAAGAGTCTAAGGAGACTAGGTTCAGACTATCTACTATTTTTCACCATTACAGGTGAGCTTAGGAAGGTCAAACATTCTCCAGACCTCCCAAACAGCACATAGGGTCTAGGTCAGAAGATGGGGTGTGCAAACTTGCTTTTGGTGCTACTGCAGTGTTTCTGACCTCCCTGCTGTCATGCAGGGAGAAAGAAGCCTCCGTTTCTGGTGCTTCTGCTGCCTTGGGTTCTACAAAGCTTCACTTGGTCTCCAGGGGCATCTCCCTACTTCCCGTCTCCTCCAGAAGCATCCCACTGCCTGTGATGTGCTGCCTGGTGTGTTCCTTCCTCCTTGGCTCCTCTCAACATCTCCAAGGCAAGACCTTACCCTTACACATTCATCCCTGATCTGTCTCTTCTGCCCTTTGCTAAAGCTAAGCCCAAGCTTCCTCAATGAACTTATACTTACACATCTCCCTTTACTAGAAGGCCAAACCTTCTCACAGAGGCCCTGAGCCTGGACTTCCTTTTGCTACTCCTGTAACACTGGCACCAGTAGGAACCCTGTGTGGGATGCAGGCTGTGGGGGGTGTCCATAAGTGTTCATCAGTAAGCACAGTAGCACCTTGCCAACTTGCCTTTATATCCTTTCTTCCCATCTGGCCATTACTCTTCCCAAGCAATATAGCTAATAAAATAATAAAATACATTACCTTTTGCATTCAAGTCCCCCAAAATAATAAGGAGCTTATTAGCATAGATTTCACATTTTTAAATAATGTCCTCCAATTCAATAAAGAAAAAGGGAACCAAAAGTCAAAATTAGAATTCAGATTTTTTTCTTTCAGAAACACATTTTATACAACTTTCAACATATATACTTTCAAACAAAAGCAACAAAGAATACACAGAGTGCTAAAAAGTCAAAACAGAAGTAATACAATTTTAATTTCAATATTTTAAAATACAGAAATTGGAAAGAATACCAAATACAACTTTAAACAAGTCACTTGTCTTCCCCTATAATAACCAATATAAGCTACTTAAAGACTTACAAATTCAGATTAAAACAGAAACAAAATAAATACTGTACACTTTCCCTGCCTGCAGGCAAAAGATGGGAAATACTGTTATGAATCAAAACAAATGCTCTTAAAGCTTCTGCACCCCACTCCCCAGCCACACCCTCCCACTGTCACACAGTGTGCTTCTGTATTCCCAGACACACATGTGCACACACACTGGCCGCCTACACACACAGATGAGACACTACTCCATAGACACCCCAAATGAGAAGGGTAACAGTCACCTGGGACTGTGGGCATAAAAACCAGTAAGGAAAATCAGTCAGGCTAGCAAAACATTACTACAAAACTAGTAAATACCATAGCCAACAACTGTCCCCTTTTCAAATTTCAGAGTTAAACCCCCTAGAACCAACACTACCCCCTCCCATCACCACCCTCCAATACCCCCCCTAAAAGGAAACTTGCTGAAGCACTGGCAAAAAGTTAGACATTTCACAATAAATGTGAAAATTCATATTATATAATCTCTTAAAATGAACCTTTTCACCCTCTTTCCACAGCATGAAACTGTTATGGCTTAATTTATATTAAAAGTAGAAAAGTCTTTTCCAAAGGAAATACAGTCTGCGAGATGCACGTGCATTTCCTGATCAGTGCTATTTCATACCTAACAACTGCATGACTTGCTTTTGCAGTCAGAAGCTGTTTTTGGAAAAACTGAGGTTATAGCTTTTGATTCAGTCTAACCATAAACTGTAAGGCCCTTAGTTTGGTTTAGGTTTCTTTTGCAAGATAAAATAACCTTGGGGTTCACTTAGCAAGTTATACCTCAGGTCCCTGACTATAATGTGGAAGTTATATGCATGTATTGTAAAAATAAAAGTTTAATTATGAATTTTAGAGGGAAGAAATAATTCTAGGCAAGGAATTAACTGATTATATATTACACATAATGCTGATAATGTTTAAATCCATTAAAGTTAGAAATGTTTAAGTACATTAAAGTTAGCATCCACCAAAGAAGTATGTGTATGTCTGAGTTATTTTATTCCTGCAAAACGTTATATATTCTAGCACTTATAATTGTTTTGGTGAGAAATCGTGGGGGAGAACAGCTGATATTTTGTGAAAGAAATGGCCAAAATAAAACTGGTTGAATGCAAGGTGTTTTTTTCCCCCTTATTCTGTTTATGACTGTTTTCTAAAATAAAGGTAAGTAAAACCAGAATGTCACAAGTCTTGCATAGGTCAACTACTTGGAGGTCAAGGGCTACGTGGTAGCCAGAATTTTATTAATGAAATAGTGCAGAGCAGATAAACTTGCTGGAAGAATCTGTAGGTACAGTTTCTAAAATGTTTCTGACAAAAACATGTTACAGTTGTTAAGACAAAGTCTTAAGACATTAGAAGGGGTATCAAGGGTAAGAGGAAAAATATCTCAAGTGAGTCTTATTTTTCTCCTCCCCAGTAGAATGAAAAATTACTGTAGATGAATAAAACCAGTCAGTCACAATAAGCTACCTGCTTTGGAAATAGGCATTTGGTTCTTAATAACCTTAATTTAGGGGGAAAAAAGTACTTATGGAAAGGACATTAAATATTTATTTGAATTAGGGCATGATGTTCACTGAAAAGCAGATTAAAATAAAGGAAGAGTTTTTAGTAAGGCTACATACAGCATTAAGATTATTTTATGCTTAATAACAATTTATTGAGTATATTAATTTTCTCTCTGTTCACCTAGCTTCAAGGAAGCATATGGATGTCTTTCACAAGACAAGTAGAGACTGAACAGTGTTGCAGAAGCAAGATACAGGAGGTCCTAGATCCACTGTGTCTCCAGGAAAATCCATGCCCTACTTGGTCTCCTTTACTGACCAGCTTTCCTTATTAACCTAGAGACTGCTCTTTGGATCAAGGTCAAGGACATTAGGAAAGAGAAGAGCCTGAGCTTCCCACCTTACCCCCTCTATGCTGGCAATCAAACTCAGGACCTTGCAATAAGTAGCAATAAATTTAATATTTAATGAGAAAAGTAAATTTTGGAAAAAGTAATTTACTGTTACATTATGAAGATACCAGGTATCTTCCATGTGCAAACTAAAAATGATCGTTTACTATAGCAGTTACTCTTCTCATCTCTTAGGGAGTGATCTTACTCTTAGGTAAAAAGCATTTTCAAAAACAAGCAGTTAACTCTTCTGTTGAGTCTGACCTCCAAACCACCAATGACCTTTCTCTTTACCCAACCTACTGTCACCAACCTGGAGCTGTCCTGTGGAGTCCCAGCTTCCTTATCACCTTATTTTCCTTTAATCTTGTGGGTAGTTGCTAAAACACTTTAATTCATAACTTATTTTGCCTTTCCTCTAGTTCCTGACAAGCATGCCAAATCTGAGAAGCAGTACTACCTTAATTCCTCTTTGAGAAAAACCTAAAGCTATCTTTCCACTACAATAACTCATCTTAATGTATTTGAGGATGAACATTCTCATTATGCTTTCCAAACACTAGCTCAGTTCTTTTTCTTTCACTTCAAGCATAGATTCTGCCTTTAACTTAGCACCTTGTTAGAGGTTTTTCACATTTTTTAGGTAGCCTGCTCTGGGTACATATTTGATTTGAAAGAAGTTTTGTGAATAACAAGAATTTTCACTTAAATTTTATATATAAAGGTAAATTCATTATCAATTGTAACTTATAATAATAAATTCTCTATATGTGAAGTACTAAGTAATGCTTTCTTCTCTGATTATCCTAATAAGCAACTTTACTTAAACGTACAAATAAAAAAAATGGATTCAGAAATAGTATTTAGAAAAAAATGACTTATTCAGGGTCACACACTGACACAAAAGTGGCAGAACTCAGACCAGAAGTCAGTTCTTTTGTTTTTTTCTAAGCTGTACTACTTCATTACATTACCAATTAAACTACTAACTTCTGTTACGCTTCTTAAATGTTAAAGAAGTCAGGTCTTTTTTATTTTTTTGCTTCCACTTGTACAGTGGTATGTGCCTTAGTTGAAATTAATAAAGTTAGGGGAACGTGCTGTTTTTTTAAACAAAAGGGCCCTCTTTTGCTCTAGTTTATTTAGACATAAAAATAATACTGCTAATTTCCTGGAGAAGACACCTTTATCAGCAGAAACCACAACTGCAACAATATTCTCCTACAGTATTAAATAGTTCTGGACACACAGTAGATGTCTGATAAATACCTGCTGATCTTATATGAAAACAGTAGAGTACATTGAAAAGGCAATAATTAGGATCATCAAAACATAGAACTGTATTTATACTAAATATTTAATGATAAGATGCATTTGTTTCTTCTGAGTTTCTGATGATTTCAGTAGAATGTTCAATTTTGCACACCTCAAAGATGAACAGGTATTTATGAAGTTTAACGTATTTCTAGGTTACTGAGCTACTATAAACTGCCTGCTTTGTACTGTTAGCACATTCACCAATGTTGGAAAGTATTATATTACAAGATGTTGTGAATTACAGTACAGTGGATCCCAGGTTGAGTCATTTACTTGTATTCATATAGAAAAAGTACTACTATTATTAAAGTTGCATACATTCAATCACTAATTCTCAATTTTACATATTTATATTTGCTTATGACTAGCTAAATATTATCATTGCTGTCCTCTTGTGTAAGCTGTGGTACAGTATCTATTAAGTGAGACTAAGGGAAAGACAAAGGTTACCTATTGCTACTGAACCCAGAGTGGGCAATAGTAACCTCAAGGTTCAGCCACTTCCATGAGATAAAGGGTGTATCATGGCCATTACCTTTATAAGAGGCCAAGTACAAAAGTCATTAGATCAGTGGCTAAAACTTTTCACCAATTCAGAAAAAGATACATGGGTTCACTTTTAGTGGTTATATTACCTTGCTGAAAGTTTTGTGACATAACTAGTTAATGGACTAAAATGCAAAATTGAATCCACAGTACCTTCACTTAGAAAATCCCACACAGTAGCTACTCAACATTAGTGTTTATTGGCCTAAGGACACAGGGTGGATGGATACTGGCCACAATTTTAATTCATAAAAATAAATTAATTTTTATTTTAATTTTTATAGCTAAAGAAAAAAGTTCTTTAGAGTTGTGCAAAATGTAGAGGGAAAATAAGTCCAGATCCTGAAGTAACTGGAAAAAAATTATACTTATTTCTTAAGCTAATATAAAAATGTATATTAGAACACTAAAACAGAAAACCAAGACATCACAGTGATATATTGTGAGAAGGTGAAGGAATCAGTCAAACCAGACTTGTGCATCTTGAAATATGCTGACCAGTCAGTGGCTGACTGCATTCATCTCTCCACTACTTATGGCACAGTGCAGACAGGGACTAAGAAGGCAGTCTACAGAGATTAAGAATTTCCAAAAGAATTATTCTTCCTGACACTCAAATAAGATTTCAACTTTGGTTCTCACAGTCAAGAACCAAAAAAGAAATTCATGTTACTCCATTGCTATCCCATAAAATATTATAGTGGAGAAAGAGTAAAAAGTATTTCTTTTTGGAAATACACATTTGAATACAACCATAAAAGATATTTAATACAGTAGGAACAGTCTCATTACCTTGCTGAGCCAAAAAAAACCCCATAAACTAAAAATAAATTTCAGTCTATTTGCCTGTTTGTGTAATGCTTGCTATATTGTTAGACTTGGGAATAGCTCCACCATATCCCACAATCATCATTTTTATGCCACCAGGGGAAAGGGGGAAAATTATAAACAACTGAAAACTGGTATTAATAAAAACTGTACAAAAAAAGAAAAATGATTAAATTAAAAGTTCAACCCAATAGCTAACTGCAATATGCACTAGATGGAAGAAACTGCAAAAGCACCCATTTACTCCAAATCTGTGTCTGAAATAATTTTTTAGAAGATTAAGAAATTAAAAAAAAAACACATACACAAAAGATCTAGTCCAACATGCTTCTATACAACTTAATTATATAGTATAGTCCTATTGTATTACAGCTTATTGTGTACGTTTGAATATCCTAAGTCAAATCATACATATGCCTTTAACAAATTAGGTCTAGAGACTAAAAGTATCCTAAGATTTAACCTCTGCAGCAGGTGTTGGCCCTGTCCTCCAACACAAGCAATATGAAGGAGGCCTTCTATAGTTACAAATGTATTTGGAAAAACTATAAATGTGACAATTTAATCAAATCTATATTTTTCCCCACAAGTAGCTAAAAGATATTAAAGCTGTTCTCTTTGGGACCCAGATATCATTGGGAGAAATGAAAAATGTAAGAAGCTATTTCTTCATATTTAGAAGAAAACCACAATGTCAAAGGAAATGAGAAGCGAGGGATCTTTTGTGTTTTTACAGATTAGCTATGGAAGTGTTTCCCTGCAGAGAAGAGTTTTGTTGGGTCATCTCAAAATGATGGGGGTGCAGAGGGAAGGTGGGGTGTAAGGGAATCAACCTGGATAACAGTATGCACCTTGGATGTTAGCAAAAGCGAAGCTAATAGCTTATAAAAAACACATGAAATATATAAAATAAAATGATTTTCATATACATCTTAATTTAAAATAATTAATGCATCAAATCCCTGTTTAAGACTTTAACCTGAATATCAAATTTAAGAGTCCAGACTAGTTACTGTTACTGTGGCTCTTTCCCACATGTAACACACATACTATCAAAAATAATTTAAAAACCTTCACATTCTTAAATCTAAATTAGTGAGATATTTCTCCAGAAATCTTCCAAATAAATAGCTTTAAAAAAGAAAGAATTTATAAGCTGTTAACTTAAAAAAATCTGTTAAATAAATTATTGATAATTCTTTACACTACTACTGAAAATAAATCAAGACACTACCAATAACAAAATGAAATTCAAGCCCTGACAAGAGACCCTTTCCAGTTCAAGGTCTCTTTTTAAGGTTCCACCCTCCTTCTTCCTCTCCCCACCAGGTCCAAAGGGTTATTGCTGAGTGGGTGTGGCACAGTAAAAATGCAGCATCAGGTTCATTCTGTTCTTCGAGCAGTGTTCTTACTAGACAGAAAACAGCTCCAGGCAGGGGGACAACAGAAGCACCAGGCTCCTGTGCCCCAAGACTGGCCTCCAAAGGGAAGAGAGGCTGTGACAGCAGCTCTATCACACGAAGAAACGTGCATGACCATTTCTGTTCAACTTAAGGATCTTCCCAAGACGTTGTTTGGCTGTTGCCATTCCTTTTTTTGGACGTTTACCTATAAAACACCAACAGCACTGTAAACAGTAACGAAAAGCATACTTGCCAGACAGTATCTGAAAGACTTAAAAGGAGAGCTTTATGGTAAGTATGCCTAGTAGGTGTTCTGAACCCACAGCCATGCTTCAGGAATTCTACTATTTAACACCTTTCTAGTTCATCACAATAGGGCCAGAAAGTCAGCCCCCTTCCAAACTATGCTTCAACAAAATGGACTCTTAATGTCATCAATACCCATGGACCACTCACTGTCCCCTCTATGCCTTGGGTCATGCTTTCCTCCTGTCTGTTACTTTTGGCAACTCAGCCTGGTTAACTCCTTATCACCCTTTTTTAGGCTCTACCTCCTCCTGGGCCTTAGGAAGTGATTCCTGTTCCTCAGGGTAGGCTTGGGTATACTTCTTTGTTCCACAGTAGCCCATGCATACTGCTATCACACTGAAGTCCATGTTGCAGGAAATAGGAGCAACTTAAGTGTTAAAACTGTAGCTAAACTGTTACTACTGTTACCACAGAGATGAAGAAATGCAATTAACTTTCAAATGTGTCAAAGTTACCTTTTGTTGCCTGGTTGCTAATAGGTGGTGGGTTTGATGCTGGTCTCTTGGTGGGGTGAAGGGGCACTGAAAAGGAAGATTCACCAAGAGGCCTTTCTGGGCTTAGACTGCCATTTCTTATCTGGCACGGCCCTGAAACCAAGCTGGGATTCTGTATGTACTTCCCATTCTGAAGGCTGGAGCCACTGCTGTCCACATAATGCCTACTTTGCACCTTTTGACTGATTTCTGATGAGCCTTCCTTTTTGATGCATTTCTGGCTTCTACTTAGGTCCTAAAGAAAGAGGAAAGAAAGGGAGCTGATTTTTTAGGGTTTAAATAAGTAGGGTGCCAGGCACCAATGGTTCACACCTATAATCTTAGTTACTCAGAAGACTAAGATCTAAAAATTGAGATTTGAAGCCAGACAAATCTACAGGAGTCTTATTTCCTATTAACTAACAAAAAGGTGGAAGTGGAGATATGGCTCAAATGGTAGAGCACTAGCCTGGAGTGAAGAAATAAAGTAAGGTATTTCAGCATTTTATACATTAAGTCATGACACATGAAATAAACAGAGAAGTTTGGTGTTCTTGGTACATATTAAACCACCCTTCATGAGCTCATCTCACTTCATAAGAGACCTAACAAATCAAATTAATCTCAACTATTCAGGCCTTGAAGCTGCATCATTAATTTAACTGAGAGTTTGGGGAAAGGATATGAGTCAAATGCTCGAGTGGAGGCCCTGAGTTTAATCTCCAGTACTATTTTAAAAAAGGAAAAAAAAAATTAAACATGAGCTTTAAATTAGCCTTTTAGAATTTTTAAGCATGAAGAAACAAGTGCTATGATCATGCTCTAATAATAGTTACAGGTAAAAGAAATGTGATTTTCTCTGCTTGTGCTCTTATTCATTATCTGCCCATCTGCTTCTTCTTTTTTCCTTTTCTTTTTTCCTTTTCTTTTTTTGCTCAAGGCTAAAGCTCTACTACATTGAGCCACAGCTCCACTTCAGCTTTTTTTTTTTTTGGTCAGTCATGGGGCCTGAACTCTGAGCCTGGGTATTGTCGCTCAGCTCTTCAGCTCAAGGCTAGGGCTCTACCACTTGAGCTACAACGTCACTTCTGACTTTTTCTGCTTATGTGGTGCTGAGGAATAGAACCCTGGGCCTCATGCATGGAAGGCAAGCACTCTACCACTGAGCCATCTTCCCAGCCCCCACTTTAGGTTTTCTGGTTAAATGGAGGTAAGAGTTTCATGGATTTTCCTGCCCAGGCTGACTATAAACTGTGATCCTCAGATCTCAGCTAGGATTACAGGCATGAGGCACTGCTGCTCACTTTCACTTCTTTTTGCTTACTTACGGTGCTGGGATCAAACCAGGGACTTGTACGTGTTACTACCAACCTATATCCTCCTTCTTCTTTTTCCAAAGACTAATTACAGAAATAGGTAGAGTTAAATAATCCCTTATTTTTTAATATAAAATCTTCTAATGCTAGTGGTAGTACATAAAAACAGTGAAACAGGGCTGGGAAGGTGGCTCAGTGGTAGAGCGCTTGCCTTGCCTGCTTGAGGCCCTGGGTTCAATTCCTCAGCACCACATAAGCAGGAAAAAAAAGCTGGAAGTGGTGCTGTGGCGCAAGTGGTAGAGCACTAGCCTTGAGCTGAAGAGCTGAGGGACAGCGGCCAGGCCCAGAGTTCAGGCCTCATGACCGGACCCCCCCCCCTCCAAAAAAAACAAACAAACAGTGAAACACTACAAAACGATATATTGAAAAAGCAAATCATAACAGTGACATGCTCACTCTAGAGCATATCCTTCTACCAGTCAAGGAATGTGTACTCACAAAGCCTTGCTTTTTTCTTAAAAAACAGAAAAACCACTAGGGGTATGGTTCTTGCCTAGCATGTGGAGAGACATTGGTAGCATGGTGAAACAAAATAAAACTTTGCTCTTTTTCTTTTTTTTGGTCAGTCATGGGATTTGAACTCTGGGCTTGGGCACTGTCCCTGCTTTCTTCAGCTCAAGACGAGCGCTCTACCACTTGAGCCACAGTGCCACTTCCGGTTTTCTAGTGGGTTTTTTTTTTATTGGCAATTAGAGTCTCACAGACTTTCCTGCCCAGGCTGGCTTTGAACCATAATCCTCAGATCTCAGCCTCCTGAGTAGCTAGGATTACAGGTGTGAGCCACCAGTGCCCAGCTATTGCTCTTTTTCTTATGGTAAGACTGTTACATATTTAGAATATAGATGAGGCAAGCCAAGAAAATAAGACCCATCCATAAATGTACTCAGACTTAATGTTGGATATTTGGGGGGAGTGTCATATCTATTCTATTTACACACACACACACACACACACACACGTGTGTGCACGTCCACATACATACACAAACACACACACACCATACCTACGAATCTATTCTATTTACACACACACACACACACACACGTGTGTGTGCACGTCCACACACACACACACACACACACACACACACACACACACACACACACACACACACACACACACACACACACACACACACACACCATACCTACAAATCAACCCGGGCTCTAAAAGATGAATAATTTAAGAGGCTCTTTTCACTTCTGCTGAAGCCTTTCAGTGTTACATGAAAGTGTTATTCACGTGAGATTTCTCTTTCACTTTTTCTAGAACTGCCTACTCATGCTCTTCTTCCTCTAACTATTCTACTGCCCAATGTTTCTTCTGATGAGAGAATTCTTAGAAGCATTTCTGCTTTTTTGACTTACTTTCATTTAAGTATGGTAATAAGCGTGGGAGAGTTTTAACAGCCCTACTCTGCCTTGTGAGAATGTCGTTTTTTCCTCTGAAGGCCATTTTCCAAGATTTACAGAAAAAGGTCACAGTGTTTTTTCCTTGTTTGGTGCTGCTAGTGGTGTTTTAGTTTTTTAAAAGCTCTATTTTGGGCTCATTTTGTGTATGAATATGAATAAACTGGGATTCTAACACATAGTTTCTTAAGAGAAGAGTTTCTTAATCTAGAGTCAAGGAAGAACCTGAAGTTGGAAGAAACAGAAACGATGAACAACTATAAAGCAAAGTCTGTATTTATGACAGATATTCTTCTAGAAAAAGAACCTATATTTCCCATCTAGTCCTCAAAGATCAGTACCTAAAAATATCTGGGACATCAGGGACTAAAGAGATGCTCTTTTCTCCCATATTTTATTCTAACCAGGTATCACCTAGCCAGTGTTTTTTCACCACTTCCTTAGATAAGTTATTCTTACCCACATCACATTCTACCCATGATCCTTGCATGTTATCATATCAGCTGTTCAAATGAATATTTAATCGTATGTTTTGTTTGTTATATTTAGTAGCTGATAATAAGTTTTAAAAGCAAAGCAAGAATGGCTTTTTGTTGACAATTTAACTTCCTTTTAATATTTCAACCTTTGACTATACCTGAGGATTAAATCTGGAAGTCCTATCAAATTGTTTAATCCAGGAAGAAGTCCTCAAGTCTTGATCTTCAGTCTTGACATGGTATCCTACAGAGAAGTCTTAATTTAGTTATCTTTAAACAAATAATGTTAAAGAACAAAATTAGCCTATTACAATCAAAAGCAAATTTATGTTGACAGATTGTTAAAATATGATTACATTATCTCTCTGCATATTTAATCATATACCTTTATTTTCACTTCACTCCTTCCTTTTTTTTGCTGGTCTGGGCACTGTGCTCAAGGCTAGTGCCCTACCACTTGCGACACAGCACCACTTCCAGCCTTTTCTGTTTATGTGGTACTAAAGAATTGAACCCAGGGCTTCATGCATACTAGGCAAGCACTTTACCACTAAGAAACATTCCCAGCCCTTTTTTCCTGTCTTAAAAACAAAAAGTCACCCAAACTTGCCACTCTGTTGCTTTTCTTGAAGACTGTTTTTATGTGACAGGTTTTACGTCAGATGCTAGAAAACCTACAGTAAAACCCTGTAACCATGTGTTGTTAATGTAAAACTAAGTGCAATATAAAAATAGCATGTTTCCCATATAGCATGAAAGCAGATGTTTGCCTGAATTTTGTAGTACTCCCATAAAAGCCTTTTCAAGGGACCAATGATTATAGGGGGGAAAATAGATCAGGCTAAAGACAGACAAACCCAAACTTAAACTGAGTTCTTCCACTACCAATGTAACTTTAGCAATTTCCTTAAGCTTTCCAAGCTTCAGTTTTCTTTTACAACAAGCTAAGACTTTGATTCTGGTTTGAATTCCAAAAGCTTGTTAAGTTAACCTAAATTCAAGTGAAATTAACCTAAATCTTATTTCTTTTACCTACAAATTGTTGTTTCTACAATTATGTGAAATGGAAGTTAAGGCCCAGCTACAAAGCTGACCCTTAATTATATGAGATTAAGCATAATTGTTATATGTTAGTTCAATCTTCCTTAGCGACTTTTTGGGAAACAAAATCTTGGTTGGAAGGCAGAGAAGAAAAACACTAGGTGGCATCATTGACATGCTAGTGAGTCTGCTCTTTTCCTAATAATTCTTTTATATTTTTTGGATCCGGTAGTGGGGCCTGAACTCTGGGCCTGGGCACTGTCCCTCAGCTCTTCAGCTCAAGGCTAGCGCTCTACCACTTGAGCCACAGCGCCACTTCCGGCTTTTTTCTTTTTGCTTATGTGGTGCTGAGGAATCGAACCCAGGGCCTCAGGCATGCAAGGCAAGCATTCTACCACTGAGCCAACTTCCCAGCCCTTCCTAATAATTCTTTATCGAGGAGAAGAGTATCTTCAATCAGAAAGAGAGCATTCAATATTTCATATATTTCATTCTCATCAAAGGAAAATGGGTTAATTGTTCTAGTTTAAAAGACCATTTGAGACACCAAAAGATCCTAAGTTTTACAGTACTTCCACCATGATCAACCTGTTAGTGAAAGGGAAATAATACTGGCTTGCAACAGCAATAGAATTATTCCAGTAAAATAATCCTGAATCCCAAGTGACTTGCATTTTGATTTTTTTTTCTTTTTGTCATTCATGGGGCTTGAACTCTGGGCCTGAGAACTTTCCCTCAGCTCTTCAGCTCAAGGAAAGCACTCTACCACTTGAGCCATAGTGCTACTTCCAGTTTTCTGGTGATTAACTGGAGTAAGAGGCTCACAGACTTCTGCCAGGGCTGGTTTTGAACCATGATCTTCAGATCTCAGACTCCTGAATACTAGGATTACAGGCATGAGCCACCTGCGCCCGGCTACATTTTGAATTCTTATGCTTTTACTTTATATAACTTGTCAGTGTTATGGGCTTGGTTTGGTTTTATTTTTCGTTTGTTGTACTTCTTTGGCCAATTTCTATAATATTGAGAAAAGATGAGCAATAAACAGTCCCTATTCAAAGAATCTCTCCTCTAAACTAGGTTACAGAGCTACTAAATTTGGAGTCTTATATTACTCTTCAGAGACTGATAATTTGTATTTCTTACCACATTCCACTTGTGTATCATAGCGATACAACTGCCTAACCTCGTGGTTACTGCTATGGCAGTTGCTGGGATCCTGGAGAGCATTCTTCTCACCAGCAGAGTCCGTGCTTTGTATCTGTCTTTGTAAACATGTGGAATAGTGCAACCCTGCCATAGACAACATGCCCTGAATAGCTTCTTCTTCTGTGCTAGTCGAGGTAGAACATTCCCTAAAGAAGTGGTAATCCAAAAAAACAGGTCTATTATTTCTGATGACATTTTCATTAAAACTGAAAAAAAAAATTCACAGCATTTACATCACAATGTAGAGCAACTGCTACCAACAGCAAAAATACCTTTTAATTGGAATTTCACTTCTAGACGGCTTCTGACTCTTCTGAAGGAAATTCCTTATCACATCAGGTTCCTCCTTAGAGTTCGATGTTATTTCTTGTTTCTTTTCATCACCTGAACTTTCAGACTCTTCAGTGGTAAAATGAATTTTCTGAGATAATTTAACAGAAAAAAAGCTATATGAAAAATTGACCAATATTATATAAACCAATCAAAAAAGAATATCTATCTAGAGATAGCTTCATCTTAATTATTGTAGAATAACATGTATCATAAAAGAAATCTCTAGTAACTATAGTAACAGCCTGCTGAGTGAAAAGCACAGTATTGGCTTTAATGTAAAATAAAATGTAACCTGTAAGAAATAGAAGCCACAATAAGACCAAAATTAGCAGAAGAATTTCTCCCTCCAACCTTTCCAAAACAGTCAAAGGCTACTTAACAAACACAAACAGTAACAGGATGGTGTGGTCACAATAACCAATATAGGAAGACCCCAGGTTAATAGGTTGAGGGAAGAAGGCTTTGGGAAAAGCTGTCATAATCTTCCCAGATGAAGATCCATGCTCATCTTCCCATAAAATGACACACAAGTCATCAGGTTTCATGCATACCAATGCAGTGCAATCAGGTCCAGAGTCTTCTGAATCAGAAATATCAGAATATTCTGATGATCTATTCCTGAGTTCTGATTTCACACTTGTAAAAAACCCTGGTGAAGAGAAAATTCACGAGAAAAAGAGAAAGTGATTAGAACTTCATGGTCAAGGTGGCAAGATGACCTCTGAAGTCTGCCAACTATAGGGTATCTATCAATCTCTAGTTCTAGTTCTCCTTTCTTTTTTTTTTTTTTTTAATTTAATTTTATTTGTGAACATACTGTACAGAGGAGTTACAGTTACATGGGCAGGATAATGTGTACATTTCTTACCAAGCATTGCAGCCTCCTCCTTTGTTTACTCTTCACATCCCTTCCCAGCCTCCCCCCTCCCCCCCTAATCCCAATCCTTCTCCTTCCTCCCCCCCCAGCCCCCCCCCCCCCCACCAACGTTGTAAAGTTCGTTTTGGACATGACAACTTGTACTTCTCATTGTTGCAACAGGTCCACCTGTATCCTTAAACAACTGGTTTTTCCCCATCTCCTCCACAAGTTATACTGACATCAAATATAGTGAAAGCAAGGGTTATACTGTGGGGGAGGGACATACAAAGCAACAAAGAGATAATCTTATAAATGTGTTAGAAACACATGCATGAAAGAAAAAAACATTAAAATACACATCTAAGGGTTCATTTTCCTGACATCACATTATCTGACCTTTTCCGCTTGACTCATACATATACTAGATATTACAAATAAGGGAAACCATGGGACCTACGTTTCTTTGGGCCTGGCTTACTTCACTTAATATAATTTTTTCCAAGTTTTTCCATTTCCTAACAAATGGGGCAATGTCATTCTTTCTGATGGAGGCATAGAATTCCATTGTGTATATATACCACATTTTCTTGATCCATTCATCTACTGAGGGGCATCTGGGTTGGTTCCATATCTTAGCTATGGTAAATAATGCTGCAATAAACATAGTTGTGCTGGTAGCTTTAGTGTGGTCTTGTTTGTACTAGTTCTCCTTTCTTATGCCTTGTTTTTTGCATTTCCTTCTCCCCCAAAGTCTTTCTCCCAAACTGATCAAGATACAGATAGATGTCCATTCTTAAAATGTTTGTGGTATTTATTGAACATGTTATATATTCCTTGTATGTAAGGGATGACTAACTTTCTAGAAAAGAATGTTTAAAACTAAAATTAACTACAAGACACTTTTCACTTTCTTTTGCATTAGTTCTCTCAGTAAGAGAACAAAAACATAGCTCTCCCAAACTTAAAATACATTCATATAGACTGTGAATTCAGTTAGCTTATAACCTGGGCTTTCCCGTGGTCCATCTCTTTCATAAGGCTCTGCACAGAGCAATTATTCCAAAAATTCCTAGTGGTTGGGGACTCTGCCTTTGCCCTGACAGATAAACAAAGGCAGAGTCCCCAACCCATAAGAGGACCAAACAAACCTGGAACTAATAAGAATTACCTATTCATTTTGAAGAATACATAGTTAATAATTAATTTTATATGAAACCCTTATAAATACTAAAATATTTTAGCTACTTTTTAAAATAGAAGGGCAGATAGAGCTCAAGCCCCACTACTGACAAAAAAAGAGAGAGAGAGATCTTTCATGCAATTGTTTCTAACATATTTATAAGATTATGTCTTTGTTGCCTTGTATGTCCCTCCCCCATGGTACAACCCCTGCTTTCACTATATATGATGTTGGTATATGTGGAGGAGAAGGGAAAAAACAAATTGTTGAAACAGGGATCAGGAGGACCCATTGCAACAATGAGATGTACAAGTCATTATGTCGAAAAACGAACTTTACAACTTTGGTGGGGGGGGGGCGGGGGGACCACGGGGGAGGGGGAGGATACGAAGGGACGGGAAGGGGAAACAAAGCAGGAGGCTACAATGTTTGATAAGAAATGTGCTCATTATCTTACCCACGTAATTGTAACCCCTCTGTACAGTATTTTCACAATAAAAATATATTTAAAAAAAAATAGAAGGGTAGGGCTGGGAAGGTGGCTCAGTGGTAGAGTGCTTGTCTTGCATGCATGAGGTTCGATTCCTCAGCACCACATAAGCAGTAAAAGCCGGAAGTGGCACTGTGGCTCAAGTGGTAGAGTGCTTGCCTTGAGCTGAAGAGCTGAGGGACAGCACCCAGGCCCAGAGTTCAGGCCCCACGACCAACAAAAAATAAATAAATAAAATAGAAGGGCATATAGAGATCTTGAAAAATGTTAGGAAATTAAAAACTTTATTCAGGGAAGAAAGGTCTTAAGATGTTACTAAGGTGTCTGATGTTACTATTACTGTACTACTTTATTTTTTCCATTATTACTCTACTGGATAAGCAATTAATAGCCCAGTAAGAAACTTTTTTGACAAAAGGCAGTCAAATAACTCCATAGTACCTGAATTCCCAATAGCTTTAGATTAGATAATATATATTTCCTAATTCTGAAACCACATACATGCTAGCAAAAATTATACATACAAGTGTGTTAATTAAGAGTCCTTTTAAAGGTCTCTAAAAACTATAACCACACTTGAGTTTCACTAGTCCCCAACACCCTTCCCATACTGATAATAATCCCTGCTACCACACCTCAGTTAGCATTCACATTCAGCATTTCCCTCTCTGGTAGGTGAACTACTTGCACATACCTCAAGATTTTTCAAAGCAATGTGAGGAACACAAACATTTTCCATCTCACTATAAACTTAAACTTCAAAATTAGCAAGTTTTTTATTGCCACTTTAGTAAAGGGGAGACCCTTAAAAAAATTACAGGGAAAAAAAAAGAAAAACATACTATTAAGTGGTTTTTGAGATTCTTCGCTCTCTGTCCCCTCTATTCCTGAACTTTCTTCCATCTTCATGGTTGCCTTTTTGGTCCTTCTCTTATCCTCTTCATTTTCACTATCTGCTGTGTAAAGACTCTGATCTGCGAAGGGCTGCCTCTCATCTCTGTACCATGGAGAAAATAATGTAGTCAGAAACAAGGTAAAGCTCTAGTACCTTTCCCTTCATTTGCAGACAGAGTAGAGACTTGAGATTGTTTCCCCAAATCACAGTTGGCTGCGCAACAGAACAGACTATAGATTAAATGAGCAAAGGGAATCCACTGAAGGTTAATCAATCTAATTCTTGGATCTACTTTACATACTTAATTATTCTTCCATTTGTCAGCAGTAATCGTAGATCATTATCTTTTGCTCTCCATTCAGGTACTGTAGAAGATGGCTGGAGATGTTTGTTGAACTTTCCATTCAGTTTAGAGCTCAAGATGTCCTTAAAATATAAAAGCAGAACTGACTTAACCTCTATCTTCAGACACACCTACTCAATGGAAGAAGATACATGCTTCCCCTCCTCCCTGCCTTGCTGGGTGGCAGACAGACATCTAAGTTTGAGGATACGCAGTAATCCCATACTCCAGAATTGATCAAGCCAAAGCCTGAGTATAACACATCTTTCAGGAAGGCCATTAACATTAAAATACATTCTGGAATATAGAATATAAAATCTGCATGAAGAAAATCCAAAGAAAGGTCACTCTTATAGAAGTTGAAAAACTGGAGGTACAGCCTTAGGTTTTTTTTGTTTCCATGTCTTCCTGCTTGAATTACAGCTACAGGGCCTTCCCATTTACCCTGACCTTGACCTCATACCTTGTTTTTCCACCAGGCAATGTCAACAGACACGTAATAATAGGCACAATGGCCACCATGTGACAGAAATAAACATGAGTACCTGGTTTTTAATACATAAGAAGGCTCTCATCTGTAATCCTAGCTATTCAGAAGGCTGAGATATGAGGATCACGGTTTGAAACCAGCCCAGGCAGGAAAGTATGTAAGAATCTTATCTCCAATAAACCACTCAGAAAACTGAAAGTGGCACTGTGGCTCAAGTGGTTGAGTGCTAGCCTTGAGCAGAAGAGCTGAGGGACAGCTCCAAGGCCCAGAGTTCAAGCCCTACAACCGACAAAAAAAAAAAATACTTCCTATTTTTCCTTAATAATAAATAGAACTTTTCCACAGTAAACTTCCCCAGATGGCTATAGGCTAAGTAGACTTAAGAACATCATAATCAGCCAGTTCAAAGCCAGCCCAGGCAAGAAAGTCTGTGAGACTCTTATCTCCAATAAACCACGAGAAAACCAGAAGTGGTGCTGTGGCTCAAGTGGTAGAGTGCTTGCTTGCCTTGAGCTGAAGAGCCCAGGGAAAGCGCCCAGGCCCCCAGAGTTCAAGCACCACAACCAACAAAAAAAAAAAAAAAAGAACATCATAACCTTAAGATCATGTGTTATATCAAATTTAAAACATTTAATGTTATAATATCTGTATAACTTCCTTAAATACTTTTCTCCAGAGAAACGTCTATTTTATTCATTTTAGATTATTGCCTATTTTCTACTTAAGATATAAAATTACAGACAATACAAACCTCATCACAAGTTCATGATCAAGGCACTACTACACTCATCTCATTGCTGCCTCCTACTGCCCACTTTGTCCAGCACACCAGCATTCCTCCAACTTAAATGAGTATATTCTAACAGTCTTCCAGGGAATCAGGCTCACACTGATGGCTCAAGGACAGGCTTTCTGCATTTGTCCTTTCTCTGAATGCAATGCTACTCCTCAATCTCTGTCCATTTGTGTCCTTCCTTTTATTTATCATCAAACATCACCACCTAAGAGACTCTGACTACTCCAGCTAACCCAAACCTTCTTTATTCTCTGTTGGTTCTAGATTCCTTTAGTACATTTGGCAGCTGAAATACAGTTTTAATATATAGTTCTGTCTCCCCCAATCTTCCAACTTGAACTCATTTGAATACTTCATGACAGTATGAACTTGTTTGCTCACTCTGGCATCTTTTCCAGAACCTAGAAGAGCACATGGTATTTGGTAAATTAAAAACATGACAGTGCTGGGCAATGGTGGCACTCAGGGGGCTAAGATCTGAGGATTGTGGTTTACAGCCAGCCTTGGCAGGAAAGTCCATGAGACTCTTATCTCCAATAAACTACTCAAAAAAACCACAAGTGGAGCTGTGGCTCAAGTGGTAGAACACTAGCCTTAAGCAAAAGAAACTCAGGGACAGCGCCCAGGCCCAGAGTTCAAGCCCAAGGATCAGCAAAACAAACAAAAAAACATGACAACAAGTGAATGAGGTCTAGTCATTCTAACTGTATACCCAGGCCAAGAACGATTAAGCATTCTGCCCTAATGCCCTGCCATTAAAGTATTGGCGAACTCCTTAAAAATATATAGCAAATATTATATAGCAAGAACAAACTGTTGTTTAATTACCCTTTAAAAGAACTTTAAGGAACTACCAAGTTTCTTCTTATAATGAAACATAATACTTGCCTCTTCCCATGGACACATCTCCAATCTTTTGAGGACCTCCCTTGTATGGAGCTCTAGGATGTCTAGATTAGAAGGAGTTCGGACATTATGATCTCGAAGTTTCCTCATCTTTCTTCGGGAATGGTATGGGGAAGTTGATTCACTTGAGGACCGAGAAACTGGACACACAGTAGAGATTCCCTGAGATTTAACTGGCTTGCCATTTTCTTCCTTTAAGAATTAAATTGAGTATGTTTTATGAGAAATTTACTATATACATATCTAACTAAATAATCAGGCATATAAATATTTTGGAAAACAAAACAACATTCCATTTAATCAAGAAACAAAAAGACCAAATTAAAGTCTGAGATTTCCAGAGATCTCTATTCATTTTTCCCCAGTATGATAATTTTGATCTGGCTTTGTTTTTTGTTTCATTGTTGTTGTGCCTCAGCATTCTGAGTCATGAGATTACAGGCATAAGCTACCACATCAGACTCCTTGATTTTCAGTATCATAGTAAAAACTTTCTTGTATCCTGCTGTATGGACATAGCATCATTATTGACCTAATACTTTACAGAAGCTATTTAGGCTGCTTTTACTTCTTTCCTATGGTGAATGTCCTTTCTACCAACTGTATATCTGCAATACTTACTTTTAAAATTAAAGACACCAGGGGCTGAGAAGGTGGCTCAGTGGTAGAGCGCTTGCCTTGCATGCTTGAGGCCCTGGGTTCGATTCCTCAGCACCACATAAGCAAAAAGAAAAAGCCGGAAGTGGCGCTGTGGCTCAAGTGGTAGAACGCTAGCCTTGAGCTGAAGAGCTGAGGGACAGCGCCCAGGTCCAGAGTTCAGGCCCCACAACCGAACCACAAAAAAAATAAAATTAAATAAAAATAAAATTAAAGACAACAATATTTTCCTTACATTTTTCATGTTAAATATATATATATATTTATTATTTTTTTTTTTTGGTCAATCCTGGGGCTTGCACTCAGGGCCTGGGCACTGTCCCTGAGCTTCTTTTGCTCAAGGCTAGCACTCTACCAATTGAACCACAGCACCACTTCTGGCTTTTGTATGTGATTCTGAGGAACCAAACCCGGGCTTCATGAATGCTAAGCAAGCTCTCTACCACTAAGCTACATTCCCAGACCTTATGTTAAATATATTAAATAAGGTTACTATAGCAAAAGTATGTCCAGATGCAATAGTGAAATGTTATAGCCTTCTAGAAATAACATTATTTACTGACTTTAGTTACTATTTTAAACATTTTTTAAACTATCAGCATAATGTTAAATAACTGATAATGTAAAGGCAATGAAGAAATTTTCCTTACATTAACCTAAATCAATTCTTCTATTTTCTCTCTCTCCCTAGTTCAGTCCCTCTCGCTCCTTTTTCTTTTCCCTCTTCCTCCTCTCCTTCTCTCTCTCCTCTCTTTTCTTTAATCAAGTGCCATATGGGAACTGCAGGCTCTGCACTGAACTATAGTTGTCTTCTCTGAGGACCATCTATTCAGCTACTCTTGGGAGGATACATTTTGTTCCTGATAACATTTTCTTCCTGGTTATCTCTTACGAACCACATGCCTACACAGTTTTAAAAAGTAAATATTGCCAGGTGCCAATGGCTCATGCCTATTATCTTCACTACTAAGGAGACTGAGATCTGAGGATCATGGTTCAAAACCAGCTGCAGAAAAGTCCATCAGATTCTTATCTCTAATTAATGACAGTAAAAGCCAGAAGTGGTGCTGTGGCTCAAGTAGTAGACTAGCCTTAAGCAAAAGCAGCTCAGGGACAGCACCCAAACCCAGAGGTTAAGCCCCAGGCTCAGCAGAAAAAACAAACAAACAAAAAACTCATTACCTGACTTATTAAAAATGTAGAAAAAAGTCAATACTTGGAATCTATGTTTATAAAAGCAGCAGTCTATTCTTCCCCACCTAATTCCCATTCTCCAACACAATTATCCCCACTCTCCATAGTAACACATACATTATACAAAATTTTGCCATCTTAAACCATTTTTTTTTGAGACAGTGTATCACTATGTTGCTTATGCTGACCTTGAACTCTGGATCCTCCTGCCTCAGCTTTGTGAGTGCTAGGCCTAGGCATGTGCCATCATGTCTGTCTTAACTATCTCTAACTATATAGTTCAGTGACATTCAATACATTCACTGTTGTGCAACCACTTCTACCATTCATCACCAGAACTTTTTCATCTGCACAAACTCAAAGTCTATACCCATTAAACACTAACCTCCCATTCTCCCATTTCTAGCTCCTAATAACCACTATTGTGCTTCCTGACCTTATGAATTTAATAATTCTAGAACCTTATATTAAGTGGGGTCATAGACTATTTGCCCTTTGTGACTTTTATTTTACTTAGCAAAACATCTTCAGAGTTAATCCATATTGTAACATGTGTTAGAATTTCCTTTTTTTATAAGGCTAAATAACATTCCATAATATGTACTATAAGCATCACATTCTGCTTATCCATTAGCACTTGGGTTGTTCCCATATTTTCCTATTGTGAATCATACTGCTATGAAGATGATGCACACATATACTCAAGTCCTTACTTTCAAATTCTTCTGAATGTGTATCTGAAATTCTTGGAAGAGGAGGGGTATGATCAGAACCTTGTACTTTTGTTTAACTTTTTAAATCAAGGTTAGTGTTCTACCGTGAGCCACAGCTCCCCTTCTGGCTTTTTTGCTTACTAACTGGAGATAACAGTCTTAAGAATTTTTCTCCCCGAGCTGGCTTTGAACTGCAATCTCCTGAATACCTACGAATATAAACATGAACCACCACACCAAGTCTTATAGCTGGCAATTCTTAGTTATGTTTTCCCCTGCTCCCTTATTTGGCTCCAAATTTCTAAATACCATGTTACACTATTTTCAGCTTTAAGTATTACTGAATTCCTATCCCAAAAGCTGAAATTTTAATCCTTATATACCACTCCTAAATGTACACACACTCCCCTTTCCTTCAACATTGAGTATTTAAATTGGGCTTAGTAAAAATTATTGATAATTTAGTATCATATAACATACTATTGTTACATTTCCTTTTTTTCACATCCTTTGGTTCTCTTGAATTATAACTGCTTCACTTCTCATTTGCTTTGTTTTCTATGTACTTATTACTGGTAGATTCCCAAATTCTTTACTAGAAAGTGAAAACAGTCAAACACTTTAGGTAATCTACCAATTATATATTTTTCCTTGAAGATAATCCTTCTAAGACACCCAATTAAAACTAAATTAATATTAAATACAAGTATAGAGTTTTCCAGTCTCCTGACCTATCCGAATCTGGCTGCTCTATGAGCCAGTTTGATTATTTTTCCAGGTATATTTTACCACTTTAATTCATATAACAATCTGGAGTTGCCACTTCCAGAAAGACAACTATTAATTTATTACCTTATTTAACTATCATTTCATTTATATTATTTCTCTTAGTAAAGATATATAGATGTTTTCTTTTTAATGTAAGCTCACATTTATTCCTGAGTTTATTCTCAGTTTTGGTTGTTATTATACATAAGACTTTACATATATTTCCATACATATTAGTATTAGTTATATGACTTTTAATATTAAATCCATTTATATATGATTACTATTACACTTAAGATATATTTCAGCTGGGCACCAGTGGCTCATGCCTGTAATCCTAGCTACTCAGGAGGCTGAGATCTGAGGATCACAGTTCAAAGCCAGACCAAGCAAGGAAAGTCCATGAGACTCATATCTCCAATTAACCGCCAGAAAACCAGAAATGGCACTGTGGCTCAAGCGGTAGAGAGCTAGCCTTGAGCTGAAGAGCTGAGGGACAGCGCCCAAGCCCAAAGTTCAAGCCCTACGACCGACAAAAAAAAAAGAAAAAGATATAGTTCAATTACATGTGAATACACTAGAAAATACATGGATTATTCCATCCATGGATACTAAGCCTAGCATTTTAGTACTTCTTAGAGGTGTATTTCTTTGGGTTCCTTAAACACAGCCCTCATGTAATTTACTTAAGTGCTAGTTGGCATCCAATCCTCCACTGAATTTCCTAACTGCATCACTTTCTTGAAAAACTAACATCAATTCACAATTCATTAAAGATTTTTAGGCACCTAAGTAATCCCACATTTCTTTCTCATGGAAGTCTAATTCAATATTGGTAATTTTTTCTTTAATTATAGTCAAAAGCAAAAATGAGAACATTCTAGTAATAGAAAAGAAAATTGGTGCATTATCGACTGAACTGCAAACAAATACTACTTTTATGTCTATTTCTAAATATCAATCTCCATATTAAAGAATGTTTTTCTTTTTAGATATAATCAAAAGACTAAGAGTTTTGACTGTTGCTTTCTTTTAATTAAAAGCTCCCACTCCTAAATACCTAGAAGAGCTCTTAATTAGTAAGTTGTCACAGAATTTTAGACTCTCATCAAAGACATTTACCTCAAGAGTTGTTCTAATATTTTCAGTCGAGGGAATCTCCTATACACCCCACTAAATGCACTTCTCTCCAACTCAGCTTTACTTAGCTTTATTTACTTTACATTTCTTTCCTTTTCCTCTAATTACTTAAATGTTATCATCTCTGAATTTCTTTGTAGGACTTCAGAAGCCTGAAAAAACCTGAAACCTGTCCAAGAATCAGCTCATCCTATTTCTTCTTTTTTTTTTTTTTTGGTCGTGGGGCTTGAACTCTGGGCTTCAGAGCTGTCCCAGCGCTCTTTAGCTCAAGGCAAGTGCTCTGCCGCTTGAGCCACAGCACCACTTCCTCATCCTATTTCTTCTAAGTGTGTAAACACTGTTTAAATGTTTGAAGTATCACTGTAGATTACTTCTCAAGGCAGACAGCAACCAAACACTCAAATGACAGTTTCTACTCTTACCTCTATTGCTCGAATTACTTTAGAAAGTTCCTTAATAAGATGTCCAGGTCTAACATTGTCTGGAATTTCAAAGGCATGTTCAGATACAAGCTGTAATTTGAATAAACAAAGAAAAGCAAAGTTACTTTAATAAGTAAAAATAAATCTACTAGATCAATATTTGGGTTGTCTATACACTTTACATCCATAGCCAGATAACAGTAAGCAGCCTAGTCTCACAATTCACGGAGCTGGAATGATATAGTCTAAGGAGAATATCTTTATTATAGAAAGACCTCTGAAATTGAGTTAAAAATCTCAGTCAATCTTGCTTTGTACTGAGTAGGAGCCTTACATTCTATACCTCAAATCCTACTGTGATTCTACCTATAACTACTAATTAACAAACAAATCAATTAACCCTAACATGAATTCACAATTCATTAAAGATTTTTAGGCACCTAAGTAATCCCACATTTCTTTCTCATGGAAGTCTAATTCAATATTGGTAATTTTTTCTTTAATTACAGTCAAAAACAAAAATGAGAACATCCTAGTAATAGAAAATTGGTACATTATCGACTGAACTGCAAACAAATATTACTTTTACGTCTATTTCTAAATATCAATCTCCATATTAAAGAATGTTTTTCTTTTTAGATATAGTCAAAAGACTAGAGTTTTGACTGTTGCTTTCTCTCCTCTACTTGTTTCCAGTATAACTTGTTAGAACAAAGTAACAATAAAAGTGATATTTAAGCTGGATGCTAGTGGCTCACATTTGAAATCCTAGTTACTTAGGAGGCTGAGATCTGAGAACTAGAGTTCAAAGCCAGCTAGACAGGAAAGTCTGTGAGACTCTATTTCCAATTTACCATCAAAAAGTCAGAAATGGAGCTGTGGCTCAAGTAGTAGAGCACTAGCCTTAAGCTAAAAGGCTCAGGGACGAGACGAGGCCCTGAGATCAATCGTCAAGATGGCTAAAAAAAAAAAAAAGTGAACCAGGGTGCCAGTGACTCATATTTATAATCCTAGCTACTCAGGAGGTTAAGATCTGAGAATCACAGTAGAAGCCAGCCTGGGCAGAAAAGTCCATGAGACTCTCATTTCCAATAAACTACTCAGAAAAGGCCATAAGTGATGCTGTGGCTCAAGTGGTATAGCACTAGCCATGAGCAAAAGCAGCTCAGGAACAGCACCCAGACCTGAGTTCAAGCAGGAGGGGAGTAGAGGGGAAGAGGAGGGGGAAGAGGGAAAGAAGAAGAAGAAGGAGAAGGAAGAGGAAGAGGAGGAGGAGGAGGAGGAAGAAGAGATGAAGAGATGGTATTTATAGTGTTCTCATAGTGCAACATTAACACATTGAATCCCTTCAATAGTAGTATGATATAGATAATACAGATTGAGTATCTCTCATCTGAAATGCTGGGTACTGAAAATGCTTGGAAGCACTTCAGATTTCAGCTTAGGATTCCTTTAATTATTCCTATTTTACAATTGAGGGATCTTAGGTAGAGATTAGGTACACCATACCAAAATGATAAAGTTTATTAGTAGCAAAGATGAGATATAATTCTAATCTTTTAGTGTAATTTTTAATCATAATGCTCTGCCCTTATCTTTGAATAAATTTAACAGAAATATAAACATGCTCCTAAAGTGCATTTCAAATATATAAGTATTATTTATCCATAAGGATAAATTTACATATACATAGAAATTATCCCATTTTGTTTTATGTCAGTCCTTGGGGCTTGAATTCAGGGTCTTGGCCCCGCTTCTGAACTTTCATGCTCAAGGTTAGACCTCTACTATTTGAGACACAAGCTTACTTCCAAGTTTACTTTACTTTGGAGATAAAGAGTCTCATGGATTATCCTGCCCTGCTGGCTTTGAGCCACTATCCTCATGTGTCAGCCTCCTGAGTAGCTCGGATTACAAGTGTGAACCACTGGCCCCCTCCCTGGGACATTTTTAAGGTTTTGCCCCAGATCTACTGAACCATAATCACTTGAGGATCCATGGGTTTTATTTTTTAAAAGCAGTAAAAGCAATACTGAGATTTGAAAATTATTCATCTAAATCCTCCCTCATGAGGTAAATCACACCATTTTTTGCAATATATGCTTTGTTTCTGTTAAATAGGTGTTAATTTGCTGATGCAAATTATATAATTATATAGATGATGGAAAACATGATTTTTATTTTCCTGATAATTTTCAGTGCCTGTTCTAATGGATATGTATCAGAGATAATGAAATGAAAAGACCTATTAATTATTATCTCCCAATATCTCAAGAGCAGAATTCCATTTCAAGTGGACATCCAAAAAACTAATATGGAAATCATCAGTTCACATATGTATCATTTATTGAAATATTGTGTATAAAATTCCAGAGTTGAAATAAAGTTGACAAAGACAATCCTTGTTCTTTAAGAAGAAAACATGAATAAAGTATGCATATTAATTGTTAAAGCACAAGGAATATGATATGGAGTTGTAAGGGAAGGATATAGTAATTCCAAATGGAGATCTGGTATGACCTCTTAGATGGAGGGGTTAAAGTACAAACAATTTAGTAAAAATGGAAAGTTTATGTTTGAACCTTGCCTCCTTCTTTCCCTCCTTTTTATATAAGTCCAGCAAGTGGTAAATCATTGAGGCTTGCAATCCCAAAATGAGTTTTATGTTCTACCTCCACCAGTTCTCTTGCATGGGTACCTAAATGGAGGCACCAACAGCATCTAGACCTTTTACAGTTACTTTGAGAATTAAATGAAATCATGCACATAAAGACTAAGCAAAAAAACTTAGCACTCTATGAAAGCTTAATGTTATTTATTCTTATTCACTAACTGTATGTTCTTAGTCAATATCTTAAATACATTTGAATTACTTTTTCCAAATTAAAAAGATGGAGTATTTACTTTAACAAATAAAACCAGAAACATGTCTATACATACTGTATAATAAAATGAAGGCTCTATTTAAAGTTTGATTTCCATTTTCTCTACAACTAGCACATAAATGCTGTCAAATCAGCAAAAGAACTCTGTTTTACTAATCTTTCTAAAAACCAGAAACAATGACTTACTTCTTTTTTCATCCATAATTTTAAAGCAGAATGTAGTGCTTTCACTCCCTGTACTAAGTAAGTTTGAGGCTGGAAACCATCTTCTCTCAGTTCTGTAGAATGAAGGGGGACAGGGAAAGGAGTTAAAATATTCTAAAAAAATAAAAAAGTAATAAAAAAAAGAAAGACTATAATAAAAATACAAAATAACAGTAATACAAAATACAAAATAACAAAATAATAAAAAGTAGATAATGAAATGATCAATTCAAAAGGCAAAATAAAAAGAAGCAGAACTACATTAAGTGTAGTTTGGGGTTTGTTTTTTTCTTTTTTCTGGTCCTAGAGCTTGAACTCAGAGCCTGGGCATTGTCCTTGAGCCGCTATGTGCTCAAGGCTAGTGTTCTACCACTTGAACTACAGCACCACTTCTGGCTTTTTCTGTTTATGTGGTACTGAGGAATCGAATCCAGGGCTTCATGCATGCTGGGCAAGCACTATATCACTGAGCCACATTCTCAGCCCCATTAAGTGCAGTTTTATCCAAAACAAAAGCTGCCAGGTGGCGGTAGCTCACACCTGTAATCCTAGCTACTCAGGAGACTGAGATCTGAGGGTTGTGGTTCAAAGCCAGCCCAGGCAGCAAAGTCTGTGAGGCTTGTCTCCAATAAACGACCAGAAAACTGGAAATGGCCCTGTGGCTCAAGTGGTATAGTGCTTCAGCCTTGAGCTGAAGAGCTGAGGGACAACAGCAGTGAGCAGGCCCAGGGTTCAAGCCCACGACTGGACAAAAAAAAAGGGAAAAAATAGAAAAAGAAAGAAAAGAAAGAAAGAAGGAAAGAAAGAAAGAAAGAAAGGAGAGAGAGGGAGAGAGAGAAGGAGGGAGGGAGGGAGGGAGGAAGGAAGGAAGGGAGGGAGGGAGGGAGGGAGGGAGGAAGGAAGGAAGGAAGGAAGGAAGGAAGGAAGGAAGGAAGGAAGGAAGGAAGGAAGGAAGGAAGGAAGGAAGGAAGGGAAAAAAAGAAAAAGAAAAGAAAGGCAGGAAGGTAGGAAGGGAAAGAGGGAGGGAGGGAGGGAGGGAGGGAGGGAAGAAGGAAGGAAGGGAGGGAGAGAGAGAGAGAGAGAGAGAAAACAAAAAGCACAGAAAGGCTTAAAATAAAGAAGATGTGAAAAGGACATTAAGCTTTCAAGAGAAAGCTGGTATAGCTATATTAACATAGTCATTGACAGTTATTTTATAATGACCAAATATTCAATTCACTAGAAAGACAATAATTTAGATTTGCTCAATAATAACAGTCTGAAAACAAAGCATTAACTAGACAGAACTACTAAAATAAGTAACTTCACAATCACAGTGGGACATTATAATGCACCCAGTTAAGACAATGCCGTGGGTTAAAATTATTGATAGATATTCAATTTGAACAAGGTACAATTTGATTTGATGGCTTTAAGAAGAATATTATACCTGACAATTTCAGAATACACACTCTTTTCAAACATATATGACATATTACAAAAACCATCCATATCTCAGGAACACAAACTGATTATCAAGAAATGCAAAGATTTAAATCACCTACATGTTTACAATGCAATTAAGCTAGAAATCAAAAAATACAACTAGAGAAAGCCTTATTCTTTAGAAACTAAGAAACACTGCTATTTAGAAATAGCCAAGTGGGGGCTGGGAAGGTGGCTCAGTGGTAGAGCGCTTGCCTTGCATGCTCGAGGCCCTGGGTTCGATTCCTCAGCACCACATAAGCAAAAAGAAAAAAGCCGGAAGTGGTGCTGTGGCTCAAGTGGTAGAGCTCTAGCCTTGAGCTGAAGAGCTGAGGGACAGGGCCCAGGCCCAGAGTTCAGGCCCCACGACCGGACCCAAAAAAAAAAAAAAAAGAAATAGCCAAGTGCCAGTGGCTCACTCTGTAATCCTACTCGGGCAGCTAAGATCCAGAGGATCTCTACTCAAAACCAACTCAAGCAGAAAAGCCCAACAGACTACATTTCCTAAAATTAATCATCCAATAGCCGAACTGGGAGCATAGCTCAAATGATAGAGGAAAAGGAAGAGAAAGGAACAGAGGGAATAGGAGGGGGAAGGAGAATGCACAACACATCAGAAAAATCTTCATTTTTATTACTGTTTAACCAATGTTAAACAATACATCAAAATATGTGGTCTAGTGAGTCTTTTTTGATGTTTATGTTAGAAAAAAACCCAAAATGCTGAAAATTAATAAGCTAGAACCTACTTTAAAATAGTATCACAAAAGTTGGGATAGTATTATTTAGAGAAGCGAAAAAAGACGTAACGGGAAAGGTAAGAGGTATTTTTAGGGTGTTGGCAAGGATATTTTTGCTTGAGTACAAGTTGCCTTCGCTTTAAACTGCCCAAGTTTGTATGTAGTATGTGTCATCTACATAGCAAACTGTGTTGGGTTTTTTTAACCAGAGTGATTATATAAAATTGGGCAAAATATTTCAGGTATAGTCAAAATTCAGGTAATGTGAAGTCAAAGTAAAAGTTTTCAGTTTTCTCCATAACTAGTTTTACTTGAACCAAACTGGTTCACTGCTATCATTAACATGAAATACAGTGAAGAAGTTCGTACAACAACCCTTCAATAATCCATCACATCATACAAACTTTGTAACAGTCTGAGAGTTGGCAAGTAATAGGCCACAATGCAAAGTAAGAAATAAGTGATGCCCAGGGGTCGGTGGCGCACGCCTATAATCCTAACTACTTAGGAGGCTGAGACCTAAGGATCAGGGATCAAAGCCAGACTGGGCAGTAAACCACTCAGAACCCGGAAGCTGTGGCTCAAGTGGTAGAGCACTCGCCTTGAGCTGAAGAGCTGAGAGACAGTGCCCAGGCCAGAGTTCAAGCCCCATGATGAAAGAAGACAGAAAGAGAGAGAGAGAGAGAGAGAGAGAGAGAGAGAGAAAGAAAGAGAGAGAAAGAGAAAGAAAGAAAGAAAGAGAGAAAGAAAGAGAGAAAGAAAGAAAGAAAGAAAGAGAGAGAGAGAAAGAAAGAGAGAAAGAAAGAGAAAGAAAGAAAGAAAGAGAGAGAGAAAGAGAAAGAGAGAAAGAGAGAAAGAGAGAGAGGGGGGGAGGGAGGGAGGAAGGGAGGAGAGAAAGAGAGAGAGACAGGGAGGGAGGGAGGGAAGGAAGTGATGAAGAACATACTTGTAGGATGATGAGACGACACCTGCCACTCCTGTTTCTAGGACAAGTGCTAACACAGTAACATTGCTATAACAGTCATTTGGCTGTAGCCTTAATGGGCTTGGATTTGTAGCACTAGTACTGACAAGTATCCTATACTGACCTGGATGTTAAAATTTCAAAGTAACCCATGAATACTCTTTTATAGAAATCAATTTTATTTCAAATTCCTTAATGCATTTCAAATTCCTTACTGCTCATGATCAAACCTCAGTATTTCTCAACTTTGGATTACCTAAAGCAAATACTAGTTGGTTCTAATATTAAGCAAACTGATGTAATGAGTCTTTATTTACTGTGCACTTGTGTGTATGTGTGTGCACATGCACACATATGTGCATATGGTGGTCTTCAGGCTTGAACTCAGTGCCCCAAGCTCTCACTTTTTTTTTTTGGTTAGTCATGAGGCCTGAACTCTAGGCCTGGTCACTGTCCCTCAGCAATTCAGCTCAAGGCTAGTGCTCTACTACTTGAGCCACAGTTCCACTTGCGGCTTTTTCTGTTTATGTGGTGCTGAGAAATTGATCCCAGGACCTCACGCCTGCAAGGCAAGCACTCTACCACTGAGCACCTCCCCAGCCCCTCTTGCTTGGTTTTTTTTTTTTTTTTTTTTTGGGTCCGGTTGTGGGGCCTGAACTCTGGGCCTGGGCGCTGTCCCTCAGCTCTTCAGCTCAAGGCTAGCGCTCTACCACTTGAGCCACAGCGCCACTTCCGGCTTTTTTCTTTTTGCTTATGTGGTGCTGAGGAATCGAACCCAGGGCCTCAAGTATGCAAGGCAAGCGCTCTACCACTGACTGAGCCACCTTCTCAGCCCCTTGCTTGTTTTTTTTTTAGTCTCTTAACTGGAGGGTTCAATATCTGGTCAGCCAGATATTGAAACAGATAGATATTCAGGTTAAGAATTGATTTCTGGAGTGGTAGCTGGTCATGTGAAAAAGAACCTTGTCTTCCATATCTTGAGGAGCCTAACTCCATCACACATATACCTGCAACATGTGTTAGCATCTCCCTTGACAAAGTACTATAAAAAGCCATTGTTTTCTCCTTCCATGCAAAGTAAGGAGTCTACTGGTTTTCTTTTGAGGGGAAAAAAATCCATACACAGTTTTGTCATTTTAGTTCTGTACTATCCTAAGAAATGAAATTTTGGGTTTCATTTTTTTTTCTTTCCTGTATAACTTCCAAATGGAAAATGAAACAACTGTCTGAATAAACGTCATTGTTTAATCTGTCTGCTTTCCTGAGAATGAATAATAGTTCCATCTTTTGCAAATTGAACCAGACAAACTGTATTCTCATTGGCACCAGTACATAAAAAGCAGAAATAGATAAAAATACTAGTCAACCATCAATTCAACAGCTCAGAGAGTGTAAAGTCAAAGTATAAAAATATCCAAATCAAGCCGGGTGCCGGTGGCTCATGCCTGTAATCCTAGCTACTCAGGAGGCTGAGATCTGAGGATCACGGTTCAAAGCTAGCCCAGGCAGGAAAGTCCTTGAGATTCTTTTTTTGTTGTTGTTTTGTTTTGGTTTCGGTTTTTTTCTGGTGCAGTTGTGGGGCCTGAACTCTGGGCCTGGGCGCTGTCCCTCAACTCTTCAGCTCAAGGCTAGCACTCTACCACTTGAGCCACAGCGCCACTTCCGGCTTTTTTCTTTTTGCTTAAGTGGTGCTGAGGAATGGAACCCAGGCCCTCAGGCATGCAAGACAAGCGCTCTACCACTGAGCCACCTTCCCAGCCCTTGAGATTCTTATCTCCAATAAACCACTAGAAAACTGCAAGTGGTGCTGTGGCTCAAGAGGTAGAGCACTCGCCTTGAGCTGAAGAGCTGAGGGATAGCACTCAAGCCCAGAGTTCAAACCCACGACCAAAAAAAAAAAAAAACAAAAACAAAAACAAAAAAACAAATCTGAAATTTCATCTTAAGAAACAACTTCAAGCTTAAATCAAGAGATTTTTCTAAAAGAAATGTATGTATGTATGTATGTACCTATGTTCAATTGCTAAGTGTGAAATGTACTACTCAGCACGATGGTTAGACAGTGATAGTATACGTATTACTTGATTCTCTTAGGATATGGAAATTAATTATTCCTTTTTTTTTTTTGCCAGTCCAGGAGCTTGAACTCAGGACCTGGGCATTGTCCCTGAGCTTTTGCTCAAGGATAGCACTTTATCACTTGAGCCACAGCGCCACTTCTGGCCTTTTCTGTTTATGTGGTATGAAGGAATTCAACCCAGCGCTTCATGCATGCTAGGGAAGCACTCTACCACTAAGCCACATTCTTAGCCCTTCCCTGGATTTTTAAAAGATAATGTTTGAGGAATGTATGCAAGGTAGCAATTCCTTAACATAGCCACACTTTTTTTTCAGTGCAAGTGATAAGGAAGTTTCTTAGCAAAGAAATACACTTTCACAATAGACTTAAAGCAGAGCATCTCTAAGGAGAGAATGACAATGATTTTTACCCCAGCACAAGTTTTATTAGAAGTATAAGAGAAGCACTAAGTCCTTCCCCAGGACCAGCCAAGGGGACAGAATCACTGTCCCAAAGGAAGAGGAGGTTTATTGAATGATATCTGACCTCTAGGGCATGATTTTACAGATTTGGGTAAGTAAGCTAAAGATTTATACAAGCTACATTCTTGACAAAGAGACATAAACGTTTGAGAATGTATGCAGATCACTAGATCACAAGATGAAACAAACATTTTCTAGTACTACCTACATTGTATGCTGGTCTGATGCATGTTTGTCTACACATGGTTTCCTTTCTACAACTTGAGCCAAGCCTCCAACCCCTATACATGATATCTAAGAATATGTGAGAAGCCGGGCGCCAGTAGCTCACGCTTGTAATCCTAACTACTCAGGAGGCTGAGATCTGAGGATTGAGGTTCAAAGCCAGCCTGGGTAGGAAAGTCCGTGAGACTCTTATCTCCAATAAACCACTAGAAAATTGGAAGTGGCGCTGTGGCTCAAGTGGTAGAGCTGAAGAGCACAGGGTCAGCACTCAAGCCTAGAGTTCAAGCCCCACGACTGACCAAAAAATAAATAAATAAGTAAGAAAGAATGTGTGAGGGAGCTATGAACTAGAGAATCGTAACTACTAAACAATATCTGGTCATGAGCTTAAAAAAAAAAAGATGGTAACATCCATAACATATAAAACATATAAACATATAAAACATACAAACACATAAAATATTATATATATACGTATATATATGCATATGTATATATACACACACACATATGTACATATATATATAACGCAAGAAAATGTGCAAATTATGGATTACCTTTCAGGGTTTCCAGCAAATTTTTGGCTACAAACCAACATATGGCTTCAAAGAAAGGGAATTTGAAAAGATCCGGTGTCTTTAGTCTTTTCTCCATCTCATAACACCTAAGTGAAAAAAATTGAAGAAACGTTTATTGTTAGTATTAGCATTTTGAAGTTAAATAAAGGTTAACAGCTTTGAAAATAAAAATAAGCATGCCAATAAGGTGCTATATTGTATTGAACACCACATTCACACAAGTGAACTGTGTTCTTACACAGCTTCTGACCTTCATAAATTTGCCAATATACTTAACAATTACTTTGAGCTTTGTAAAAGATCACTTTGAAATTTGTGTCCTAGTTTTAATAGAAGATATTTAATGAGGGCCTTATTAATTAATAAAACATTATGTTTTTAAAAATCAGCTCCATGTGTTCAACAACTCTGCAATACCCACTAGACTTTGGTGAAGACCACATTTGGCACTTTTTTTTTTCTGGTTTTCTGGTGGTTTATTGCAGATAAGAGTCTCACATACTTCCCTGCTCAGGCTGGCTTTGAACTGCAATCCTAATATTTCAGCCTCCTACAGGCATGAGCCACCAGCACGTGGCTCACATTTGGCACTTAGTATGAGCAGTATAAGGATAGGAGCCATAGTCTGCCAGAAGGTTAGTCTTCTGTCAGAATCCTTGCAAACTCATGAAGCAAAACTACCTCTTCCCTAGTTACAGCTCAGTATTAAATGACAAAATCTAGGGATGGAGGCAAGGCTTAGTTTGTAGAGTGTTAGCCAATGAACAAAAGCATCAGGTACTAAGTTCGAGTTCTAGTCTCAGACTAAAAAGAAAAAAATCTGAGCTGATGGCTCTTACCTGTAATTCTAGCTACTCAGGAGGCTGAGATCTGAACATCACTGTTCAAATGCAACCCAGGTAAGAAAGTCTGTAAGACACCTCTAATTTTAGAAAGCCAGAAGTAGAGCTGTGGCTCAAGTTGTAGAGTGCTAGCATTGAGCAAAAAGCTCAAGATCAGCACTCAGGCCCTGAGCTTAATCTCCAGGACCAGCAAGGGTGTGAGGGGGAGGCTGTCACACACTTAAGTGAGTATAAGGCCTACAGTGGCTTAAAGCCTCATACACTGAAAAGCCATTATTTCCTGTAATAATGCCACAAATGCAGACTGTTCAGGTGCCCCATGACATGTAAAGTGATGAGTCACTAAATTCGGAGAACCTGATGATATGACCTCCCACCAGGTATTTCTCAGTTCTCTAAACACTCATCTAGTTTATCAATCAGGAATCATTTTCAACATAAGCAGTGTTGCCTTATAAGATGTACTCTCAGAGCTCAGGGACAGCTCCCAGGCCCTGAGTTCAAGTCCTACCACAGACAAAAATAAAAATAATTTTAAAAGATGTACTCTCATTAAATTACCTGGGGAAGGAACAGAGTTACACAAAGGTCAATTCTCATACAAAAGGGGAAAGAGCTGTTAATCCCTTACCTGAAACAAAACTAAAGCAAATGTTTTGACAACAGTCCTGACTTAAGAGTTGCTTTGTTTCAGCACAAGTCATACCAGAGTCTGACTGATTTCATTTATTTCCCTTGTTGCAAAAATAGCCCAAGGACCTTTGCAGAAAATTTTAATAACATACCAAGTAAGTTATTAATTTTGTTTTAGATCTGAAAGAATCCTCCTGACAAAATTTGAAACAATACTTTTGTTAAAGTTTCTATTCGTAATCATTTCTCAAGGTCTAGCTCCACAGGATTTCAAATAAAATATGTTGTGATTTTAATTTAACAAAGAAATTAAAATAAAAATAGAAAAAAATAATTTAAAATAAAAATTTTATTTAAGAAAGAAGCAAAAGATCCTTTCAATGACACAAACCTGAGCTGCATGCCAATATTAAGATTGTGCAGAAAGTTTCCCCCAAAAGCCATACAGTCCTGAGAAGTGAGCACAGCATGAATCCACCCTGCAATGGTTACAAGTATATAAATCAGTGATCTTTCAACATTTAAACCAAACAGATGTGTCACTTACCAATAAGAAACTTAAAACATCAACACCAACTGATAGTCAGCATTAACTGAACAAGTCAATGCTTATGACAATTGATTAATTTATTCAGATATTTATTAAGTGCCACTAATATGCTAGGCTTTTTCTAAGTTTGAGAAATAAAATGAAGGCTTTTGGTAATTGTTTTTGTTTTCTTAGTTTTAAACACGACCCAACTTTACAATTAAGGATTTTACTCTGAGACAACTCAAATCTGGTTTGAATTGGAAAAGCACATTTTCTATTAAAGACTGGCTGGGCATGCTGTTCCTTTAGCGTCACACTAAACTGAGGGCCCTGAAAGGAAACAAACAGAAGACCAGGGGCCTCAATCTGAGACTGGACTCTGCAAAAAGGAAAAGGCAGATTACTCACAATAAATAGTTGAGTCATAGTCCATGTTGGTAATCGAAATTATGGCTTATTTTTCCCATTAAAGTGTTTTCAAATTAAAATCTAAGAGCTGATGCTTAACTTTTTAATGTTTATGGAATGTTTATAGAATTAGCATAAAGACTTTATAGAAATATAAATTCTTCAAGGAATTCATATAAGTACAAAGCCTGTTTATTAGTGATCTATGCTTAGACACTTGAATTCTATTACATATTAAAGCAAAGTATTTCTGCATTGTTTTTGACACAATTTCTAGGAATACTAGAACTCTGTAAACTGAAACAAACTATAGTTTGTTTAGAAGTCTGTCAATTATCAATAAGCTTGAGAAAAAATTATATCATCTATACACCTGCATGAGTCAGGAACATGTTAAATAATATAAATGCTCACGACCAAGTAAAGTAGGACACATCTATTTAATCCCAACACTTGAGAGAAGAGGGAAAGAAGGGAAACAAAGAGAAAGGAGTCAGGTAAGAAAGAGAGAGAGGGAGAGAAATCCTCTGGCCTATCCCAGATCTACTGAGTCAGATCTTGAGAATGAGTCTCAGAAATCTAAAGTTTAATAAGCCCACCATATATACCTGATGTTTGAGAACTGCTAACTTACACCAATTTGAGTAGCCACTAGTACACATGTGCAATAGTTTGAAGTTAAAAAGTTTGTCCTAGCTAGGCGCTGGAGGCTCATGCCTGTAATCCTAGCTACTCAAGAGGCTGAGATATAAGGATCTCATTTCAAAGCCAATTCAAGCCAGCTCCTGTGAGACTCTTATCACCAATAAAGTACACAAAAAAGCCAGAAGTGGTGCAGTGGCTCAAGTGATAGAGCACTCTCCTTGAGCAACAGAAGCTCAAGGACAGAGCCAGGGCCAGAGTTCAGCCCCAGGACTAGAAAAAGAAAATGCTGCTGTGCAAACAAACACATATTGAAAAAGAATTTCATGGTTTGGGCACCAGTGGCTCACTCCTGTAATCCTAGCTATTCAGGAGGCTGAGATCTGAGGATTGTGGTTCAAAGCCAGCCTGGGCAGGAAAGGCCAGGAGACTCCTATCTCCAATAAGAACCAGAAAACCAGAAGTGGAACTATGGCTCAAAGTGGTAGAGCACTAGCACTACCCTTGACCAAAAGAGCTCAGGTACAACACACACACACACACACACACACACACACACACACACACACACACACACACACACACACACACACACACACACACACACACACACACACACACACACACACACACACACACACACACACACACACGATGTTATATTACTTATGAATTCCAATTCAAGATTATAAAGAAGGCACAACAAAATATTTATTAAGAACAGGGACACCAGGAAGAGGATTTAAAAGAAGAGCATAAGCACTCAATGAAAATACTGATACCTATTCTAGACATAAATTCTGGTAGTTCTAGGCACTGATTATTTATTTAAGCACATATTTATCACTCGATAAACCAGAGAGGGAAGGTGAGAAAGCAAAGCCTGGAGTAACAGAGCCCAGTCAATTCCAAGGCCATTGAAGTCACCCAAACCAGAAGAACATAGTTCGTAAAACCTCTAGCCTGGGGAATAATACTTGGCATTCATTCACATTGCAAATCAACACACTTGTACCTATGCTTGAGATACAGAGATATTGGCAGTTCCTCAAAAAGTTAAACATAGTTAAGCAATTTCACTACTTGGTATATATATACCTAAGAGAAATGAAAACATTCATGAAAACTTGTACATGAGTGTTCAAAGTAGCATTATACATAACATTCCAAGTAGAAAGAACCCAAATGTCCATCAACTGATGAACGGATACACAAAATATGGCAAACCCTACAATGAACAGGCCATAAAACAATAACATACTTACATGTGTGACACAAAAGTACATATATATGAAGCATCCAAAACAGGCAAATCCACAGAAACAGAAAGAATATTAGTAGAGGGTTAGAGAATGAGGGGAGTAAGCATGACTACTAAAAGGTGTGGGGTTTATTTTGTAGACAGTGAAAATGTTCTAGAATCAGACAATGGTGATGGTTGTACAACTTCATTGATCTAAAAAAAAATCACTAAATTGTATAATTTAAAAGGATAAATATTATAGTATTTGGATTCTATTTCAATAAAAATTAAAATGAAAGCAAATGACATAAAATAATGCCAAAAGAAGTTCAACTTATAAGACAAGCCCTTTAAGGGACAAATAAGCAAAATATTCAAGATCAGAAATTTCTTAGATAAGTCAATTAAAGTCACTTGCCAAGCATGTAGCCAAACATAAAGCCAGATGTTCTCTGGAGAAGGGGAGATTAAATTAAAATCTTACCTGTAGGAACAAATAAGGTATGTCCCTGCTTCACCACACATTTGTAGCATTTATCAACTTTATCTCCAAAGAACACCTCACTCTGAGTCACAGATGAACTCCAAGATTCATAGAGTGCCAAATTTTCATTTGTTGGCTTTATCAAATAAAAAATCTTCTCACCCTAGAAAAAAGTAATTGTACCATTTTTTTTTAAAAGTAGAAGTCATTCTTAGAATGGCCCACATGGTAGATTGTGGTTTTTCCCTACACAAGGATCTAAAGTAAGGCAGATAGCTAGATTTTAAAAGTCAGCAGTTACAATTCATTCAGTCAGCATTTCCACAGAAACTAAAGCTCTTCCCACCCCCAACTGACATCATGTTGAAGAAATCATTGCAAAAGAGGAAGATTTTTTTTTAATCTAAGTGAAATGAACCCCAAGATATGGACACAAGATTTCTGTCTTTATTGTTTTAAATGTACCATGTGATTTTATTTTTTGTTGTTGATGTTTCCTTTGTATGTTCTTTCCCCTGTTGTCACTGTACTTGATTTTGGTACCCTGTATCTTGTATATACATTTGTCTAATCTGGGGATGGGAAGGGGACTAACAAAACACTGAAACAAGGACACAGGATGACCCATTGCAACAAGGATACCCACAGGACAGTATACTGGAAACGAACTTTACAACTTCGGTGGGGGGGTGGGGGGGAGATAGTGGGACAACAAGGAAAGGGGTAACAATGATCGACAAGTAATGTACTCATTGCTTTATTCATGTAACTGTAACCCCTCTGTATAGCATCTTTACAATAAATTTTAAATTTTTTAAATAAATAAGTAAATAAACCACAAATGCCAGGCACCTGTGGCTCACATCTATAATCCTAGCTACTCAGGAGGCTGAGATCTGAGGATCCTGGTTCAAAACCAGCCCTGGCAGTAAAGCCTGTGAGACTCTTATCCCCAATAAACCCCAATAAATCACTTAAGCTGTGGCTTAAGTGATTGAGCACTAGCCTTGAGCTGATGAGCTGAGTGACAGCAGCCCCCAGCCCTGAGTTCAAGCCCCACGATCGACCGACAAAATAATAAAAATTAATAAATACCCACAAATATCTCATTGATGACTTCTCAGTTTTTAAAGGGTAGAGGCTGGGAAGGTGGCTCAGGGCTAGAGTGTTTGCCTTTCATGCATAAGGCCCTGGGTTCAATTCCTCAGCACCACATAAGCAGAAAATGCCGGAAGTGGCACTGTAGCTCAAGTGGTAGAACGCTAGCCTTGAGCTGAAGAGCTGAGGGACAGTACCCAGGCCCAGAGTTCAGGCCCCACAACCGACAAAAATAAATAAACAAACAAACAAAAGGTAGAAGTACATGTTAATAGGCTCTAGATATCAGCACAATCATTTTGCAAACTTTGTCCTAAGGTCTATATCGTAATGATTATGTTTAAAGACTTGTAAATGAATTTTAGCTCACTAATTCCATCCTCATGGAGAATAGGAATACAACATCAAATAAAAGCACAGGTATCTGAAAAAATTTGGTGCCTGACCAATGTGTCAATAGAACTATCTGTGGTGATGGAAATTTTTTCTAATTGTGCTACCCAGGGCAGAAATCACTAACTTCAGTGGTTACTAAACACTTTCAATGTACTAAAACAAGGAACTGAATTTTTAATTATGCTGAATTTTACTTCAATTTAGTCACACATGAATAATCGATACTCTATTAAGTAGATTGATATTCTAGATAAAGCAAAGTGAATGTAAACTACAAAGAGTATTTTATGGGCATCTGTGAACTTATTCAACTACTTAATCAATTTTAAGGCCAAAAGCAATTATTATGCAAATGTTGCTCCTTCTTATTTATAGACTAGTGGTAATTTATGAGAGTAGGTAAAGAGGGAAAAAGAGACATAAGGTTAACTGAAAACCAAATTAAAAAACAGAATAAAGAGGTGCTGGTGGCTCACGCCTGTAATCATAGCTACTCAGGAGGCTGAGATTTAAGGATCATAGTTCAGTTCAAAGCCAGCCCAGGCAGGAAAGGCCATGAAACTCTTGTCTCCAATTAACCACCAAAAAAAACAGAAGTAGCACTATGGCTTAAGTGGTAGAGCACTAGCCTTGAGCTGAAGAGCTGAAGGACAATGCTCAGGTCCAGAGTTCAAGCCCCATGACCAACCAAAAAAAAAAAAAGGAACTTATCTGGGTTAACAAGGAGAACAAAGGAGATTTAATATGATCAAAATTTATTATTCGCAACTATGAAAATAAAATGAGACCTGTTGAAACTGTTTTGGGAAAGGGGAAATAGGGAAGAGGAGAACAAATTATAGGGTAAGATTTACTGGAATATATTGTAAACGTGTGTGGAATGTATTAATGAATCTCTTCCCTGTGTAACTAAAGTAAATTAAAAACAAAAACAATATATTAGAATTAAAAAAAAAATAAGTAGGGGCTGGGAAGGTGGCTCAATGGTGGAGTGCTTGCCTTGTAGGCATGAGGCCCTGGGTTCGATTCTTCAGCACCACATAAGCAGAAAAAGCCGGAAGTGGGGCTGAGGCTCAAGTGGTAGAGCACTAGTCTACAGCTGAAGACCTGAGGGGCAGTGCCCAGGCCCAGAGTTCAGGCCCCACGACCAAAAAAAAAAAAAAGGTAATGCTTAAAGGCAAAGTAATATCCATAGTAAAAAAAACTTCCGGGCTGGGAAGGTGGCTCAGTGGTAGAGCACTTGCCTTGCATGCATGAGGCCCTGGGTTCGATTCCTCAGCACCACATAAGCAAAAAGGAAAAAGCCGGAAGTAGCGCTGTGGCTCAAGTGGTAGAGCGCTAGCCTTGAGCTAAAGAGCTGAGGGACAGCGCCCAGGCCCAGAGTTCAAGCCCCACGACCAGACCCAAAAATAAAATAAATAAAAAAAAAAAACTTCCTCCTTTACAAATGTTATTTACAGGGGCTGGGAAGGTGGCTCAGTGGTAGAGCACTTGCCTTGCATGCCTGAGGCCCTGGGTTCGATTCCTCAGCACCACATAAGCAAAAAGAAAAAAGCCGGAAGTGGCACTGTGGCTCAAGCAGTAGAGCGCTAGCCTTGAGTTGAAGAGCTGAGGGACAGAGTTCAGGCCCCACGACCGGACCAAAAAAAAAAAAAAGAAACAAATGTTATTTACAGCACATGAATGCACCACCAGAAAATATGATGTGTTTTTTGTCAATATGAGAACAAATACCCTAGTCTTACCCAGAGGACATGGTACCAGACTGAAGTCCCACCGAAGTCAATGTGGAAATCTGTATAGCTGTCTTGAACTCCCATTAAGCAGTATTTCTGAACAAATGGCTTGGGAAACACTGAATCATCCGGCCAATAATTTTCAACCCAGGAAAGTTTTCTGGCTATATCAGGGACCTCCACCAATTCAGACATCCTTTTAAAAAACAAACAAACATATACATAGACACACACACACACATAATACAAATTAAGATTTCTTAAAATTGTTCTTCCCAGATCAACTCAAACCAAGTAATTAACTGCAGCTCAAAGTTAATAACAATGATTAATAAGTTAAAACACAACATATTTAAACATATTCTCTGAGCCTGCCAAAGCAAAATTTACAACACTGTTATCAAGAGATAGCTACAGAAGTCACAATTGTATTTCTTTTTTTTCTTTTTTTTTTTTTGTCGGTCATGGGGCTTGAACTCTGGTCCTGGGCACTGTCCCTCAGCTCTTCAGCTCAAGGCGAGCGCTCTACCACTTAAGCCACAGTGCCACTTCTGGTTTTCTAGTGGTTTATTGGAGGTAAGAGTCTCACGGACTTTCCTGCACGGGCTGGCTTTGAACCGTGATCCTCAGATCTCAACCTCCTGAGTAGCTAGGATTACAGGCGTGAGCCACCAGCGCCCGGCTTCACAATTGTATTTCTTACTGAAATAAGTAGGTCATTAATCATTTATCTGAAACTTAGAATGCTATACCAAAATGTTCAGAAGTACTCACTTAGTATCTGAGAATTCAAGGCTGATCACATTTAACACTTTTGGTCTGTTAGGATTTGTGAAGTATTTAACATAATTGTGAAGCGTCATTTTGCTGTCAGCCTGCCTTGCCACATCAATGACATCTATCACTTTGTCACCACCTGCAGAGAAAAATTATAGTCTTATTTGGCTTAAGGGTTATCTCAAGAGATGCCCTAAACAAAAGTATTTTAAAGACCATACTTATTTAGTATAATAGTAACAAGTATAAAATACATAGCTGCAAAACTAACACTGAATAAAAAGTATATTATATTTCTTGTATGCAGCCATAAGAATAAAAATACAGTGGGATGTGAAAATTGTCAAGACATTTTCTAGATTTCAGTTTCCTCATGTATAAAATGAGAGGATGGCTTTTCCCTTTAACTTTATATGGTGTGTAAGATTCTAAGTATCCCATTTTGAAATCAGTCATTGAGGAATTAGTGAACAAGTTGATCAGGACAAATAACTCCTCTTCTAGTAGTTCTTTCTAATATTCTCCAAGACAAAATCAATAGTTAATAAATAAAATTCAGTTCAAATTAGTGCCTGTCTGAAGGCCCACACTCTGGTTGGGATTGATGTATATTTTCCTGCAAAACCATAAGATGATGATTATGGACAGCTGTATTGCTACTCTAGGAAACATAATCAATTTTATGATGGATATAGAACAGGGTGGAATTCAAAATATGCCAAATTGAAGTAGAAAGCAAATGCCATTTTCTTACTTAAATGTAATTTCATCTATATTAATAATATTGTAGAATATTTTATCTATTTGATATAATATAGTCCTGTTCCTAGTATTTAAATGAAGTCTTTTGCTAACTAGAATGTTAGCTGCTATCAAGCGGTTTGGGATGTTTTTCCCTATTATTGCACAGCCATTTGATTTCCAGTGTTCCTCATGCAGACAGATGTAGGGTAAGCCTCGGCATCATCCCATGTTCTATCACACATTCAAATTTAGCACCCTCTGAAATCATTACAATTAACTGGATTTCCTCAGTGAAAAATTGTCAGGGAGAACTGTCAACCAATCATTCAATATCTGCTCTTCTGAGGAATATTGTATTTCAATGGCTATACAATTTTGAGGTAGTTTTAGGATCTATGTTCAAATGGCATCTAAATACAGCCAGCTTTATCTATAAAAATAATGGAAAATATCAACAATATGGCAATCTGCTTTTCACCTTTTTTTTTTCACTTCTGTCGATCGTGAGACATGAACTCAGGGCCTGGATGCTACCCCTAAGTTCTTTTGCTCAAGGCCAGCGCTCTACCACTTTGAGTCACAGTTCCACTTCCAGTTTTCAGGAGGTTAATTGGAGATAAGGGTCTCATGGCCTTTCCTGCCCAAGCTGGTTTTGAACTGCAATCCTCACATCTCAGTCTTCTAAGAAGCTAAGATTACAGGTGTAAGCCAACCAGTACCCACCTTCTTCGTTATGACTTCAGAATCTCAAAATCAAAACTACCTTGATATCATTAAATGACAATGTTCACCATATCATTAACATGAACATAGGCTGAATGTAATCTCTTCTTTTTACTTTTCCTCTTCCAGGACAGGAGGTCAAGAAATAGGTTCCAGAGGACTAGTAAGAACAGTGAACTCTTGAGAATTTTTGCTCATGCATTCTATAGATGCCTAGAGCCAATCCAGTTTTCCCATGTCTTCTTAGGCATCTAGCTGCCCCTCAGGAATGGCTTTCCTTAAGCAGATACCAAGAAACACCAAGAAAGCAACAGGATGAGGTGATTAAACAAGAGAAGATAAACTGTTTCATTGTTTTTCTGACCACTGAAGAGTCAAGAAACACTTTCAGCACAGGTGATACTGAGTTTCACTTTTCCTGGCCCAAGAAATAAAACTAAATTGACATTTCTTCACTTTTAATATTGTTGGGACATTTTTAGTTTTACCAAGTTCTTAATGGAACCAAGTTCGTACCTACGTAACGTTCAACATCCATCACAGAAAAAACAGGTGGAGGGAGCCTGAGTCCAAGATCATCTAATTTAGGGACCATAATAGGGACATCAAATCCATGTTTCTCCAGGTATCTTTGCGTCAGCTGACTACCATGCATCTTTACAATGACTTCATCGGCACTGAGGAAAAAAATAATAAAATGTCATTTTTGTCATTTTGCATTAAAAAGTATTGTGGTAGGTAGAGGGTAAATAATACCAAAATACATTGTGTCTTTTTGTGAAGATGGCGTAAGAAATCTCACTAAAGGCTGTTAAGCAATAGGTAGTGGAGAACAGGGAAAGAGAAAGCAATAAAAGGGACTATTCTGATCAAAATATAATATATGCCTATGTGAAACAGCAACAAAAAAGTACCACAGTACTTTCTGCATTAATTATCCATATCAGTGACTCTCAACTTAATTCTTCTCTTAATAAATGTTTTCTAGCCAGGTGCCAGTGGCTTATGCCTATAATCCTAGTTACTCAACAGGCAGAGTTCAGGAGGATTGCAGTTCCAGATCAGCTCAGGCAGAAAATTCACCATGCCATCTCAACAGAAACAGGTGGACTTGGTGGTACACTCCCATCATTCCAGTTACCCAAGAATAAGTAGCAGGATGGCTGTCAAGGCTCCTGGTCAAAAAGCAAGACTACCTCAAAAAGAAACCTGTCAAATAAGCTCCAAGCTCTGAATTCAAACTACAGTATCTGAAAAAAAAATCCTGAAACTCCTTTTGACTATCCTAAAGTAAAAGTCACAGATAGTATAATCTGTTTAATTCAAGACATGTTATTGAAAAATATATAAAATGATCAAAGTATAAATATTGCTGCTACAACCTTGAGTCTAAGAAAAGAGAATGTTGGGACTGAAGACTTTAGCACAATAAGAATCATATGGAAACAATGTTTTCCTTAGTTTTCTATTTTTCAGCAGAACTAAGGGAACCAAAGTGGACATTTGTCATTTTATGTTTCTATGTAAGGACTAAAGAAGTGGAGAAGAATAGACAAGAATTCTAAAGGTTGAGGAAAAATAGCTGGGATTTTTCATTCCAAGATCTAAAAAAAAAAATCTATAATAAGCCAAATGTGATACTGTGATTTATATTTAAATTGTGCTTTCTCTTTTTAACACACAAAGATATAATTTCATATAAAAGCCTTATCAAGTATTATCACTTTAAAGAGATGTCAGACACTGAGTAGGAAATGATACAAATTAGCATGATTAAATGCTTTCTAATGCTTCTGACTCTCTTTAAGCCACAGACAATTCAAATATATTCCATTATTTTTAGAAATCAAAAGCCTCAGTCCCACTGAATCAGAGGCTAGGCAATAGTTCTGCATGCTTCTTGTAGAGCCAGTATATGGAAAGTTAAATAAAGTAAGAAAAAGAAAGTTAGAAAATAGGATACTTGAAGAAACATGAGGAGAGGCATCAAGGTAAGTGGAGGTAGCAACTGCCTATTAAAAGAAAACAAACACAGGGAACCACCACTACAGATTAGTGTACTTCAAAGTTTTGGGTTTGCGACCCAAAATTAAGAGTAACATTTTTACTGACCTAAATGCGTATACATATAGCAAAATTTCCATGAAATTATGCTTCTTACTCTTTTAACTTGCCAGGTACTGTTTCTCCTTATTCTTTTTTGTTTTTATTTACCAGTCCTGAGGCTTGAACTCAGGACCTGGGCGCTGTCCCTGAGCTCCTTTTGCTCAAGGCTAGCACTTTACCACTCGAGCCACAGCACCACTTCTGGCTTTTTCTGTTTATGTGGTACTGAGGAATCGAACCCAGGGCTTCATGCATTATTCTAGGCAAGCACTCTACCACTAAGCCACATTCCAGGCCTGTTTCTTCTTATTCTATTTCATTTAAAACAAAACAAAACAAAAAAAAGCCAATTGAGAACAATAATATGCTATAGCCTGAAGTTCAAAAAGCACTGCTTTAAACCAGGTACCAGTGGCTTACACCTGTCCTATTTAGGAAGATCTGAGGATGTGTTCATGCTAGCCCTAACAGGAAAGTCTGTGAGACTTTTTTCTCTAGTTAACTACCATAAAGCTCAAAAGTAGAGTGGTAGCTCAAGTGGTAAAGCACTAGCTAGTCTTGCACAGAAAAGCTCAGGAACAGCATCTAGGGCCTGAGTTCAAGTCCCAGTACTACCACAAAAGGAAAGGGGAGGAGAAGGAAAAGGTCAAGGGAAAGGCAGTGGAGGTGAAAAGAGGGGATGGAGGAGGAAGAAGGAGGAGGGAAAAGGGAAAAGGAAACAGAAAAGAGGAAGAAAGGAAAAGGAAAGGAAAGGAGAAAGGGAAAGAAAGAACACGGCTTTACATGATATCATTTTTTACCAGCCAACATTGTTAAATTTTATTAATACATGTTTTCATACCTTGGGAAGACTCGAGAACGTAACTCCTTAACAAAAGTCCTGGTTCCAGCCTGCACTGGTTTGGAACCATCATCAATTTCTGTGTAGTCGTGCCTGTGCCAGTTCCTCCGCTTTTTCACTGAATTTTAAGTTGTTAAAAAAAAAAAAAAGTAACTGGTGATACTATATACTTTCTAATCAATATAATAATCTATATAGTAATATAATATATAATCAATATAGTAATCTATATAACCAACTGTAAGTACACTAATAACACTCAGGTTTTAATGCATTTCTAGGCTATCAAAGTAAATTTTACTTAATCTAATGCTGCAATTATAGACAATTAACTGTTGATTTTTAAAACCTTCTGTTTTTACTTCAAAATAAAAAATTAAATCAAAGAATTCAAGTCAAAAGATGAAACCTTTCATAATATAGTAAAAGAAGAAGTTATATAAATATTCTATAACATTTCTAAATTGTCTGAAATTAGCATTTTCACTAGAACATTAGGTCATAATATAATTGCCCAGATCATCCAAATTATCCTCTCAGGATACAGCCTTTTATCCCACATCAGAAATCTAATTTAACAGCATAATTCCATTCTCTTTTATACAAAATTTACTCCCAAAATTAGCATTTTCACACTGACACAGAGAACAGTTTACTGAGTCTTAAAGCAAGAAGGCTATGGTGACAAAATAAATAACTTCATGGTTAGTTTCGTGCTAAGATCCTATGATTCTACAGCTCTGTGCTATCATATTTAGTCACAATAATCAAAATCAGAAGACTTGGACTTGATTCCTAGTTCATCCATAACCTCACCTACAATTGTGCACAAGGCATTTAACACTTCTGGATCCCAGATTCCATATGGTGGGACTGAAGAGGACAGAATAATGGTTTTGATTTTCAATTTTGTAAAGAAACCTTAACAAAGAGGAAGGTGAAGAAAAGGCCAAGAGAGAAACCCTGAACCTCCCCACCCACCTCCTCCTCTGCCCTGGCTGTGCCATCTACAGCTCTTTTGTATACCAATCTAAGATTTTAAGATTTTTTGGTTGGTTGGTTTTATGACAGAGTCTCACTATGTAGCCCAGAATGGCCTGGAATTCATCTTCTGTTTCTGCTTCCAGAGTAAATTTTAGATTTAAATCTTTTTTTGAAACTTGAAAATCACTCTTCAGCCTAAATAAAATTCTCAGGATTCTGGTTTTCTGATACTGATGCCTATAACTTATTTAGAATTCCATCAAAAAATAGAAAGATGATGGATAGAGAGTGGGATGGTAGAGAGAATAAGTTACAAAGCAAGTGATAGATACATTCTAACAGAATTTAAATAGTCAAGATTATATGTCATTGCTGTACATTACTTCAGCTTTTCCTATGTATGTTTGAATAGTCTCATAACAAAATGCTAGTAGAAAAACACAACTCTGTGATTTCAAGTTATTTAAACCTTCCTCTTACCGAGATCATATTACGGGTATATATAAGGAAAGTCAGACTTAATACTAGGAGTAGAAATCAGGATTAATCATATCTAAGTGCCGAAGGTTCCCAAGTAACTTACTGTAAAACTATATCTCTAATGTGGAAGAGTAAATCTCACTGTAAAAAATCTTGTAAGAAAAATTCAGACTCACAAAGGAATCTCCTTGAGAAACTCCATTAAGAAATTGTAAGTCAGGTGGGGTTTCTCACACTTGTAATCCTAGCTACTCAGGAGGCTGAGATCTAAGGATCACAATTCAAAACCAGCCCAGACAAAAATGTCCATGAGACTCTTATCTCCAATGAACTACCAGAAAACCAGAAGTGGTGCTGTGACTCAAGGGGCAGAGAGGAAGGAAGGAAGGAGGGAGGGAGAGAGGGAGGGAGGGAGGGAAGGAAGGAAGGAAGGAAGGAAGGAAGGAAGGAAGGAAGGAAGGAAGGAAGGAAGGAAGGAAGGAAGGAAGGAAGGAAGGAATTGCATATTATTTTCTCATTGAAAACAATTCCTAAAATTCAAGGGCAGATTTTTTTCCCCACTATATACAGATATATAACTTTTATTTTCAACTGAGATCACCTATTTATTCTGCATATTTTTCTTGTATCATAAGCTTTTTTCTTTATTAAATATTCAAAAGCAACTTGAAGGCAACCTAGAACTTTAAAATGTAAATGTACTATGATTAGATTTTTATTCTGAAGCACTTAGGCCATTCTCAGTTTTCTTCAATGTTGTGATTAATACTTGATATATATTAACTTATTCTCTTGATTCATTCAGGATAAATTTCTAGGAAAGCCAGAAGATAATTCACCATTTTTAAGATAGTCCACAATGCAAACTGTCTCCACAATTGTGGAGGTTAATTCAAATTCTTACCAATATGTACAGGCAGCTTACCAGTCAACTAGCTTGGGTCTTATGTTAACAAAAATAACAACTCCTAACTATTCAAGAGACCTCTAAGATCTAAAGATCTTGGTTTGAAGCCAACCTGAACAAGAAACTCGATGACACTCTATTCCAAAAAAGCCAGAAGTGGAGCTGTGCTCAAGTGGTAGAGCACTAGCCTTCAGCACAATGCCCAGGCCCTGAGTTCGAGCTCCCAGGAGACACACACACACACACACACACACACACACACACACACACATAAATCTGCTCATTCAATAAAAACTATGGTACTTCGTTGTAAATCTTTTCACTTCTGCAAAAACACATGGTGTTCTTGAGCTACAGCTCCACTTCTTGCTTTTTTTGGTGCTTGCCTAGAGATAAGAGTCTCACAGACTTTCCTGCCTGGGCTGGTTTTGAACTGTGATTCTCAGACCTCAGCCTCCTAAGTAGCTAGGATTACAGATGTGAGCATTTTTTGTTGTTTTGGGTTTTTTTTAAACAATGGTGCTTATATACAAGGCCTTGAGCTAGAATATCTATTTACATTGTTAATGAAATGACTCCAGGATTCAATAGCTTTGAGCTTAAACATAACTTTGCAAAACAGCTACATACTTAAGATAATTTTTCTCATATATTAAGTTGCCATAAGTTTCAAAAGAAAAATATAGGTAAATACTTAGCCATCAATAGACCCATCATATAATAAACTGCCAATTACTATCATCTTTAAATGTGCTGACATGTAGGAGATTAACAGAAGGTACGATTACATGATTTGATCAACATGCTTTAAAAAATACAAAATCTCCAATTAACCACCAGAAAACTGCAAGTAGTGCTGTGGCTCAAGTAATATAGTGCTAGTCCTGACCTGAAGAGCTGAGGGATAGCGCCCAGGCCCAGAGTTCAAGCCCCAAGACCAACAACAACCACCAAAAAAAGTCCCACAAAATAAGCCATAGCTAACTAAATTTCATAAGGGAAAGAGATCAATGAAGGAATATTTTAGTAATGATCATAGGAAAATAAGAGAAAAAGTTCTGTTTGTGTTGCATAACTAAGCAAGTGAGCTAAATTTTTAAAAGTAAGGTTTATAAGGAAAATAGAATGGCACCATAAGCACATATTTCTGCCTTTTTTTTTTTTCGGTCAGTCGTGGGACTTGAACTCTGGGCCTGGGTGCTTCCCTGGGCTCTTCAGCTCAAGGGGAGTGCTCTACCACTTGAGCCACAGCGCCACTTCCAGTTTTCTGAGTGGTTTATTGGAGATAAGAGTCTCACAGGCTTTCCTGCCTGGGCTGGCTTTGAACCGTGATCCTCAGATCTCAGCTTCTTGAGTAGCTAGGATTACAGGCATGAGCTACTAGTGCCTGGCTCATTCTTCTGCCTCTTAATTTAATGTTTTGTACAAGTTTAAGTACAAGTTTAATTCAAATTATTTCATTTTGGGATTATACTTAAATTCTCTAAGACTAAATATTGATGCATTCATAATCCAAAGCCTTTTAAATATTTTCTTTCAATTTTGTACAATAATTACTATTCTAATTTCTTTCTCAGAACATTTGAAAAACAATAAAAGTACTTATTTCTTTGTGATGCTAGTATACATCAAAAGATGCAAGAGGCTTCCCTGCCTTTGCTTTGCCCTTTTCAGGAGGAGTGTGATCACAGACCTGGTCTGGCCTTATTATTCTGCCTCTCTATTTCTCTGTGAACAGCAGCAGTGGAGTTTCACGCAGAGAAATGGGCTAAGGAAGACTCACTATTAACAACCAAATTCAGAAAATATAAGTAATATTTTAGCCTAAGAACACCCTAATTGCATCCTAAAAATATAATGCATGTGTTCATTAGAGTCAAATCTTTTTCTGGGTACGATCCCAAAACACTATTGTGAGAATTTCTGTGAAAAGATAAAAAAACAGCCAGTAAGTTTCCAGAACCAGAAATTTTTACTTTACTATGTATGCTTCCCAAATTTCAAGCTTTGAAAATATGTAATTAAGTTTGAAAGCTATGCACTGGCAAATAAATTTCATTTACTGAATAAATTATTTAACCATTCAGACAAAACCTGCATAATAAGTTTCCTCAGTGAAATCTCCACAGGTATAGCGTATCATACACCTAGGACTTACTCAGGGAGGAGCCATGTAGAACTGCACAGTTGGGACAGTGATACAGGTCAATGTCAACAGCATGATGTTCTTCTACTCCAACACAGCTAAGAAAAATAAAGGCAATAAAGTAATTCAATCAAAAGTCCTTTCTCAATGGTAATACAGTATCTGGAACTGATGTAAGAAATGTTCAACAACCTCACCAGCAAATTTTGTACAGCACAAAAACGTAAACAATGATAAATTTTATTTTCTTCTCCATACACATTATTTTTTTTCCCCTAATCCTCAGGGATTAGGGAAAAACTCAGGGCCTGGGCACTGTCCCTGAGCTGCTTCTGCTCAAGGCTAGCACTCTACCATTTGAGCCACAGTACCAATTCTGGCCTTTTCTGTTTATGTGGTACTAAGGAATCAAACCCAGGGCTACATGAATGCTAGGCAAGCACTCAACCACTAAGCCACATTCCCAGCCCGGATACACATATTACAATAATTATAAGCAAGACAATTCCCAAATATATGTGAAGTAATTCACAACAGCAGTAGAGACAATAAAAATAATGTAAGTATAAGCTGTAAAACCCTCAACCACTATGTAAATGCCATATTTTATAGGTTTGATGTCAATGAGTTTAAAGATAAATCATAATGAAGGTATAAATATTATTTTGAGCTGAGCAACAATGAATTATTACATAACAAAATCTGTGAGACAAGATGCCAAACTTTCAAAAATGTAAATGTATCACCTTAGATAAATGTGCTGAAAAAGAAAAGGCTGAGCTAAATAAGTTAAGTCTATACCACAAGAAGTTACAAAAGTAGGCAAAATAAAACCTTAAAACAGAAACAGAAGCCAGATGCCAGAGAACAAAAACAAAAAATCCCACAGAAACAGAAAGACTGGTCACTGGTAGCTCACACCTCTAGTTCTAGCTACTCCAAGAGGCTAAGATCTGAGGATCATGGCAAGCCCAGGCAGGAAAGTCTGGGAGATTCTTACATCTAATAAACTACCAAAAAATAAATAAAAGCCAGAAGCAGAGCTGTGGCTCAGTAGAATGCTAGCTTGGTAAGGTTGTTGAACATTCCCTTAGTCCCTGAGTTCAAGCACCAGGACCAGTACAAAACAAAAACAAAAACAGAAACAGAAAGCAAAAAACTAAGTATATAATGGTATCACACCAAAAACTGATTCTTTAATCAAAAATCAATTATTTGAAAAGATTTATAAAATTAGCAAACCTTAACAAGATCAAGATAAAAGAAAGAAAACTCTATCAGGAATATTTTTTAAAGGACAAAACAAAATAATTTGTTTTATACATTAAGTGCAAAGGGGGCTATTATGAATACACTTATGCTAAAAGACTTAAATATATATGTGTATGTATGCTTGTGTGTGTAGACACATACAATCTGAATCCTGGGGGAAAAAATAGAATTCTTCTAAGTATTACTTTCTTTAGAGATGAGGGGAGGCACCAGGGCTTGAACTCAGAGCTTGTGCACTACCCTCTAGTCTTTACAAAATTTTTGCAACTGCCACACACAGAAAACTCTAGGCCCAGAGGACCTAAGACCTCACAAGCAACTCTATCAAATACTCTAAAAACAATTATAATAAACTTGTTTAAAGAGAGGAAGAATGATATATTCTCTATCTCATTTTATGGCAGTATAACCTTGGTACCAAAACTTAGACTATACATTCACTTGTAAGTGTTATCTTCAGCCATACTAAAATAACTTCTGTTCATGAAACTATAAGGAGCTCTAATCATATAAAATATTTATCAAAATGAACTCCAGGAAATAGAAACAACATTTTTCTTTTTTGCTGCTTTTGTTTTCTTTTTGTCTTGTTCATTGATCTTTAGGAGGGGAAGGGAAAGGCACAGAAATAGAGGGACAAAGGGTAAACAGATACAGCAATGGTACTTTATACTAGACACTATATTTAAAATGAACTATACAACCTGTAGATGGGGATGGGAGGGAAACACTGGGGGAAACAGAGGAAAGAGGTGACACTGTCCAAAAAGGAATGTACTCATTATCTGACTTATTTAACTGTAGCGCTTCTGTACATCACTTTCATAACGATAAAAAAATAAAATTTAGGGGCTGGGAAGGTGGCTCAGTGGTAGAGCGCTTGCCTTGCATACATGAGGCCCTGGGTTCGATTCCTCGGCACCACAAAAGCAAAAAGAAAAAAGCCGGAAGTGGCGCTGTGGCTCAAGTGGTAGAGAGCTAGCCTTGAGTTGAAGAGCTGAGGGACAGCGCCCAGGCCCAGAGTTCAGGCCCCACAACCAGACCCAAAAATAAATAAATAAAATAAAATTTAAATTTAAGAAAGATAAAATGTAAACCTTCTTAAGCTGGGCATTGGTGGCTCATGGGTATAATCGCAGCTCCTCAGGAAGCTGAGATCTATACATCATGGTTCAAAGCCAACCCAGGCAGAAAAGTCTGTGTGAGACTCTCATCTCCAATTAAGCATCAGAAAAGCCAGAATGGAGCTGTGGCTCAAGCGGTAGAATGCTAGCCTAAAAGACAAAACAAAACAAAACAAAACAAACCTCAGGTATAACATTTAGGCCCTGAGTTCAAGCCCCAGGACCAGCACAAAAAAAAAAAAAATGTATATGGTGTTGGCTCAGGATACAAGTTTCTGAAATCTGACACCAAAATTACATGAAACTAAAGGAGAAAAAAGATAAACTGGACTTTATACTTTAGTCTGTTTTCTCAGCTTATTTTGGTATGAGTTAATCAAATGGGTATGGAGAGAAATAATGAAATAAAGTATAAAACAGTTGCACTAGAAAATGAAAAACCAAGAAATGTATAAAATCTTGCTAGGCACTATTAAGAATCCACAAGAAGTTTGTTATAAACAAATTCAAAAACATTTCTTCATGATTATTTTTTTTCAAACCACACTCAGTCTAGTATGATCCCAAAATGAAACTGGTAGCTGCGAGTTCTTTAGGATAAAAATTAAACAGTTGAGGGTATTTGATGGGAATTAATACAATGATGACTCGTGACATTTAGGCTGCATTAAAGGGGTGTAACAAAATGATCTTTGAGGTCTCCATGTAATTACTCAGTAGATCTTGAGCAACTGATTTAGATGAAACAAATTATGCTCGAAGAGGAGAATGCTTCTGGGCACTAGAGGCTTATTCCTGTAATTCTACTTACTCAGAAGGCTGAGATCTGAGGACTGCAGTTCTAAGCCAAACCAGCGGGAAAGTACATGAGATTCTTATCTCCAATTAACTACCAAAAAGAAGTGGAGCAGTGGTTAAATGGGCAGACTGATATCCTTGAGCAAAAGAAGCTCAAGGACAGTTCCCAAGCCCCGAGTTCAAGCCCCAAGCAAGAGTGGCAAAATAGATAGATAGATGGATGGATGGATGGATGGATGGATGGATGGATGGATGGATGGATGGATGGATGGATGGATGGATGGATGGATGGATGGATGGATGGATAGATAGATAGATAGATAGATAGATAGATAATAGTAATAAAGTTCTTAAGCAACAAAGGACATAATTACTAAACTGGAAAGAGAGCCAACAGACTAGGAGAAAATCTTTACTAGCAATACATCTGACAAAGGCTTAATATCAAAATATACAAGGAGCTCAAAAATTAACACCCCCTCCCAAAAAAACTAATAAACCAATCAGTAAGTGGGCAAAGGAGCTAAATCTGAACTGAGCTAAACCATAAACTCATCTCTGAATATCTAGGAAACATGAGATGAACATTGCAACTAGCCAAAGACACCTTGTAAAACTTGGCTAAAAGAGGCATGAGTTCCTCTCCCCATCTTCTACTCTTCACTCATTTATTGCCCTCCCCCCCACTATATAATCTATTTTACTTGAATGTCAGTGATATCTTCAGATTTGGTTCAATTCCAATTCCCAAGAACACTTATATCTACACTTATTTTGAAATTTCACTTAGAACGTCTGGTAAATCAGTAAAATTTGATAAACTGTATAAATAGGTCAGTAAATTGGATAAACAAATCTTTAAAAGTCCATTTAAAATAATCATATTTCTGGAACTGGTGGCTGATGCTTATTATCATAGCTACTCAAGAAACTGAGATCTGAGGATCAAAGCCAGCCTAGGCAGAAAAATCTGTGAGACTCCTAATCTTCAATTAACTAGCAAAAAGCTGGAAGTGTGACTCAACTGGGAAAGCACCAGCTTTTTTTTTTTTGGTCGGTCGTGGGGCTTGAACTCTGGGCCTGGGCACTGTCCCTCAGCTCTTCAGCTCAAGGCGAGCGCTCTACCATTTGAGCTACAGCGCCACTTCCGGTTTTCTGGTGGTTTATTGGAGATAGGAGTCTCACGGTCTTTCCTGCCCGGGCTGACTTTGAACCGCGATCCTCAGGATCTCAGCCTCCTGAGTAGCTAGGATTACAGGCGTGAGCCACCAGCACCCGGGAAAGCACTAGCTTTGAGCAAAGAAGCCAAGCAAGAACTGAAGACTCTGAGTTCAAGCCCTAGTACTGGCACAGAAATTAAAATAACCATACAAAAAGGTTTTAGGTACCCAAACATCATATAAAATTTTTATTTTATTTTCAAAACCAACATCCACTTCAATTTCTCTGTGAGGGGCAGATAATTCCATCCTATTTTTTTATCAAGCTCATACATACTCTCTACCCTTTCTAACCCCTAATTTAAAAAATTCTAAAATCCCTATAGCTTTAATAGTAGGATATACAAAAGGCTCAGGTCTCAAACTAAATTTTGAAAGAATCACTTCCAAATCTGGTATAATCTTCAGTCTTTTCCTCATTTCATTAAAAAAAACTACCCTTTGTAAACAAACTTTAACACTTTTTCCAACAGTAAACATTCAATGTTTATTAGAACATCATAGGGATGAGGGCTGGGGTGAGCTATGGATGGGGTGACAATCTGACCTTTGCTGAATAGCTTGCATCTAAGAACAGCCTCACTGCCATTTGGTGAGGTGGACAGTGGTAACTTTGACACTTTCTATTGTCTTAATCTTCTGAAATTGTTGCTTAGTTGGCTTTCTGGGGGACACTTGATGATA